AGTAAGCCTAAAGGGTTGCTGGTTAGGGTTTGTTTGTTTGTTTGTTTGTTTGTTTGTTTGTTTGTTTTCAAGTTTACACAAACCTATATCCGGGAAGAGAGCATCTCAGTTGAAGAACTGCCTTCGTCAACTGACCCATGGCTTTGTCTGTGGGGCCCTTTCTTGGTTGCTGAATGGCATGGGTTGGCCAGTGCACTGTGAGTGGTCTCGTCCCTGGACGTGAGAAAGGTTCCTGAACAAGCCAGGGAAGCATACCAGGGAAGAGCCTTCCTCCATGTTCTTTCCCTGACTTCCCTGGGTGGCGCTCTGTGACTGGAACCTGTAAGCCAAATAAACCCTTTCCTCCCCAAGTCATTTTGGTTATGGTGCTTATTACAGCAATAGAGAACTAACCAGAAAAGTGTTAAAACCTCCAAAAGGGTTTCTAGGTTAGAGACAAATCCTTTGTATTATTTTCAACACTAAACCCAAAGACAGCATTGAAGCTTTGCCCAAAGACAGCATACCGACTTCTACCCCATGTGTTAGTTAGATCTACGGAGCTTGCTTGATGGATGGCCCTTGTGCATGCATGGTTCCATAAGGCAAGGCTCCAGATAGCAATTACTGCTGGCACCTCCTTCTCTCATCTCAGGAAACAATGAAATGGTAGACACCAATGCATACACCAAATAAATAGATAAATAGAATTATTTACCTTAGTCTGTGTTGCAGCTAGGTGAGCTCTGCAGCCTTGCCAAGCCTTTCTCCTCACCTCCACGTTAGCAAAGCAGTTGTGGTTCAACCTGTCTTTCTTGAACTGAAAGTGTACGACTACTGCCAGGAGCATCTTAACCCCTGCCCTTGTGTTTAAAACGTTACAAAGGATGAAGAGAGATTCTGTCTCCCGTTAGGAATTTTCCACATTCTCACTGCACCCTTTGCACAGCTCCCCTGTGGTGAGGCCTGTGCATGATTCAGATATGACTTATCTGTCCCGTGCAGAGAGACTAAACATGTCTGTGAGGGATGATGTGCTGAGGAATGTTACCTGGATGGGGGCTGCAGGGAGCACGGTTTTCGGTTTTACTTTATCACCTTCTTCTGATGAATAGGCATGGCTACTGCCTGTTTTCTATGTTAGGTCTGTAGACATAACTGCAGCTCAAGATGCAGCGTATACTTCAGGGCTGAATCAGGGAACTGAGTGGGCTTTGTCTACTTTGCTCTACATTGTAATGAGGATATATATGTCTATGACAGATTTACAAAGGTCTTCAGTTAGTATTGCTTTAAAAAAAAAGCAAAACAAGTACTTGGCAGAGATGGTAGGGGAACAAAAGCTTCCCAAAGAGGCTCAGTGTCTTGTCAGTGTTCTATTGTTGGAAAGAGACACTGTGGTGGTTTGAATAGGCATGGCCCCTGTAGACTCATGGCTGAATGTTTGGCCTGTAAGAAGTGGCACTATCACAAGTTGTGGCCTTGTTGGAGTAGACGTGGCCTTGCTGGAGGAAGGATGCTGTGGGAGAGGGCTTTGAGGTCTCAGCCAGTTCTCTTCCTGCTACCTGAGGATCAAGATATAGAACTCTCAGCTCCCTCTCCAGCACCATGTCTGCCTGCACATTGCCATGCTTCTCTCCATGACATAATGGACTAAACCTCTGAAACTGTAAGCCAGCCCCAATTTAATGTTTTCCTTTATAAAAGTTGCTGTGGTCATGGTGTCTCTTCACAGCAATGAAACCCTAACTGAGACAGACACCATGACCACAGAAACTCTTATGGAAACCATTTAATTAGAGCTTGCTTAGTTTCAGGGGTTAAGTACATTATTATCATGATAGGGAGTATGGCAGTAGGTTGGCAGACATGGGCTGGAGAAGTATCTGTGGGTTCTACATCCAGATCTGAAGGCAGCAAGAAGAGAGAGGGCTGTTGGGCCTGGCTTGAATTTATGAAATCTCAGAGCTTGCCCACAGTGGCATACTTCTTCCAGTAAGGACATATCTCTTAAACCTTCACAAATACTGACACTCCCTGATGATCAAGCATTGAAATGGAGGCGCCTGTGGGGGCCGTTCCCACTGAAACCACCACACTCAGCAAAAGTCTTCCTTAGAAAAACTGTTAGCACAGACAAAGCAGTTGTCTCCGCTTTTGCATAGGTGTCTTTGCATTCTGGATGGCTTTACCGATTCAGTCATCCCTGTAATGAATTGATTCTGTAATATCCATTAAAATGTCCCAAGCACAAGGCTGGAGAGATGGCTCAGTGGTTCAGAACACTGGCTGCTTTCCCAGAGACCTGGGTTCAGTACCCAACACCCACATGACAGTTCATAACCATCGGTAACTCTAGTCCTAGGGAACCCAATGCCCTCTTCTGGCCTTTCTGTGCACCAGGCAGACAAGCGGTACATAAAAAGACATACATGCAGGCAAAGCACTCATACACATGACATTTTTAAAAAGTTCCAAGACCATCTTAGTATGTTCTGATTGATGCCTGTAGCTTCCCGAAGCATCTGTAACTCATTTATATGCATAAGATTTTGATCCAGTAGTAACATTTATAAATCCATTCGAATTTTAGAATTTATACAAAAATGAGAAATTTAAATATAACCACCAGCATTTTAGTTTTCATTTATATGCACTGAAAGATGCCAATACCTACTCTCTTTCGATTTGTTCAACAAGAAACTTGTTAGGTATAGTGTGGGGTTTTTTTTTTAATTGCTGTTGTTTGTTTTTATGTTATAGAAACTGTTGTGTTGAAATCACCTCATATTTTAACTAGAGAGAATTCATTTGTTGGCTTCCTACTTCCTGATGTTTTAAAATAGAAGGATTGAAAGTTCTCCCTGTCTTTATTACCCCTCCCACTTTTGACTGACTGTTCCACGTGACTGGCAGGATCCTGACTCTTTCTGCCTCCTTATTTGCAGCGCAGTCACTATGCTACCCTCTCTCTCTTCTCTCCCTCTGTGTTCACCCCTGAACCGCATGTTCAGCTATAAGGTGAAAGACTTGCTCTACGGTTCACAGGATGCGTGTGAATGCACATGCAGACAACAGTGCCATCCTCCCCATCCCTCACCCCTACGCACGCCACCACCAGCATGTTGTATGACTGCACTCAGATGACTTTTTTCAGCTCTATTACTAATATGTATCTATCTACGAGACTAGAAAGATGGGAGATAACATCACTGCATCGTACAGCATTTGCTTAGAAACCTAAGCAAATGTGGAGAAATGTAGAGACTTAGAAAGATCGCTTGTTGGAGACACGTGACCCATCCTCCATGTTAATTAAAAAAGCGTTCTGAAGAGTAGCTGCTGTGCCTGGTTCAGCCATCTGCTCAGAACAGTCATTTTCTGGCTTCTCTCCCATCCTTCACCTTTGCTCCTCCTCAGATGTGAGAAATGAAAGGAATGTGTCAGCTTGCCCTCCAGGTCTACTTGCTGGGGTTATAAGATAACACCTTCATCTGTACACACTGCATGTCCAAGTTGAAAGGATAGCTGTGCTGTAGGCAGACTTATCATCTTTGAACAAAAATAGGCAAACATTTCCAAGATTGGTTTCATATTACTTAAGAGGCCAGGGGAGCTAGATGTTTTTAAAGATGCCTGTCAGTTGAAGGAAGAAAAGAAACAAGTGTTTGTATTATGCTTTTTTAATAAAACTAATGAATTTGCATGTATAACAGAGAAGGGAGGTTGCCTTTGGCTTTTCCTGTGGCCTTGTTTTATTACATATGCTGGGCATGGGATCCAGGGTTTTATACATATTAGGCAAGTGCCCTCACTCAGCCCACTCACCACCACACACACACCCAGCCATACCCTGTGGTTTTCTGAGCCATTGTTTGAAGACTCACTTTGTGTTTGGGGAGTTCAATCTGATTCTATGAAATTTAACATCACCCTTTAATGCTGCTAAGAAGCTGTGGTATAAGCTGAGCCATGTGTTTGTAGGCAAACTCCTTTTGATACTCGAAAAACTAAAGACAACTAAGTAGACTGTTTCCTACACGCTCACTTGATTACTTTACCCTGGTTAATGGCTGCTTATATGCTCTCAATGGGGGAACTGTTTGCAGTTTCCTTCGAGGCTATCTGTATTTCAAAAATAAGTATTTTTAAAGCGTTCTCATAATTCGTCTCAGTTTTCCCTAGTCATCTACTGCCCTTCAGACTTCTGCATCTCTATCAAGAGTCAGGGGTTAATCATAGAGAGAATCTGATAGGAGATGTTTACATCCATTCAAATTCATCACCAACACAGGGGAAAACAGAGTTCCTAAAGCAGGAACCATGGAACCCAAGTAGCACTACTCACATTCATGAGGACGGATGTTAGCCTTAGTGTGAGATTATTTAGTGAAACCTCAGTTTGTACAGAGGACACCCAAAGCCCAACAAGTAACCAGAACCCAGCCCTGGTCTCCCTAAAGCCTTAGGGAGGTTGTTTTCTACTAGGCTAGTTTATAGAGTCTAGTCCTGCCAGTTGAAAGCAGACTCAAACATCATGAGTTCAATCCAAATCCAATGGACCAGAAGATACCATAAGGCAGAGGCTATCTCTCTGTCCCACAGTTGGCTCTTAGTGAGGAATGATAAAGATGAGCACTCAGGCCAAACTTTAAGAAGCAACCAAAGTGTTATATGTGTGTTTCATTTCATCATATTTTTCTGGTTAAGCTTCAAAGGACACTTGGAAGCCATTTATATAACCTAAATATGAGTTTACTGATGTAACTCAGTTGTACAGCACCTTTTTTGGCCTATGCAAGGTCCTGGTTCAGTCTCCAGCACCATGAAACACAACAACAGAGGTATTTACATATATGAGACACAAGCCAAGTCATGTGCCTTAAGATGAGATGTTAACCCTCACTCACGGGAAACATGGCAGTGCGGATACATGGATGCAAACTCTTGGGTGCCATCTTAGGGGTAGGTGACGTAAGTGATGGAAATAACAGCAGCGGTTTCTGCGTCCTTGTTAACAGAGCCTGTCTTCTACTTTGGGGAACTCCAGTACTCCGTGGATGAGAGTGCCGGCTACGTGGAGGTGCAGGTGTGGAGGACGGGCACCGACCTCTCTAGGCCTTCTAGTGTCACCGTGAGGTCCCGGAAAACAGAACCTCCTTCTGCCAATGGTGAGCAGTCTCCTACGTCAACCTTCTGTGGTGTTTGGTAGCTTCCGGCTACCAAACACTTCACCTGAGTGAAACGTTCTTGATGGATTAGTTTTCCTGGAATTGTTGCTACAGAGTATGTAAATTCAGACTTTCCCATTTTCAGGAGAATAAAGCATAAAGCAGAGCGTAGGCTGTAATGTAAGACTCACGGGCTAAACTGTAACGCTCAGATTTGCATGGCTTGATTCTCTACTCAGCAAACCTAACATGGTTCTGACGTGCACAGGCGAGTGAGCGGTTATGCCTACCCTCACAGAATCTAATGGCATTTAAATCTTTCTGGGGTGGGCATCTTCACTTGGCTACATCCTCATTTTAACAGCATGTCCCTGAAAACACTTCAGATGCAGCAGGTTTCCCTTTACGCATTGTTATAAAATTGTCCTAGCTGGCAGAATCTTGCTTCTTATTCCAGCTCTAAAGCACTGGTGATGAACTTAAGGGCAAATGTGGGGCTGAAGTTTTTCTCTTCTTTTCTTTCAGCTGGCTAACAATTCAGCTTCTCTCATATACACCCATTCATCCTGCGTGACTAATGTGTGACGGGAGCAAGCACACACCCATATCACGCATGCCGCTCATCATTACACACAGAGCAGGCAGGAGCTGATCCATTTTAAGTCATCCATAGGTCCCAAGGATTTTTGTTTGTTTGTTTTGTTTTTATTTGTTTGTTTTTCATAGTTAAAACATGAAATATGTCTTTGGAATCAAGGGTTGTTTTCACTGTCTGGAGGTTTGTTTTCACTGAGTGTGTGGCCAGAGGAACTTAGCATTAAAATCTGTTGCATTCTAACAAACAGGCCACAATAGGCCTCAGTAAAATTGTCACTCCAGAAACAGATATTTAATTGATATGAGCAAAATTTAAATGTATCTATTTTATATGTAGTTTTTACCATGCATTTGATGGATATGCTGATTACTTTAGAACTGATTATTAAAGGACTATAACAAAGATGGAAGAGAGATAACACGGAATGCTAGAATGAGATTAAAATCCAGCCACTGGATATAAGGTTCATAACTCCATCTGAGATTCACTGTGTAGACACCAGTGTCTACCCATGTAGACACCACTCTTTTCCACTTTGTCAATTAGATGTACTTCTCTGTAGGGTTTTACCGTTCTGTTTCTAAAACATAACTATAAACTCATCTGTATATAATTGGCTTCTTTTTTTTTTTTTAATTTAGTCCCCGTGTAAATAATGCATTCACTGTGGTTTTAGCTGGAACAGATTACGTGGGAATCAGTCGAAATTTAGATTTTGCACCTGGCGTCAACATGCAGACTGTCCGTGTTGTTATTCTGGATGACCTGGGAAGACCAGTGCTGGAGGGAATTGAGAAGTTTGAACTGGTACTTCGCATGCCTATGAACGCGGCCCTTGGCGAGCCCAGCAAGGCCACAGTGTCCATAAATGACTCCATCTCAGACTGTGAGTGACTTTAAATTTTACAGTGATAAGAATGGATGTGTGTATTTGGCAGGTAGGATGGTAAGCTGTATATGCCTGTGTGTATTTGCTGACAGTGTAAAGGGCCTCAGACCCGAAGGTTTAAACAACAGCAGCCCAGCAAAAGCCCCTGCCTAAGTGAGGGTTAGAAGGGTTGGCTCTTTCTGAAGCCCAAGGGAAAGACGGCACAGGTGTCTCTCACTGACTTGTAAGTGGCCATCTTGTCCCTGAGCCTCTTCATTCATCTCCCTCTTCAGACTCTGCATGACCGGTTCTCACTTTGACATACTGGGCTGGAGTCCATCCTAATGACCTTTTAACGTGGTTATCTGTCCACTATCAGAGTACGCAGAGTATAAGTTCAACACGTAAGATGTTGGCATGGGAGACACCATTCACCCTACACTGATACCCCAAGTCTTTTCTACTGCTCATTTTGATAGAATTGCACGGCCTTTAAAGAAAATCACTAGTCTTCTTATATCTAAAAGAACAATGTGATACTGTCATTGGTGTCTTGAATGATTCAAAAATCTCTACACTGCATGGGTAGTGGTACATCATGAACTGTGTGGTATTTCATGAACTTTTGAGTTTCCATGGTCTTTTTCCACTTCTTAACACTAAGGCATTTCTGTCACCCCGCCCCGCCTCATATTTCTCCAATCAAATGTTTGTTGTGTGACACTACTCCTAAGGAGACCAAAGTAAGGATACCACCAGGGTCCTAACTGCTTGAACCTATAAGTTCTAGTGGGGTTCCTTACAGGAGCAGAAATGACTCAAAGACAGCTGTGCCACCGAAGCCCACCCCAGCACGGGTGACAGTTCACAAAGCTGGGAACCTGAGGCACCCTGCGCAGCCTGCAGGCAGCTCAACAGGCTGGAGAGTGTCTCAAGTAGCTAGTGAGGCTCATCTCTGCCTTTTCCAGGCAGCTCAGCCAGTCTGACGGTGTCTCTTCTGCTAAATATACCTGGAAAGTGTCGGGGGGTCGAAGGGGTGTTAGTGAACCTAATCGGTTTCAGGGACTTCCTGGAGCCTCTGAGTTGTTTACTCCCATAACTTAAGAAATTTCCATGTAGGATGTTTCACCTCCACTCAGACCACTCTGTTGTTTGATCTCCTTTTTAATACCCATTATTTTAGTGAGCTTCTCCCCCCCCCCAAGGGAAGGAGGTTTGTCTTGGAGAAAATTGCTACACAAACATTGTTTGTAGCAGGCCTCTCTAAATATCATCACTCACAACGGAATCTGGGAACTTTCCTATCATGATGATTCCAGTGGTGCTTGGAAGAAAGAAACCTGTTGTCAAGGAGACTTGTGTATGACTGACCTAGCCGAGGTGTCACCTAAAGCTAACACGTGCACGCACTCACCTGCTTTCCCCTACCATCCCTGAATAAAATGAACTTGTAATTACATGTGTAATGTTTAAGGTTCTTCATGTCAAGAAAAATTGAAAGCGTGTGATACAAACATCTGAAGGTTTCTGGTTTTATCTACATCTTAAGCTTTCCTTACATACGCTTAGTCCACAAAAGAGGCCAATGAAAATTACAATGACAAGGAAATAAAAACGTTTACAGTGGTTTCTCAAGGTGAGGATGTGGGCAAGTAAATGAGACCGAGGTACCACTCTCCTCACTTATTGTTGCCTTCTCTACATCCAACTGTGACTTCTGAAATGCCTCTCTTAATACAGGACGTTTCTGCTCATTTTGACCCATGCATTTATTGTTCCCACAGTGCCTAAAATGCAATTCAAAGAAAGAGTGTACACTTGCAATGAGAACGATGGACGCGTAGTTGCAATGGTCTACAGGAGCGGTGATGTCCAGCACAGATCTTCCGTGAGATGCTATACAAGGCAGGGGTCTGCGCAGGTGATGATGGACTTCGAAGAACGTCCAAACACCGATGTCTCCATTGTCACATTCCTCCCTGGTGTGTGTGAGGGTGAAGACGGTTTAAACCTTTTAGTGTATCTGTTTGTTGTGTGTATACAAGCATGGGGGAGGGGTGTGTACATGCCACAGTTGACACATGAAGTCAAGTTGTAGGGGTTGGGAGTTCTCCCCTGCTAACCACGTGGAGCTGGAGGCTTGAACTCAGGCTATCAAGCATAGGGAGACAGTGCATTAGGCCCTTGAAACTAAGTTAGTGTTGGAATGTTATTAGGCAAAATGTGTCTCACACTTTCAACGTACATCAGTGCCTTCAAGTCTTTCGCTACTTTGACCTAATGGTTTAATTTTATGGAATATATTCTAATGAAAAGAAGCATAGATGTGTGGAAAGTTTTGCTCATGTTGGTGGAGCATTGAGAACAACTTAAAAGGTCAACGCTAAGGAATGTTTCTTAATAGTTCAACATCCATCTGCTAGTATATCATATCGCCATTGAAGCTGGGGAAAGTTGGGGCACTAATAGTGGTCCCAGTTATTGGAGACAGGAATTGGATTGGTTTTGTTCAATGATCTGATCAACCAGCCAAAATTTAGTAACATGAAAAACTAGTGTAGTCATATTAACAACGGCCAATCAGCAGTGATCTGTGGACTGTTTCCCACCACAGTTCTGGGGACTCACGCACAAAACGGGCATTTCCTTCTTTTCCTTTGCTCTCTGAGATGAATGCTAGACTGTAAAGAGAGACATTACAGAAACCCTTATGAAAACGTGGGGCTGTGTTCAAGTAGTCACATATGCAGCAAATATTTATTAGGGGCTTAGTGTGAGCGGCATTCTTTGCACTGTCAGAGCGGGGGAGAGCAACACCTCCCTCTTCTGCTTTGTTCTAGTTGTTGGCATAACCTTCTAGCGTGTGTCACTGTGCTTTGCTCCAGGTGAGACAGAGAAGCCATGTGTCCTTGAACTGATGGACGATGATCTGTTTGAGGACGTGGAAGAGCTGCGCTTGGTCCTCGGCACACCACGGAGCAGCTCTGCCTTTGGGGCGGCAGTTGGCGAACAGAATGAGACTCTGATAAAGATCCAGGATGAAGCTGACAGTAAGACCTCACTGGTTTCCTAACAGTGGTTCCAGGACCCCTGAGTTCCCAGGTGGCTCAGAAAAGTGTTCCCTCTTTCTTAGTAGGATCTGCAAAGGACGGAGACATAAGTGGGGAACAAAACAGATCCTCGAAACTTAGATCCCCAAATTTAGGGGCTGGTGAGATGCTCAGGAGGTAAAGCGCTTGCCAGAAAAGAGTTTAGGATAAGAGTTTAGGCCCCCAGGAGCCACATAAGAGCTGGGTAGGTGTGGAAGCCTACCAGCGATCCCCTACTTTGGAGGCAGAGGGTGGGTCACTGAGGCAAGCTAGCTAGCTACACTAGTCAAACTGGCAAACTCCAGGTTCAGTGAAAGACTGTCTCGGAAAATAAAGTGGGGAGAAATGGAAGAAGACAGTGAACATCATGACCGGGCCCCAACGTGCACACACTGCACCCATGAGAAACACTGGTGCAGCACTTGCCTAACTGAAAGAGCCTGAGTTCAGGCCCAACACTGACAGAGCTGCCTGGCAAGGCTCTATGCACATTGAAGCACAAGCTTCCTTCCATACCTGTCCCTACATACCCCTTTATGTATACCCAATCCTGGGCCAGGGGTTTCCCCTCCATGCCCCTCCTCAGTGGCCTGCTCTGGTAAGATCTATGGGACAAAGAGACAGCTCACGGGGCATGAGCTCACTGTGGGCCACTGTTTTCCAGGAAGGATCTGAGCTCTACTGAACACTTCTTCTGTACTCATGCTACTATTGAGGCAACAGAGAAAAGCCAAGGATGTAACAAAAATAAAAGTCCCCTATGTGAGAGGAGACAGAAATGGAGAAAAAATGTCCACCCCCATCACCCTTGACCAGCAACTTTAACTTGTCTGTGTTTTCCCCACTCTTAGAAGCTGTTATCAAATTTGGAGAAACCAAATTTAGTGTCACTGAACCCAGCGAACCAGGAGAGTCAGTGGTTGTGAAAATTCCAGTGATCCGCCAAGGAGACACTTCAAAGGTTTCCATCGTGAGAGTCCACACCAAAGATGGCTCGGCCACCTCTGGAGAGGACTATCACCCCGTGTCGGAAGGTATGGGTCCTTCAGGGTCTGCCCACCAGCTGGATCACGGAGCTGGGAACTCGAGGCATGAAAAGCAATGAGCTCTTTAAACTACCTTCAGAAATATAAAGAGCAAAATCACTAGAATTTTCTTTTAGGGGAATTCTGAGAATTGCTGTGTGTGTTTGGAGCCTGTGGACCGTCCATGAGTTCTACTTCCATTCACGGTCAGGCATTACAGCATACATTGGCTGTGAATTTGAACAGCTTCAGCCAAGCGCTGAAGTTAGCTTCATGCTGGCAGGGAACAGAGAAAAGGTAATAAAATAGCAGCCGCATCAGCACCTGTCGTTTCTTCCATGTGCAAGTTTGGGGACCATCCCGTCATTTACTTTTATGAGCTGGTAATGCAAACAGACACTCCTCTCTTTCTCTCTCCTTGTTATTTGCTGACAGCATAAGCATAAACATAAATTCTGCTTATCAGGAACTAACTGTTCCTGCTTTTCTAACTCTTACCCTCAGAGGCCATTAGTTCTTGTCAATCACAACTTTTTGAGTTTCACCTTGATTTTGTGACTCACTAACAAAATGTTAAAAGGTGGCGGATGGGAGTTATCGAATCAGTAGAAAAATCAATGTGACAGAAACATAACAGCGTCTACAAAGGAGCTTAATTTCCTTTGCATAAACAGTCAGTGTTATTCCCGGACTTTGAAGTACATATATATAAATTCAAAAGTCATGAAAGTAAAACCGCTTCGCTACCAAATTACAAAGGCTAAAGTCAGCCTTTTCTGTGATGAACAGATTTTATATAAAAGAAAAACTTTCTAAGTATCTGCTGTGTAACCTTTTAACAGAAATTGTTTAGCTTAGAAATAAAATTTTTCTTGTAGTGAACTGAGCAAAATTATTAATATGTAGTGAACTAGTAAATGAAGCCAAATAAAGTTAAACAGTGCTGAATCCAAGTAGGTGCCACGTAACCCCTAAATAGCAGCTTATTGCTCATAATAAAATCTGGTAGATTTTTCCATGTAGCATGTTTTAATTTTTTATTTTATAATCTAAATTGGGGTCATGCCTGCTCAAATAGGAAAAGCATTACCATAAAAGCTGAACTCCTGCTCTGTGAAAGGAAATGACAGAGTAAGGCAAATGTGCCGAGAAACTTAAATCTCATCGGGAAAATGCACGTCAGGAAGCAGTCATCGAGTTGCATACAGTGAAGTGCTTTTAAACTTCTTAGACATTTGGTTTGTATAACTCGGGGGTTTGTCAAGACTTGAACGCTTACAGATCTACTGATGGAAGTGAGTGAAGCTGGCGAAAAGGAGGCTGGAATGTGGGTCAGCCAGAAAGTCCACTGTGGAAAAAAGCCCCCAGGAGCCTCATGCTGACAGTTAACTGTGCACGAAGGCACAATGCAACTCAAGAGTCTGTGTTTTCCTGTGAAATTTTCACAATATTTCTAGGGTAGGAAAGTAATTTTTTTTAAAAAAAGTCATACCACACAGACCAAACCAAATTATTTTATAGGGTTGCACTTGCAATACCAAATATACACAACAAAATATGTTTTTAAAAATTATAAGCCAATTACTAGGTAAGAAATAATTAGCTATTGCCATTTTCCTGTGTTTCTGTTGGGGCCAAAGGGAAAAAAATTCCGACTGTTGAAGTCTAAGAGTTTAATAAGGCTAATAGTGGTGGTGGGGATAGTTGTATCCAGAATTAGAAGGAAATTTTTATTGCATTGATTAATAGATGAATTAAATTTTTTCCTTTATAATTGGTATTATAAACTTTTGTAGTACAAAAGTATGTAGGAGGTACATCAGAGATTCAGTGTTCTGCAATAAGGAATTGATAATTTCATGGCCACGGGCAGGTCAGGAAAGAGCTCTGTCTCTGCCAGTGGGAATGACGGTGTTCTTCTGTCTTCACATTTCCTCTTTGGAAGCAGTTTCTCCGTAACACCTACAAACCAGCTTCTCCAGCAGCATCAGGAAGGTCTGCCTCTCAGACTTCAACAAAGCCCAACAGTCTTAGGGAAAGATAGGTGTTCAGCGAAGTGGTTGGGTTACATTTTCATGACGGTATAGCAGTCCTTCCTGTGTGGGGACATGTAAGGGAGGAAACAGTGCCATTTGCTTACAACCACATTTCAGTATCGAAGAACAGGGAAAATAAGTGCCTTTGAAATAGAAATTCGTAATGCACTTAAAACGATTCAAATCCAGCCTCTCTGTGTGTCTAACACCCTCTAGCACTCAGCTGCTCCTATCTGTGGTCCTGCTTATAGTCACTGGGGTTCATTAGCTTAGGGAATCTGGGCCCTAAAGAAGTTTGTCTGTTTACAGCCTGATATGAAACTAGTTACTGCCCTGTCACTGAGCAGTTCCCAAATTGTGGGTCAACAGATCCATCAGTCAGTCAGGATTAGGATTTTCCTTCGGATAGAACAGAGAAGAATAAAATAGTAGAAAAGATTAGAGTGAGAACTGGGGAGATGGCTCAGCAGGGAAGAGCGTTTACTCTCCAGTCACAAGACTTCAGCCCAAAACCCAACACCTGCCCCGGCTCCTCATGCCTGGAGCCCTGGCAGTGCAGGGGGCAGAGGTGGCAGGGTCAATGGGGTCTGTTGGACGCCAGCCTAGCTCTGAGTCCAGGGAGGGACTATCCCTTAAGGGAGTAAGGTGACCAGTGATAGAACAGGGCATCTTGTTCCCTTCTCTGGCCTCCACACATGCACAAGCACACACACACACACACACACACACACACACACACACAAACACACACAGATGTCCTGGACCACACTGTAAAATGTCCTTGTTACAAACCACAGTCCGAAAAGATCTCAGGTTCATCTTCAAAAGATTAAACTAGACTTTGTATTTGCAGAAATCGAGTTTAAGGAAGGGGAGACCCAGCATGTAGTTGAAGTTGAAGTGATCTTCGATGGGGTCAGAGAGATGAGGGAGGCCTTCACCGTTCACCTAAAGCCAGATGAAAATATGGTAGCAGAGACACAGGTAAGTGAGGTGCAGGGTTTGTAAGCCCACAGCTAACCTTTTCTGAGAGCAAATGTCACAAAGAAATCAAATGCCGTAAGAAGACTCGGGGCTGGAGAGATGGCTCAGCAGTCAAGGGTGCTTGCTCCTCGGGTACAGTCCCAGCACCACCATGGTGGCACACAGCCATCTGTAACTCCAATTCCACGGGATCCTGTGCCCTTTTCTGGCCTCTGTGGGCATAGCACACATGTATACATTCATGTATACTCATACACATAATGTAAAAATAAATAAATCTTTTTTCAAAGTAATAATTCTATACACAAAGGGAGTGTGCATGACCCCCTTGATTTATTATTTTTTTTCTTTGGTTTTTTGAGACAGGTTTTCTCTGTGTAGCCATAGTTGTTCTGGACTCAAACTCACAGAGATCCACCTGCCTCTGCCTCCCAAGTGCTGGGATTACAGGCGTGCACCACTGCGCCTAGCTTCCATGGTCCCTTTCATCCACACAAATTATTTTTTTTTTTTTTCTGATTAGATCAGGGCCTGAAAATTTATCTCTGTCTTTGGGAAACTGTGTTGTTGGAAGCTCAGAGCTGTAGTCCCTGGGCTCCACATCAGCCCTGTTGGCCTTCCCATGCCAGTCATTGTGCCTGTACTTGGACTCGCCTGCCACAAAGATGAGACATTTATTCAGCACTCACTCAAGAAGACATCTTTGCTCACCAAAACTTTCCTGGCCCTCAGCGTGCTCACGTGTTCCTCTAAGTCTGGGTGGACTTTGACTCTGAGACCTCTGTGTACACAATTTTATAGTCATAAAATGTTTTCTACATCATATACCCTCCAGAGTGTCTTCAAGACAGAGGTAATGGTCACATAGTTTGTCTTTCATGGTGGAGATAATTTTTTAAACTACAAGTCAAAAAATGGTAACTCTGTGACATTGTTGTCCTTTAAGGATTTTTTAGTTTTAGTTATCTTTATTTTGTATCCACGCGGGACAGTGCATACTGTGATGCATGTCTGCGGATCAGAGGACAGCCTGCAGGAGTCAGTTTTCTCCTCCCACAGTAGAAGTTCTGGGATCAAACTAAGGATGCTGGGATAGCAGCAACTGCCCTTACCCTCTCAGCCATCTCTCCAGCCCCACTGTTAATCTTTTTAAAGTTGTAGTTCTCTGTGTGGAAAGCCTTGATCAAATATATTTTTTTTAATCTTTCACTATTTTTAATGGAGTAACATGTAACATTCTTTCGGGTAAAGAGTCACTAAAATTACTTCCCATGTTAGAGACACTTTTAAAAATAGAGAAATAAGCTTTGGTTGGCAGTGTTTTAACTTACATTTCTTGGATTTTACACATAATTTGAATCTACTCTTATGTTTATTCCACAATCACGAGCTACAATCTGCTTTTCTGATCCATGAATGCCCACTGTGTTAGGAAGACGGAGCACGTTTTTTCACGTATTTTCAACTTGGGGCGTGCCCATTACATATAACACTATTGAAAGTGCAGGGGCAATGTGCAGGAACTGTCTTGCCAGTTATCAGAGGTAGGAAAGCCAGGCACATGGACAGAGGTGGTTTTCCTCCTTGACGACACAGTGTCCAGAACTGCTTCAGCCCAGTTCTCATCTTCCCTGTCTTCTGTGCCCCAGGCAGGTCCGCCTGGCCTTTGTCACCTGAAGCTTGTCCTCTCCCGGTCCTCTCTGCATCACCACAGCCCACACACTATGACCATGACCTTGGAGGTCTCGATTTCTCACCAGGTGTCTGTCAGCTTTTTCCTCCCACTGTCAGCTAATGGATTTTGTTTTCATGTAACTTCAACCTCACAAATCCATAAACTGGTTTATCTACTACCATCACAACTGAAGAAAAAACCTTAGGACCTAAGTCTCTCAGGGGATAGTGGCAAGCCTGGGGACGAGCTACCCAATAGAGGGGAACTACCCGCTACCCTCCCCTCTATTCACCAGAGATGACCAAGGTGCCAGGGTCACATGAAATAAGCTGTGTGTGGCCTGTCACTCTGAGAATGATAATTTCATCATGGAAATTCCAAGGGTTTCCCAGTCATGTTTCTGAGTGAGAGGAGTTCCAAGAACCTTAATACTTGACAAATCAATGATCTGTCCTTTTTCTTCTAGGCAACCAAGGCCATTATACATATAGAAGAAATCAACAGCATGGCAGATGTCACCTTTCCTTCTGTCCCTTACATTGTGTCCTTGTTGATATACGATGACCCTTCCAAAGCCAGGGAGGACACTGGACCTGTGTCTGGCTATCCTGTTGTCTGCATTACGGTAAGGAGGAAATAGATCAAATTGGGGGAAATTATAAGACAATTAATTTTTAAAGACTCGTTTGTTTTTATTTCATGTATATAAGTGTTTGCCCACATGTTAGTATGTATACCACATGAATGCCTGGTATAAAGGTCAGAAGAGGGGCTCCAACCCCTGGACCTGGAGTTACAGATGTTTGTAAGCTGCCATGTGGGTGCTAGGAATCAAACCCAGGTCCTCTGCAGGAGCAACAAATACTCTTAACCCTAAGACATCCCTTTAGCCCTATAAGGTAACTATTTAAAATAATTATAAACTTTAGTAATATTGTCTTGGGAAATTTAAGGTTTAAGCTTTGAGCTGTGAAAAGCAGACAATATCAATAATTAAATGAAGCTCCCATTTTCTTCCTCAAAAACAAACAAACAAACAAACAAAAAAACCAGAAACCCTATGAACTGAGTACAAAGTGTGTGGCTTAAGAACAACTTGTCAGGCAAGTCAGTAAAGCATGAACTGTGCACAGAGAAATTAAACAATAAGACAAAGGATTGGGTAGGATTTTGACAGTTTGAGATTGGGATAAGGGATGATCATTCTGGAAAGGCATGGAGAGAGAGAGAGAGAGAGAGAGAGAGAGAGAGAGAGAGAGAAGAATTTCTTACAGCTTTTGCTTGCCTTTTCAGGGCTGAATTTTGTTTCTCCTGAACAGAAACCAAGATGTGTCTTTTCATGTCACAGCAGCCCTAATGAAACATCCCACGTATATTGGGCACACAATGAACGCTCACTGGTTTAATGAGGCAGGAATAATTTGGTGTTCACTTCTAAAGGGTTCTAGGTGTCACTTTGGGCAACTTGGAATTCATTTGTTGGCTGTGTGGTAGAGCTTCATGAGGAAAGGGTCATGCCGGAATATAGGTGGGGCTGCAGTGTGTAATTGAGGTAGGAAAGGAAGGACCTGAATTAGATGGAAAGAGATATGGAAATGGTGAAGAACGGGCCAACTTAAGGAGTGTTTCAAAGCAGAGCGGTCAAGGTCACCCACCCGCAGAATGTGGAAGGAGGAAAGAGAAGGATTGGGCTGGCAGCTGGCAGCGGTGTCTGATTGGCACTCCTGATTGACTGTCCTGATTGGCTGTCCTTGATGGTGTGACCAGCCTGGTGAGAGAGGTAGATTTCAATACCTTCTGTAGGACAGAGGGAGAGGGGACAGAAGCATGAGTGGAAGAAGTAAGAATGACTGGAGATTCGGCTGTGCCGGTGATGTCCAATGAGCTATTTGAAGTTGTTGAAAATAAATTGGTATCAGGCTGGTAATGTTTATTATTAGTCCTACAATTATTACAGTGGTATTATCTGTGTCAAATAAGACACAGACACTGTTAAATTTTAAAATTGCCTTATAATACCTTGGGCTGGACAGGTATTTCCACAATGCTATCTCAGTAACTTCCCCATCCACCTTCCAGCCCCCATTCAATGCCATCTGCCTTACTCATTCCTCTCTGGCATATTTCTCATCCATAATTCCATGCATACTTGTTTATCCCTTATTTGGGGTTGCTTTCTCCATTCACATGGTTGTGGAATCCTTCCTCCAGCCACCATCATGGCTTCCTCCTTTCTCCTTTCTTCCTGTCTGTTCTTTCCCATGATTCTTCTCTTCCAAAGCCCTTGAACTTTGGCCACACCTACCCCTTTCTGCCCTGCCCTGGTTTAGGCTTTTTAATCAGCCAACCAGGAATAATTTCTTAGGCAAAGTTAAACAACAATACTTGGGGTACATGATTATTCATAAAAAATAAACATCTTGGGTGACAAGCAAGTAATGAATCCAAAATACCAGATCGTATGAAGTCTAAAGGACAGAAAAATGATCCCAGCTGGGAATAAGAGTTCAGAAGTTGTATGAACAGCATGTAGCATTGAGGGTCATGGGGAGCAGGGGAGCCATTGGAACTGAAGGAATTTGAGAAGAATCAAATCCACATTATTCTCTACTGTGGTCTTAACACAGATCTGTTTTGTTTTTTTTTCCCCCATAGGCCTGCAACCCCAAATATCCAGACTATGACAAAACAGGCTCTATTTGTGCCAGTGAGAACATCAATGACACTTTGACCCGATACAGATGGCTGGTTAGCGCTCCTGCTGGCCCGGATGGTGTGACCAGCCCCATGAGAGAGGTGGACTTCGACACCTTTTTCACGTCATCTAAAATGATTACCTTAGATTCCATATACTTTCAGCCTGGCTCCCGCGTACAGTGTGCGGCTCGTGCCGTGAACACCAATGGGAATGAAGGCCTGGAACTGATGAGCCCCATCATCACCATTGGCAGAGAAGAAGGTGAGAGACCATGCCCCACATGAGGGTCACTGAAACACTGCAGTATTGCAAATGGCTTGTTTCCATATATAAATCTCTCCAAATGCCTATGCATGCCATAGCACTCCATTAAAGATGAATATGCATGTTCACAACAGTCTTCATTACAAAACAGTTATTTGGGCTGGAGAGATGGCTCAGAGGTTAAGATCCCTGGCTGCTCTTTCAGAGGTCCTGAGTTCAATTCCCAGCAACCACATGGTGGCTCACAACCATCTATAATGAAATCTGGCACCCTCTTCTGGTGTACAAGTGGAACACTGCATATGTAATAATTAAATAAATTTTAAAAAAAGAAAGAAATTTTAAAAACAGTTGTTTGCAGGGTATGGTAGCACACACCTGTAATCCCAGCACTTGGGAAGCGAAGGCAGGCGAATCACTGTTAGTTTGAGGGCAGCCTGTTCTTCAAAGCGAGTCCAAGACAGCCAAGGCTACCCAGAGAAACCCTGTCTCAGAAAAAGGAGGGAGGGAAGAGGGAGGAAGGGAGGGAGGGAGGGAGGGAGAGAGGGAAGGAAGGAAGGAAGGAAGGAAAATAGTAACACATTTCCTAAGCACCTTTGGTGTGCTGGGTTCAGAGCCTCGTACTCATACTGATGATAAAGGAGGGCTCCCATCCTCCAGGAGTCCATAGGAGAACTGGAGGCACAGGTAATCTGAGTCTGGTCCTGCTGAGATAAAAACGTAAGAAGACCCTGAGAAGCATGAAAGAACATGAACTCTCTGGGATTGACAAGCCAAAAAGGGGGGGGGGGGAGGAAGGGTTAGGTTAGGTCTAGGCAAGGAGGGGGTTACTCCACCAGGTCAAGAGCCCAGCTAGCTGTTGCCTGCCTGAGGATGTGCTGGGGACACGAGGGAGTGACGTGACGGTGTAGGTGGAGAGCCATGTGCACGTGTTCTCACCGCATTACAAGATGGAGGCTGTGTTTGAAGCTGGAGCAGGGAACATGTACTAACCCTGCAGAGGACCCAAGTTCAGTTCCAAGCACCATGTCAAGTGGCTCAAAACCGCCTGTTGCTCTGGCTCCAGGCTTCTGGCCTCCATAAGACAGATACACACACTCACAACTAAAACCTATGCATTCATTCATTCATTCATTCATTCATTCATTCATTTTAGTGTGCTTACGACTTGAAATTATAATTCAGTAAAGTTCTGGGATCAATTCCCAGCATTGTAAACACACACGCTAACTTTTAGTTTCATTCACCAATAAGTAATATTTATTACGGCTAACATAGGATTATATATATATATGTGTATATATATATATTTCACAACTAATCGTTTTACCCTAGGGTAACATTCATATTCACTTCATTTGACTATACTCTTGTACAGTACTTCAACCATTTTCATTCTGTCTGTTCATATTACACAATAACTTCTGCAAATATGTCCCTGACCTAAGTAAGCATCATTTATTCAGTCAGTCTGACCAAGAGCTGGTTCCTCTCAAACCTGTGGAGAAGGTCCTGGCCTGCGTGCTGTGGATACGTAGGTCACACACAGTCTTCTACTTCCTCGTGTCATGCATTCTGAGCTAGGTCTTAGATCATAGGGAAAAACTTAAAACGTAGAAAAGGAATAGCACCTTCGTTAGAACATTCCTCATGTGCTATCTGTTATCTTCTTTTAGCATAAATGTGCTCCCTTTCTTCAAGGTCTCTGTCAGCCCCGTGTGCCTGGGGTCGTGGGGGCGGAGCCATTCTCGGCTAAGTTGCGCTACACTGGTCCGGAGGACCCAGACTTTGCCAACCTCATCAAGCTCACCGTCACGATGCCACACATCGACGGTGGGTACCCTGGGTATAGCAAGACCTTAGGAGCATCTTGGGTATTTACAACCTGGTCTGTTTCACTTCCTTAACCTTCAGTTTGCGAGTTGCCTGCCAAGTCCATCTGCTTCTTTCAGCTCTTTCTGCCCAGCTTTGAAAGTCTGTCAGCTTAAAAAAAAACTAATCTCTAAAGTTAAAACGCGGGTGCAACCAGACAGCAGCGCTCCCCTTCGCTCCTGTGCAGGCATGCTCCCCGTCATCTCCACGAGAGAGCTGTCCAACTTTGAGCTGACCCTCAGCCCTGATGGCACGAGAGTTGGGAACCACAAATGCTCCAACCTGTTGGACTACAGTGAAGTGAAGACCCACCATGGCTTCCTGACTAATGCCACGAAGAACCCCGAGGTCGTTGGAGAGACCTACCCGTACCAGTACAGCGCGCCGGTCAGGGGCTCCAGTACCTTACGCTTCTACCGGAACCTGAACCTGGAGGCCTGCCTGTGGGAGTTTGTCAGCTACTATGACATGTCGGAGCTGCTGGCTGACTGTGGAGGAACCATCGGGACCGACGGGCAGGTACGAGTTCTAACATGAGCCTTGCTGCTTGGGTCTGTGAGTAGATTCTCTCTCTTTTTTTTTTTTTTTCCCTAACCTCAACTGTTATCTCAGTATAATTAGTCACAGCGGGGCGCATGGTTGGCATGAATGACACAGAAATCTGTGGTTGGTTGGTTTGTTTTTCAGGAAAGGGTTTCTCTGTGTAGTCTTGGCTGTCCTGGACTCACTTTGTAGAGCAGGCTAGCCTCGAACTCACATAGATCCAGTTGCCTCTGCCACCACCAGTGCTGGGATTACAGGTGTGCGCCACTGTTCCCAGCCTCAAAAATCTGTCATACCACATATTAATACACAAGGGATAAAAAAAAAAAAATCCTCCTCCCATACCAACAAAAGTATGCTGCTAAAACAATAAGGAATAAAGGCTCTGCTTAGATTATAATAAAAAACATCTAAAATTTGTATTGAAAATGATAATAAGTATTTGAACTAACATCCTGAAAGAACAGGAAGTCACAAAAGGGGCATTTGTGTTAAAGTAACGAATGTCATGAAGAATGCACTGTATCTTTCAAGAATTAGCCCAAGGGAGTCCAAACTCCTGCTGGAATTGGCAGTTCCCAAAGCTGTCTTTGTAAAGGCTATATTTCTGCTATGTTAAAAGTAAAGGCAAAACCCTATGGTAGCTGACCACAGATTTTTTTTTCTTACTGTATTCAGTTTATTATAAATAAAAGTTAAAAGCCATTAGTATTCCGATAGATGTTACAGAACTCTAGATGACCGAGGGTAGCATGGGCATTGACAACAGTAACTTGTATAATCCACATGCATGGGGTGCCTTTTCATTTCTTTTTTAAATTTTCTTTGGGAATGCTTTTAATTTCTTTTTTTTTTAATTTAATTTTATTTTTTCTTATCAGTTACATTTTATTAACTCTGTATCCCAACCGTATCCCTCTCCCTCATTCCCTCCCAATCCCACCCTCCCTCCCTCATCTCCACCATGCCCCTTTCCAAGTCCACTGATGGGGGGACCTCCTCCCCATTCATCCGATCCTGTTTTATCAGGTATCTTCAGGACTGGCTGCAAAGCCCTCCTCTGTGGCCTAACAGGACTGCTCCCCCCTTGGGGGATGGGGAGCTGACTTCAGATTTGATCCCAAAGCAGAGCGATTTCGTTTACTGTCGCTGTTGCATGGTCAGCCTCTCCTGATGCCTGGAAGTCAGTGGACTCACAAGTTGTTGAGACTTACCGTCCTCAGAAAGCAGACCGAGGCAGCAAATAGTGTGAATTAGTGAAAATCCCTATTAAAGCATCAACGTAAGGGCACTGCGAAGTAGTGGGAGGAGCCTGTTACTGCAATAAGCAAATACTTGACACTCAACATCTGGTTCTGATGGATTCTAGCTGCGTGTCTCTGAGCACATTACATAAAGCCCTCGTGGGTGATGGCCCAGTGCATACTTCTTCCTCAGTCTGTCTTTTACACATGAAAAGGAAAAGCAAAAGTAAAGAAAGGAAAAACAAAACAAAAAACAAAACACTACCTCAGCCTTCTCCTTACACATCAAATACCTTTTTCACTTCCTCACAGAGCTTGTGCAGTTGTTACGAAATCACTGTCTACGTTCTGATTGCTCCAGACACAGGATCAGTTGACATAAACGAAATAGGACACGGTTACAGGACTGCCCTGCAGCTCAGTTGGGCCTCTGTTAGCTTGCTTCACCACAGAATGGAAATACATCCATCCTTCACGCGTCACGCAGACAGCTCGTTTTCACGATGTACCCTTGCCTTCACCCTGCTAAAGCTAATTCTGCTGTTGCTGATCAACTGCAGTGTGTCAAGCTAGTTTTGAAGGCAAGGCTTGCCTCTGAGGTGTTTCATTCTTAAGACTAAATCTGGCTAATAAATGTTCACTTAAACTGATTTTACTTTGCTAAATTTTTAAATGTTTATTATCCTATTGAATACTTGGAGTCCAGAGACGTTTTAGGTCCAGTGACCTCAAGTAACTGAAGCCAATGCTGTGTCTGTATAATTGAACTTTAAGGAAAGAACTGACAGGTGCCAGTTTCAGTGAGGTTTATCCAGCATAAGTGGCCTGGGTAACACACCAGGCATGAGATAGAACATGCCCTGAGGATTATCTGTCAGCTAGTTATTTTATCTGTCATCTAGCTGTATGTCTGTCTGTCTCTATCTGTCTGTTTATCTATCTGTCTATCTGTCTATCTATCTATCTATCTATCTATCTATCTATCTATCTATCTATCTACCTATCTATCTATCTATCTACCTATCTATCTGAGTATATGGATCTTTTGCCTGCATGTTTGTATATGCACTACATGCATGCCTGGTACCCACAGAGGTCAGAAGAAAGTGTCGGATCCTCTGGAACCGGAGTTCCAGATGGCTTTATGCTAACATGGGGTGACAAGATTTGAACCCACACCCTCTGGAAGAGCGGCCAGTGCTCTTAACTACTGAGCCATCTCCCCAGCTCCCAGGTTATTAGGTTCCTAACCAGTTCGTGTAAGCTTTTTCAGTTGATGGCCAACATATAAGAATCCCTTCTGAGACGACTTTTCTGCTTCACCGTTATTGACCATCAATCTAATGATGGAGCCATGATGACCAACATCCTTGAGAAGAACATACAATGCAACTCACTGAGGTTTCAGGTGCTGTTAGACATCCCAAGACCTTCCGTGTGATCCATGTGGTCACAAGCTAGCACAACACATTGTTTACATTCTAAAAGGAAAGCTTAAAGATGGGCCTCCCACTCACCCCTGCTTTCTTACTGGCTTAAACTTCAATTTTGCTACATTATATCAATCTCCTTCTTTCTCACCACACCACAGATACATACAAACTGTAGGTAAAGGAGAAGAAATATAAATTAATATAAGAGAAAGCTAATCCTATAAGAATTACCTTCCTTTTCCTCCATTCACTTATGCTTATGAGAAAGAAGAAACATAACCAAATGGTCGTAGTGACAGTAAAACCATGGCAGTGGGGGTGGGGATGTGGCCCAGTTGTTTGGGTGCTTGCCTGGTGTTCATGAAACCCTGAGTTTAGCCAGCACCACACAGACCAAATGTAGCAGTGTATACCTGTAGTCCCAGAACTAGAGGCAGGAGCATGAGAAGTTCAAGGCCAGCCTGGGCTATGTAGGACACTGTCTCAACCAAAACTAATAACAGCAATGATGGTGATAGTCATGATGGTAACTAGTAAAGTTATTGTTAAGTGTGTGCCTTCAGCTTTTCTAGACACACCCTATGTATCCACTGATGTGGAAGGCGTGCATCGGAAAGGGAAGCAGAATTCCCGAGGCGGTTCTCTAAGAAACTGCATCGTAGAATGAAAAGATTCAGATTTAGAACTTCTACAGTCTTACAGATGTTCACATTTCTGAATTTTTAAGTTGCTAAACTGGTCAAATTAAACGTGAACCATCAGCATGAATGGCGGACTTGGGAGTGGCTCTGTGGGTTTCTGAGTACTCCCATTAGCAGCACACACAGGTCTGCTGTCTACTTGCCAACAAATGTACTACAAAGCCCTGGCCAAGTGCCTAGTGTACACCCTCCAGCACCTGTCTTAGACTTGGCACGTTAGCCTAAGGCAACGCTGTGCAAACAACTTTTACTAACCTGCCCTCGCTGCAGCCACCTTTGTGAAATATTCCTAAGCTGCTACTGTGTATTTGAGTGTGTTTGTGTTTAAAGTTCTTTATCTGACACACAGAATATTCTGCCTCCAGACTCGGTATTCAGACTACTTAACCTGTACGAAAGTGTTGCCAAAATGAAGGAATGGTTGGGAAATTCAGGGTTTTTATGTGCTGACAACCATGAAGTTTGTTGAGTTTTGTGCAGCTTGACTGCAGCTCTCCTCAGCTCGTTTCAAGACCTCCTTATTTAGTTCTGTATTCATGAAATAGTCTCTTGACATCTAGACTGTACAAGGAATCATCCCAGGGACCTGGTGAGGACCCCATACACACCATCAAAGGAGACATATAGGTCAACTATTATTCATCAAAAGGTTAAGAATTTCACTTGTTAAGAAAAAGAATTTTAAAATTGTTTAATTTTATTAATCTCTAAAAGAATCTCTAGTCATTAGCTTCAGAAATGCAAAGGCAGGTGCTGCAGAAATGGCCCAAAGGTTAAGAGCATTGTCTGCTCTTCCAGAGTTCCTGAGTTCAATTTCCATCAACCACATGATGGCTCGTGACCGTCTATACTGGGATCGGATGCCCTCTTCTGGCATGCAGGTGTACAGGCAGATAGAGCACTCATATATATAAAATAAATTTTTAAAAATCTTTTTTAAAAAATTCAAAGGCAGATAAAACAAAAAAGAAAAATATAGGGTTATTTTTATATAAATATAAATTATTAATGAATAATTCTGCCCTACCTCTATGCATGTCCTGTTTTCCATTTTCTTGTTTGTTTTCTTTGGTTTAATTAAGGTTGTTTGAGCATGCAATGAGAAATGCTTGACAGAAATGAAACTTAGTTTTTTTAAGCCACAACACGTCTATCTCGATAGATGCTTGGGTCAATAAAAGACACAAGAAAAACACATTGCAACAGGGATGGGATGAGGCTCATTCCCCACCAGTAGTATCCCTGAGGAAGAATTCTAACACGTCTGAGTGTTCACACTTTCAGGTAAATGCAAGCCACATACTCTGCATTAAAGGACCATAGTTCCATAGTTCTCAATGTTTTTTTTTTTTTCTAATACATGTGGTCTAATTTAAAAGACCTTGAATATGGGGATCTTGAGCTGTACTGGCCAGTGTGGTCCTCCTCAGTTATGTGTGGCTACTGTGCCCTCTAAATGGAGACAGAGTGGATAATGTGTGTGTGTATATATATATAGCTATAATGGCATTCATTCCGCCCCTGCCCATCTCACATGCAGAATAGCAGCCTGTCTCGGGCTTTTGGGCAAACAGTGCCCTCTCCACATATATGCTTGGCACTCAGGAGCATAATTTGACAATGTGTTACTTTCTCTAGGATATTTACATTTTGTGATTTCCCTTTAAATACTGTGTTTAAGGTGTTACTTGTCTGTGTTAATTAACTTCACATGTCAATGGGGGCATGTAAGGTCACTCATTGAGCCTCAGATGATTATTCATACCTTTCTAGGTCCCTGAGGTAAAGGTTAAAAGAAATTGAATGCTCTTCAAAGTGGCACCAGAAGTAATTGGTTCCACTGCAGTCTTTGGCTGAGGAAAGAAACAGGCTGACTGAATGATTGAAGGGGGTGCCATTTCAGCTCCCGTGCCCTCCAGGCAGAGATTCTCCGTAGCTAGGAAAACCTGGCCCTAAATAATAAACAAAATGTACAAGATGCAGGTAGTCCTAGGGGTGGAAATCACCACATTCACATGGGTGTGTTGGGACTCACACCCATGATGACAGCACTCAAGAGGATGAGGCAGGAGGATTGCCATGAGTATTAGACTATATGGTAAGTTTCCATAAATGAAATCAAATGAAAATCACACAAGGCGCTATATTCCAATTATCTGCTTGTGAGCAAATGCTAAAACTTCCCTCCGGAACAGTGTTCCAATAACATTTGATGGATAGTATGCCAATATTAGCAAAAAAAAAAAAAAAAAAAAAAAAAAACACAAACAGAGAGACAGACAACGCTATGTTTTAAATGTAAGTCCATGCCTAAAGCCTAACATTTTAACTGAGGGTTTTTGAAGTCACAGAATGAAATAGGAATCTTAATCACCAAGTCACTCTCCATGATAGCCAGAGAATTAACTACCCTTCAGAACTCCTTGTTCTGCGATAGTAATTATGGCTGCTCCTGCGAAAAGCACACCTCATGTTACAAGGCACAGATATATCAGAGAAGGGGCGAGTGCTCAAGTCCCGCAGGTGAGACCAAATGAACTGCTCATCCGGTGGGTGCTCTTTCTCACTATGCGTGTTTCCATCACTGGTTTGGTTCTCTGTGTGTGACGTGAGGATTTTGTTCTTAACCCCACGAGCGTGCGGCATATCACGGCGCGGTTCTCACGATTTAATTGCCTGTCTAGTCCCTGGGTCGCTTCTCTGTAGACCAGGTCCAACAGCTGGATTGGAATGTCCAAGAAGAGTCAGCCGAGAGGCGGTGGGATCCTTGTTCTGGTGCTTGGAGCATTTGGAGGGGGAAATGCAGTAGGTTTTGTTGGGTGGTCTTAGACGCTCTCTGCACCGTGTGGTCTGCGCTAAAGCATAGGAGAGGTGAACACGGGTCAGAGACTACGTTCCGATTTCCACACGCCACTCGGGAGAGTAGGAGAATTCTGCCGAGGGGGCCGGAGAGATGGGTTGGTGGTTAAGAGCAGTGAGTGGGCTTAGCTCGGAGCTCGCCCAGCATGGCTCACAGTGCCAGTAGCTCCAGGGCCAGGCAGGGTACTCGATGCCTTCTTCTGACTCGTGTGGGCACCAGGCATGCACCCTGCAGTACGCATACGTGTATGCAAGCAAAACACACAGGCACATAAAATAAAAGTAAATTCTCAAAAGTTCTGGTGAACGTGCTTCATTTCTTAGAGACTTCATTTTTCCACATCTTTGCTTTCTGGCCATCATCCATCCACTCATCAAACCCCCTTGCATACATACAGATACAATTACGAGAATAGAAAAACTATTAAAAAGTTTTTATTATTTTATAGCCAACACAATGTCTGAAATTTGTTAGGTACTTGATAGGTATGAATTTATCCTCCTGACCTCCCTTACCCCATCTGTTGGCTATCAGAAGACAGAAAATATACAATTCAAAAACAGTTCATGTAACTGTTTTGAGACATGGTAGCTGAACCATGTCATCGCTAAATATGTTTGTTTTTACCTTGCTGAAAGTAGCATTTATCTTAAGGAAGGTGGGTGCACAACCCTGCTGCGTGAGACCTTGGTGGCAGTGTATGCAAAGTGAGGAGATAACAGTGCCCTGAAAGGCTCTCTCATTTGCTTCCTTCACTGACTGCACAAAACCTTCAGTGAAGTGTGAAGAGATGGCTTCTGCTAACGTGGGCTGATTAACACGGATGGGAATGACTTCCTTTTAGGTTCTGAACCTAGTGCAGTCCTACGTGACCCTTCGAGTTCCTCTGTATGTTTCCTACGTGTTCCATTCCCCTGTGGGGGTGGGAGGCTGGCAGCATTTCGACCTGAAGTCAGAACTGCGGCTCACGTTCGTGTATGACACTGCCATCTTGTGGAGCCATGGGATCGGCAGCCCGCCCGAGGCTGAACTCCAAGGTGGGTTGGTGTGACTGCAAAAGCAACTTTCTTACCTTTCTTAACTTTCTCATTCAGGAAGATGATTTTATTTTTATTGCATGTGAAAATAATTTGAGCACCTTTCAATAACTTTATTTTTATATTCTCTAATAATGTGACTTTTTAAACCTTTGTTAAGGAAAATCTTGTTTAACAAGAGCACCTCAATGCCGCAAACTTTGTATGAAATGTAACTGAAATTTAGCTTCTTTATTTAAGGCATATTTTACTCTGTATTGCAAGCCATATAGTTTCCTGGCTTCTACTAGATTGAGGGATTTCGGCTGAAAATTGGCAATAAAATCAAGGGGAAAGGTGCACAGTTTTCTTCTGGAGTGAGAGAGGGTCGATTTAAGGTCCAATGATAAACCCTGCCCTGGATTCTAGTTCTGACTCTACAGCTAATTAATTGTAATCTCAAACACATTGCCTAAACTTGGGGATGGGGGGCTTCTAATTTCCTGTGAGGGACAGACAAAGCTACTGTCGCCTTCTGATTAGAACTATATCATTCTGTGATGCAGTAGACAAGTGTCTTAGACCATTAGAACGCCTGATGTAAGCCCTTTAGCATCTGCCTCTTTGTTGGTACCCATGTGAGAATCATGACATCCAGAAGTTAGGTAGTCATGTGGCTCGTTTCTTTAATCCCAGCACTTCAGAGGATGAAGCAAGAGGGTGGCTGTGGGTATGAGAACAGCCTGGGCTACATAGTAAGACTGGCTTTGAAACAAAATAATAAGCAAAAGCAAGCAAAGGCCCACGAGTGTCAAGCTAGCTGACCCATGAACAGAATTGGTGCTCTTTCCTCTCAGACTCACGTTACTCTCCTGAGTCTATGGATTTCAACATCACTCATGACATTTTCCCAGCCAGGAAGACAGAAAAAAAATTGACCCCAAATCTTAAGTATAATTCCACTATATAGGACAGATTAAAATTCCCTTAGAGCTGTGAGGAAAGTGCAGTGAGCACCAGGGCAGGCTATCCAGATCGCTTCGAGGGCTTTAACTCCACATTTTACCTTAAAAGATACATATACAAATGAATATTTCTCCCCTTGCTCTTTTGGGTGGAGGAGGGGGTTAGGAGAACCTTACCAGGCTGACCGTTTAGCCCAGGCTCACCTCAAAATCTCTTTCCTACCCCTAACTCTTCAGTGCTGTAGAAATGTTTGAAATCTCAGTTTTTGTCAGCTAGTTAATTTTGGCAAGGGTGGTGGTTGTGAATCACCGGGATTTCTTTAAACCCATCACTTCTGCAGTTGTTCTGGGGAGTTCAAACGGGTTCAACTTACGTGTCTCATTGTCTATGGTTTCAACAAGGCCATTTGTCCTTTCTCTAAAATTACAGCTTTGCTTTTGTAAACTAAAACTGTTTTAAAAATGTATCATAGTCATCTGCATATTTTAGTGGCCAGACTCATATAACTTAATTCATTATTTTGCCTCCTGTTTATCCTTATCAAGAAACTTGTACCTGTTATGATAATGATGATGATCATCATCTAGAATTCATCTGATATATCTGTTCATAGAAAGTTTAAAGACTTTTTGTTAAGAAGCTATACTTTTTCTGAGCCAATTAGCTCAGAGAAAAAAAAATCTATGCATGAGGGTCTCTGGCCACCTATATTTTTACCCTCCTTCTATAGGCTCTCTGTATCCAACCAGCATGCGCATTGGTGAGGAGGGGCGCTTGGCTGTGAACTTCAAGACGGAGGCTCAGTTCCATGGCTTATTTGTGCTGTCACATCCTGGTAAGCCTTGTCAGTGGGTAGCCCTCTCCCACAGGACAATATGTACATCTTCATTCATATCCACACAGGTCTCACATGCTTCCCACCTCGCTCTGAAGGTCTTCATTTCATACGACTTCCATATGTGGAATTACACCCTTAGTGCTTGGTCATCATTCACCTATCTCCTACTGTGTAGAAATGTACCATCCCTGAAAACATGGACTAGGGATTTAATGTGAATTTTCCTTTTCTGTGCTTTGTTTCTATGACATAAAAACCTCACTTCAGTTGATTTATTTTTGCCAGCACTTTTCCGCTCAGTTTTTTCCAAGTCTGTGAGAAACATTTTTTTTTAGATTTGTTTATCTATTTTATGTATATGCGTGCTCTATCTGCATATACACCTGCAAGCCAGAAGGGGGCATCAGATCTCATTATACATGGTTATGAGCCACCATGTGATTGCTGGGAATTGAACTCAGGACTTGCTGAGAGAGCAGTCAGTGCTCTTATCCACTGAGCCATCTCTCCAGCCCTGTGAGAGACAAAGGCAGTTTACTTTCATAGTCAAGCTTCAGGCTTCTTAACTGATTTGTCAGAGACTGGATAAGCAGCACCTGACTGTGCTTTGAGTATTGTAAGACATCTGTCAGTAAATTGGTATTTGCTTGTTTGACAAAGCCTGTCTCACTAGAAATAGATCGTTTTTCTTTGACTTTCAACATTGCCTTAGTTGGTTTCCCATCTCTTGGGCTGAAAAGGGAAGCAGTTCATGGACTTTTTTCACAGCCATCCCTTTCTAGGAGAAAGCTGTAAGAAAGGAGAAAACAGAGCTAAGTGTTCAGGAGGAAAAGGCCCACCGTAATTTTTGAAGCAGATTAAGCTGTAAGAAATACAGAAAGAAAAGGGATCGTATGACTGCACTGTGATGATGAGTTCTGGGGAGCAAGGCTTTCCTGTATTTGGAGTCTCTTCTGGGTACCCTTGTCTCTATAGGCTGTCTATAGCCTGGCTGCAGGCAATCTAATTAGAATTAGAACTCGTTCATAAGGTGCCTTTGCTAATGGTATATTTTAAGTTCATCCCATGGCGTTGGTGTGCTATTCCAGCATTCACTCAGCTGTGGCTGCCCTGCACTGCAGAAGCCCTGAGCACCTGAGTTACATAGGTCAGAAAAGATAGTAAATTAGGAATCCAAAGTCAAACAGCCTATCTGGGTGATCTTGGGAGAGTCCCATAGTCACTCTCTGCCCAGTTTTTTTGTTGTTGTTGTTTTGGTTTGGTTTTTGGTTTTTTCTTTGAAATGAGAATAAACACATCCTCACTGGAGACTTGTAAAAAAGAATTAGGCAATCAGGTACTTTGAGACCTACACTGTTGTAGACCTTTTCAATGTAACCACCAGACCATTGTGGCTTTTGGTGTTTTTCCAGCCTCCTTCACCAGCTCGCTGATTGTATCCGCTGACCATCCGGGCCTCACTTTTACCCTCCGCCTCATACGGAGTGAGCCAACCTATAACCAGCCAGTCCAGCAGTGGAGTTTTGTGTCAGACTTTGCGGTAAGTGGCTGACCAAAGACCTCCCGGCTGCCTTTTGACAACACTGCACATTTCAAGGTGAAAACACCTTCTCTCCTCCTCAAAGGTCCGAGACTACTCAGGCACCTACACCGTAAAGCTGGTGCCCTGCACCACCCCATCGAACCAGGAGTACCGTCTGCCGGTCACCTGCAACCCCAGGGAACCCGTCACCTTTGACCTTGACATTCGATTCCAACAGGTACGTCTCACAGAACCAGCAGAATGGAGTCCACTTTGCTCAAAGTCGTGGTTTTCTTGAATCGATGCACATATCTTCACCATTAATTCTCGAATACTGAGAGCAAAGGAAGCTGGACCGGAAGGCACCAAGGGAGAGAGAAAGGGAAAAGAATTCTCTTTTATCTGTTGTGAGTTTGTCTCAGTTCATGTAAGAACGGCTTAGCTGTTATCTGGTCTTACATTTTCTCCTGAAGTTTTCTATCTTGGACACTTGACAATTTTCTGTAGAATTCTATACTTTCTCTTGTTCTTAGCCTTCAACAAATATGAAAAATTCCCTTTTAATACATAACTGGCCTTAGGTATTTGTAAAAGCCGAATACCAGCCTTGGTCCAAGACCTTATACTATGAGCCTCATGCCAACCGTGATACTCACAGATACTTTACACATGTGCCACAACCAACCCAGAGATATGAGCACACTTCCTCCCACTCAAAAAGGAAAAATGGCTTAACGTCACCAGTCTTGTTTCTCAAAAGCAGAACCAGAATGACAGCTTGTTACATTACTTTGTATGGACAGCAACATTTCAAGGCAAGGTTCTGCACAGAATTGTGAGGTGACAGTGTGCCTGTGAGCAGTGTGTGCGCGCTGCTCACATCAGACCCACCGATACGTAAAAAGGTCACCCCTTCTTTAGGTCAGCGATCCAGTGGCAGCCGAGTTCAGCCTGAACACGCACATGTACCTGCTATCTAAGAAGAGCCTCTGGTTGTCTGATGGGTCCATGGGGTTTGGCCAGGAGAGTGACGTGGCTTTTGCAGAAGGTAAAACTCACCGGATGAGACTGTGGTCCTATTGTCCTGAGTGTGTGATGTTTTGTTGTCCTGTGTGTGTGTGTGTGAGAGAGAGAGAGAGAGAGAGAGAGAGAGAGATTTTGTTGTCCTGTGTATGTATGTGTGTGTGTGACATTGTGTTGTCCTGTGTGTCTGTGGTGTTCTTCACCTTGTAGGTGAAGAATGTACCTCCCTTGTTTGGTGCTAGGTGCTCAGCTCCTAGTCAGATAGGCCGTGTACACAGAGCTGCAGCAGTTATTGAGAAGATGCAATGCCAGGGCCTTCATTACACCTACCTTCTAAAGCAAAGGAACTCAATTAGGCTTTTTATTGATATTTTCCTTCTTAGTGTTGTTTCATATTAGTAAACATCTCACCAACTAATTAACTCGTGTTAACTATACCTTAACTGCAACAGGGTGCTATAATATCAACTTACAGGTCAGACCTTGTGATTCCTGTGGCTTTGGTTCTCTGTGCTGGATCTATGAGGTGCCCTTCTCTGAGTCCAGGGAGTAGAGCAGATCTTGGGGCTAGCACAGAGAGCTTCGTGTTCAGTGACAGGTCAGGGAGCAAAGAAAATGATCTATGTCGCTTCATAATAGTTTGTGCTCGTCACCACCTATAACAGAATGACACTTCCCTCTGTTTTAGGTGACGTAATTTACGGTCGTGTCGTTGTGGACCCTGTTCAGAACCTTGGTGACTCCTTCTACTGCAGCATTGAGAAGGTGTTCTTATGCACAGGAGATGATGGATACGTGCCAAAGTACAGCCCAGCAAATGCGGAATACGGCTGCTTGGCTGATTCTCCTTCACTCTTACATAGATTCAAAATTGTGGTAAGCACTTTGGCCCAATATCACTTAACAAGGATCAGCCTTCTTACCTTGTATTTTAAAATGATATCGTTATTTTACTTAAATCACATAGTGACAATTTGTGTACCTGTGTAAAGTTACAGGAGAACTTCTGTCCTTGCAAAGTTGGCACTGTCTACAGACATAATCATCTTCCTTCTTGTTTTAAGGATAAGGCCCAACCAGAGACCCAAGCTACCAGCTTTGGAGACATCCTGTTTAATGCCAAACTGGCAGTGGATGATCCTGAAGCTGTTCTCTTAGTGAATCAGCCTGGATCAGATGGTTTTAAGGTAGACTCAACACCACTCTTTCAGGTAGGTCCAACCATACAGTCACTAGGTAACTATAGGTAAGTACTTAGCATTTCTGTCTCACACCTGTTGTAGGAAAGTGAAAATAAGAGCAGTCACGCATATAGCGAATGGGAAGGGTGGGACTGTTTGATGCAATTTAAATTAAATTCTACCAATCATTTTATGAGTGTGTTAATATAAGACTGCTTAATGGAGTGTGCAGAGATGGCTCAGTGGTTAAGACAGACAGGTAGTTATGACGATACTGGATGGCCAGTGTACAATATCTAGAAATGTGCTGATGTCCCGAAAAGTGGAAAAGTGCTCTATAGGATATTTACCGAGAATTTAACTCAAACTCAGGAAAGTGTGAGTGTGTCTGTATGTGGGGGAGATGGGTGTGGGTGTAGGAACAAGAGAGAGAGAAGGCTGGGGGAAGGGATATTGGGGAGAGATCATATACCCACATTACAGCGTCTGTGCCTGTACATATATGTGCACATGGATGTGGAAGTCAGAGAACGCTTTGGCTTCTCTTCTCAGGAACTGTCCACCTTGTGTTTGAGTCAAGCCTTTCACTGCTCTGAGCTCACCAAGAAGGCTTGACTGGCTGGGGAGCAGGCCCCAAGGATCCAATAATTTTCATATCCCTAGTACTGGGACTACAGATATGGGCTACCATGTCCAGCTTATTTACTTACGTTCTGGGACTCAAACCCAGGTCCTCACGGTTGTAAAGGAAGTGCTCTACCAACTGAGCCACCTCCAAGGAAGGATCTTAAGAAAGTCTATTTGTTCCTCTGAATTCTTTCAAACAAGTATTTTACCATTGTTATTCTAAATTCTCAAAACAGCTCACTTCACTAAATCTTGAATACACCCCCCAAATCATTAGAAACCCCCCACACACACACACACACACATTCTTTGTCCAGGCTCTGGGGAAGCTTGAAAACCGATTTGCTATCTGGGTACAGTGGCATGTGTCAGTAGCACATGCCTTTTATCCCAGCACTCTGGAGGCAGAGGCCAGCGGATCTCCATGAGTTCCCTGTCAACCTGATCTACACAGTGACCTCCTCTAGACCCCAGGGCTACAAAGTGAGACTGTCCCATAAGAAAAAAACATAACAACCACAACAACAAAAAAAAAACCCACTGATTTTGCAACCCCGTGCTCTTCGATACAAATAAGTATGTTGCAGGTGTGAGCCGTGGTTCTGGCTTTTAGCACTTAACTAGGTGAAAGAGGCAGGGCAAAGCACCAGTCTGTGCATGTTCCTGTTCGCTTACCTTTTGAAAGTAATAAGATAGACTGAGAGATCAAAACTAATTTTTTACAGTGCTCATCGTGGCTGCAAACCCAGTACATGGCCACCTAAGAGTGATACGAGATGGCCTGGCAGCATATGTCAATGATAAAGCATGTATTAGAGCCCGAGATTGAACCCCCAAACTGCAAAATCACAAGGAGAGAGAGTCACACAGAGTGTATTTTGGAGTTGACTCTACACAAAGCCTGTCACAGAAGAGTGTGGTTTCGATTATCACGACCTCTGTTGTTCCTTTCTCTTGCAGATGATCCTGAGTTGGGTCCACAAAGAATTTCATTTCCTAACGCTGGGCTTGTGTTTTCTAGGTTGCCCTGGGCCGAGAATGGTACATACACACAATCTATACCGTGAAGTCAAAGGACAGCACCCATCGAGGTATTGGCAAGAGGAGCCTGGAGTACCACTCTGTGGTACAGCAGGGACAGCCCCAGGCAACCACCAAGAGCTGGAAGAGGAGAGCAAGCAGGAGCACTCCCTCGCTGGCAGGGGAAATCGGTGCTGAGAACAGTCGGGGAACCAATATCCAGCATATCTCCCTGGACCGCCGTGACAAGGGGCAGGTCCCCCACGGAAGAATTCCTCCCGATGGCACCCTGCCCTGGGAGCTGAATAGTCCCAATGCTGAAGTCAGCCTTGTCACTGTCCTGGGAGGCATCGCGGTGGGATTGCTCACTGTCTGCCTGGCTGTGGCTGCAGCGGTCGTGTGCAGGAACAAGAGTATGAAGGGCAAGGATGTTCCAAAGGGTTCTGGGAGCACTGAGCCCATGATGTCCCCACAGAGCCACTACAACGACAGCTCAGAGGTGTGAAAACCTTCTCTTCGTGGGCCTCAGAAGACTGAGGGAACCGCAGCTGCTCGGGAGCAGAGAACTGAGGACTTTCTGCGACAAAGGTGCTCAGAGCCCCTGACTATCTTAAAAGATTTTTATTTGAACTCCATTGCATCGTACATGCATCAAAGGACAAATTCAGGCCGCATCTTTCCTGCTGCCCAGAAGGCATCCAGAATGCTTAAGAGCCTTGGTTGGCTGGCAGGGGAGGTGCTTCTTGTGTTAGCCGTCGGTGGGGATAAACCTACTCAGAGGTGCTCAAAGGTGCTCAAGGACTCTCTGGGAAGTCTGGGAGAAGTTAGCTATTACTCCATAATCAATGTTAGTATGAACTCTGAAAACACAGTTATCACATGTTTATTCTTTGTATAACTGAAGGGTTTGAATTGGGAGTCCAGAGGGGGACGCACACACTGTTATGACAAGTTTTCTAATCTGTGAAGACAGCATGAATTCACAACCAGGGATAGCTCAACCCGCAAATCACCTCTTACTATTGGGAAAACATGAAAACATGGAAGGAACAAATAGAAAAAAAGAAAACTGATTTGGATCTGAATTGCTTCTTATTTCCCTCAGACCTCCTTTGTCTCATCTGCTTATTTAACATTGACTTAAACCAAAGAATATATTCATTCTGGAAATGAGTTTTAACAGACTGATATATTTGGTATATATTAGCAGCCACGCTCTTGCTCGTTGGCCTCACTGGTTGCAATTGTAGAGACGTAGACATGACGACTGAGAGATGCCGTACAGTTAGATTCGACACAGGACAACGTTCTCAAGAACAGAGATGTTTTCAGTGTTGAACCCATACGTAACGAGCAACATCTTTGCCAATGGTGAAGGGCGAGGGTGGTATTTATTAACATGCTATGTCCACCAGGATGCCTCTTCGGCATGCTCTCTAGAACGGTGATGGCAAAGTAACAGATGCGTGACATCCACAGCTTATGTCAGCTGTAAGTCATGGGAATCTCCATACCTGTGAACTCCAGAAATTGTCTTGGAGGTGGCCAGTGCTGTCAACCACACTGTTCACTGATCCAGGAAGAGAACATCTCTGTCTGGCCTCCCCAGTTCAGTGAGCCGGTGCTATGAGGTTCCCCCCTTTGGGACCTTATCTGTGGTTCATCACTTGAGTATTCACTATGTAAAAGCTTCCTTGGCATTGCCCATCTCTTCAGAAATGTGTTTTCACCTTAACGTGAGAAATCCTGTTTAGAAGGGGTGGGGGCACTGCAGCAGAGTCATGGCCACTTGCCTAAAGCCTAGTAAATTTATTTCATGCAAAGATGAATGGCTCTGAGTAACCCTCCGCTGCTGCGGGGAGTCCTCCACTCTTTGGCCACACGCTGGCCGAGCTGGGCATCCTGGTAGAATGGAGATATTCGGAAGGCAGTCTTCATCCCAGGTCATTCCTGTATGTATCAGTGAGTGTGTATGAGTACCAGCCATCTCCCGATTGAGAAAGGGAAGCCACACTGCTCCTGGAGGAGAGGAAGGAGATGAGTGATGCCTGCTTCCCTTCCCATTCAGTGCCTTTCAGGGGATAAAGGGGACTGTGTAGTCTTCTGTTGGGAGCTTAGTGAGGCCTGTGTACAGAGCAAAGGTTCCCCCAGGGGACTCACAGGAACAGAGAGCACCGTCCATTTATCACATCAAGTGGTGTGTTATCTTCCTTTCTTTGTTTTACTTCTGGCAGATGCTTAGCTCCACGTTCGGCTACCTCAGAATTTGGGAATTAACATGATGCCAACAGTGTAGGAACCTTCACTCCCTTAGCTTTGGGTTCAACTTCTGAAGACTGTTAGGGCAATTGTTCTCAACTGGCTTTCTGCTTCGAGTAGTTCAAAGCTTCAGAGCCTGACTACCCTGTGGTCTCCATGTCAGGAAGTGAGGATGGCAACTAGCGATGAATCATTTGACACGTGTTCTAGCCAGGCAGCTTCTATGCCAAATTTCGCTCACCTGCACCTGTTCTAATGAAGCTCTTGTCCATAAATTAGATAGGGTATCAGATACAAAGTAAGTCTGTCCTCCTCTCCCAATAGGAAATGTCAGTATTCTTTCTCCTCGATCCCTTTTCTCTCTTGTTTGTATTTTTCATAACTTTAAAAATATCTGTTCAGTAAATATGTCACATAAAATACAGTAATTGTTTTAAAAGTCCTTTCAAGAAGAAAAATGTTTTTCTAAATAAAGTAAGTTCTTGTTTTCAGTATTTTTTGTTTTTGTTTTTTAAGTATTCTGATATTTTGAGAACAAATATATGAGGTAAGTCACCTCATATATTTGTTCTCAAAATATCATAGAATGGGAAGTCAGTTATAGTTCTTGATTTCTTCTGAACTTCCTACTACATACCAACATCTGGTTGATATGACACAGTAAAACCTAATTGCAAAAATAAATTTCACTATGAGTGGCTCTCCTAAGCGTATAAACAACAAAACATTAAAATACATGGAAGGGGGTGTGAAGAGATGGCTCCGCAGGGAAAAATACACAATATTATATTCAGTCCTGGGGATTGTACCTGTGGCTCCCACATGCTGTATGGCACCTCTTTCCTACAGCTCCAACCAACCCCTTCTTAATGGTTTCATTTGAGGCAGTCTACAACATTGCCCTGACAGGCCGTAAGCTTGTTCTTTAGCTCCAGCTAGCCTTGAACTTCCAGCCTTCCTGCCTCAATCTCCCACATTCGGAAGATCACAGGCCTGCGCTAGGACTGCCCTACCCAATCGTCTATTTTGAGTGATAGGCTAGGCACTGGGCTCCTCACCCTGCCCCCAGGTAATCAAGTAAGGCTCTGTCTTTGGAGTAGTGTGAACGAAATCTTTTCCAGGCAAGCACACTGGTGTGTGTGCCTGTGACCCACAATGTAAACCTCTCAGAACATCGGCATTCGATTCCACTCATTTTTACCTCAAAGATACTAGCAAACCCCATATGGGCACTGTGAGTAAAGACCAGTATGATGTCTGTTGCCACCCCTCAGCCTGGTCTTTGTGAAGACGCTGAGGATCAAGAATCAAGGAAGCACCTGTGAGCAACAAGAGACTCTATCAAGCCCCTTTACTGTAAAGTCTTACCCAGCATAACAGTTTCAAAGTTAACATTTAAACACATGTAAAGCCAGGTGTGTTGGCCCACACCTTTAATCTCAGCACTCAGGAGGCAGAGGCAAATGGATCTTTAGGAGTTCAGTCAGATCTCCATAATGAGTTTAAGGACAGCCAGGTCTATGTAGAGACCCTGTCTCAAAAATAATTTTAAAAGAAATTAATGTAAAAATAATCAGGTGTGGTGGTACACGCCTTCACTACCAGCACTGGGGAGGCAGAGGCAGGTGGGTCTGCAGAGTGAGTTCCAGGTCAGCCAGAGCAAGATAGACAGGCCCTCTCTCGAAACCAAACAAGACAGAGAGCCTTTCCTTGCACATCAGTGCCGGAAGGCAAACTTTCTCTGAGAGGAGGAACATGAAAGTAACAATCTTAGAATTAAATGCAGAATCATAGTTTGACTTTAAAAAAAAACTTTTTATTGGTTCTTTGTGAATTTCTCATCATGCACCTGAAACCCACTCACCTCTCTGTCCCCTCGTGCCTGCCCTCCACCCTTGCAACCTCCCCTGCAACAGAGGGAAAATAATCTAGTTGTGGAAGCTGTAGCGTGTCACAGTGTGTCCTGTGGTATACCCTTTTGTCCACACTTCTTAGCTTGCCAATGTTCATTGCAATGACTCACTGATCTGGTTCGGGGCCTCTGGCTTCCATACTGGAACCTCACTGGGACTCCCCTCGGATATCCTGCTGTTGCCCTGTATTAGGAAGATTCTGTAGCTTTGGATCTGTAGGACAGGCCCCTTAGTGAACTCCAGCAGTCAGTTAATGGGGTAGATGTTGGGGTGGGCCGATTTGAAGCCCTGGATCTGGGCCTGAGAGGTAGCTGAGCTGCTCAGCCCACCTGCTTTCTCTCACTCTCACGCCCTCGGGGCTGGCCCATCTGAAACCCCCACATCCAGGGTTAGCTCTACTTCACTGCCCAGGTGAGGTACCCTGAGGTTCCTGACCTGCTCTCCTGAGTGCTGCAGCAGGTGAGGGACGGGGCCAGCTCTCCTCATTCACATGCTCCAGGCTGGCTTGCCCTCCATGGCTGACCCTGCCACCAGGGTCCACTGGGCTGCCCAGGCCAGGTGTAGGCAGGGCTCTCTATCCCAAGTGCTGCAGACAGTGAGGGGCAGGACCAGCTCTCCTGCTCTCATGGCCCCAGAGCCAGGACTCTTGCCTGCTGCTGGTGGTGAGGGGTTAGGGGGAAGGGGGTGTTTCTCCTTTGTCTATGCTTCTCATGAGAGACACGTGGTAGGCTCAGCTCTCCCATGCTCATATCCTCAGGTGGCTTCATCTGCAACTCCCACTATGTGTGGGGGAGGGGAGTGCTCTCCTCAGCACTGAAGCTGACTGCTTCAGCTCTCCTGCTCTCATGCCCCCAGAGCCAGCCCTCCAATATGTCCAGGTGCGGGGTAGGGTCAGTTCTGCACAGCCCTCAGACACAAACATGTCCCCAGGCAGCAGCCTAGACCAGGGATGTCCATTTGGCCTTTGGTGGTAACAGACCCCTGCTGCTGAAGGGCCATGAACCCAGATGTGGCTCCTGGTGGTAGCATGGGCCAGGACCCCACCATGGTCCCAGAGGGCATCACTGGCTACTACATCAGGCTGTTCCTCACTACCCTTGAGTCTCCAGATGTGTCTCCCTTCATTATGCCTACATCCTTCTGTTTCTCTTTTTCTTCCATTTCTCCACCACTAACTTGCTCCTCTTACTGGCAGCCTGGGCCTCTGGGTGCTTGGGGTTGTCTCAGAAGTGTCCTTAGGTTCCCTTTGTCAGGTATTTGGAAATAGCCACGAGAAATGTAACAACTACAGGGTGGAAACTGTTTCAGACTTTTGATTGACTAGTATTTTTTGGGTCCCCTGAAGACACAGCTGTCTTAATGGTTGTGCTCACTTCTCTGAGCACCTGGTAGATGGCTGGCATGGGGGCTGTCCTGTGCAGCAAGCGTCCAGCCCAGAACCTGTCCTCAGTCATCACCTGGGAAAGGTACAGTTCAAATTCATAAAAGTTTATTCCATGTTTAACCACACAGGGACCTCTTGCAGGAGCATACAGCTTGCTACCTGAGAGTCAGAAAAACTCGGGTTTCACACAACATTGGCTTTTTGTGAATCTTGTGCATGTGTTCATTTCTTACCTTGTAACCGTACCTGGGGCACCTCAGCATTTAGCTATTCCCCTAGAGTAAGAAATTTTACATTTGGTTTGTTTTTGTGTTCCCTCCACCATACTGATGACTAACTAAGTGTAGGACCACACACCTGCCAGTCAAGGGCTCTTCCATGGAGAAAATTATTTTTGCAATTATCCAGCCCCACTTCTGATGCATCTGTGTGCTTCTGTGCAACTCTTTGGGGACACAGAACCCGGAATCCCATGGGTGTGCCTTGGGGAGCTCAATATGAGATGATAGTTGGTAAGACATTAGGATTACCTGGTGAGGGTTCTTGCCCCTCTTAAATACAGACGCAATGACTGTCTGTGTGCAAAGTAGTCCATGAGCATCACAGCTAAGGAAGCTTATTTGCCATTCCTTTCCTCTCACCCAGGACCTTAGCTTAGTCTCTGTGGATGGGGGATGGGGAATGCGTTTTGAATGTCATCCTTGGCAGTCTACACTCTAAGATTCTTCTTCAGCCTCTTTATCGTCAAATGCACTTATTTACTTATTTACCTTGAATGGGGGGTGTCTTTGTTTACTTAGCCTTTAGTAAAAGTGTAAGTTATAAAATGGACTAAAGAAGTAATCACTGTTAGTGTTATAAGAGACGGGGGCACTTGAATCTGCGGGAAAGGGGGTCGTGTTGTGTTGTTTTGTTCTGTTTTAAGACAGGATCTCACTGTGTAGCTCTGGCTGGCCTGGAACTTTCTATGTGGATCAGCCTGACCTCCCACTCATAGAAATCCTCCTGAATCTGCCTCTAGAGTGCTGGGATTAAAGACCTAGTCTATGCATCTGGGTTCCAAGCCAGCCAGAATGACACAATGAGTACAAAAAAAAAGTAAATAGGTAAGTATAAATAAAACAAAATAAGATAGACCTCATTTCTCAAACTAATCTCAAAAGAAACCCATGCCTTGTCAATGAAATAAACTCTTTTAAAGCAATTTTTAAAATATGTTTACTTTCTATGACCTTTTTTTTTTTTTCTTTCCAACAAGTTGTTTGGGCTGGGGAGAGGTTACAAACACCTCTTAATCACTATGGCTCTTGGGACTTGTAGAGTGAAAACATGCAGTTCACAGAACGACCCCCCCCCCCCAGTGGCTGCAGCTGATCTAACTAGTAAGCAAATGATCCTGTGCTCGGCTGCCTCGCTGTGCCTCTGCCCCTGACAAATGTGCGAGGATGGTTAGAATGGCCAGCACTTTCACAAGGATGTGCAGGGTGTCCCGAGAGCTGGACCTGAACTGTACTTTTGCCCTGTGCTGTCGCTGCTATGTTACAGCTGTATTTTATTCGCTACATCCAAATCGGTCCTAGTTTTTAGTCTTGAGGGGTTTCCTTATGACTACCTGAGCGGAAGCAAGTAATTTTACTGGAGCAGTAAGCCAAATGCACAGCACAAATGCAGGATCTGCTTTCTTTTACAAATTACCTACGGTCCTTCCCCACCACAGCTTAAATTCTGAAGTACTCTTGTCTCTGCCTCTCCTGAGAGAGAGTCCCTGCTGATAATCAGGGACAACCACTAATTATATATGGATATCGAATATTGGTCGTGCCTTTAAAATAAACGCAGTGCACAGCTCTTGGTTTTGTTTTTGTTTGTGTAGTCTCTCTCTCTCCCTCTCCCTCTCTTTGGGAATTCTGCTAGCTGTAGGGTTACTATAGCTTGAATGGCGGTGGCCTTCCCCTCCTCTAAGGGCTGACTTCTTCATGGAACAGAAAGGCCTTTCTAAGCAGCTGTTAGTTACTCAGACGACCTCAGGCTTTAGCGTTGACCTTCTTATTGTTGTCGTAGCTGATGCCGCCTATGCCCTCGAGTATGTTCATAGGCAGGGGAAACACAATGGTGGAATTCTTCTCTGTGGCCACCGTGGTCAAGGTCTGGAGGTAACGCAGCTGGAGGGCGATGGGGGACTCGGTCAACACCATGGAGGCCGACTTCAGAGCCTTCGAAGCATTCATTTCTCCCTCTGCTGCAAGGACCTAAAACAAGAGAAACAAAAGTTGGCAATTGCGTGGTATCTGGGGCTTTCTCTTTCTGAGTTTGTATCCTCATGTTGCCATTTGTGTTTTCTCCGCTCACTTTCTTGGCAAGGACAAGACTGCACACATCCTTGAGGTTCTGAGAAAATTCAAGAAGTTTCACAAAGTGAGTGAGCTGTTTAGCTGTGGGTCTTGTTCTTTTGGTTGGGCTTTTTTTTTGTTGACTTGACTCAAACTGAGTCATCTGGGAAAGGGGAACCTTAACTGAGGCATTGCCTTCATTAAATTGCCTGTGGGAAAGTCTGTGGAGGCATTTCTGGATGAATGACTGATACGGGAGGGCGCAGCCTAATGCAGGCAGTGCCATCACAGGGCAGATGGACCTGGGCTACATAAGAAAGCAACCTGACCAAGCCATGAGGAACAAGCCAGTAAGCAGCACTCCTCCATGGCCTCTGCTTCAGCTCTTGTCTTGGCTAAAGCAAACACTTTTCCTTCTCGAGTTGATTTTGGTTGCAGTGTTTATTTCAGCAACAGAGAAGTTGACTAGGCCATGGGGGATAAGTAATACAAGTTATTAATCATCAATTTTTATTTTCATACAAACAGAAGCAGTGTCATTCGAGCAAAGGAATACTTGACCATCTAACCTGTGAATGGACTTGAGGCTCTTTGGGGTTTCACTGTTTGGATTCATTCTTAGAGAAATCCAAAGTTCAACTGGCTTTTTATGTAGTTTTTGCAAGATGACATTACTTTTATTTATTTAAATGTTTTTTATTATTATTAATGTATTAGTGTGTATGTGACCACAGCATGTGTGTGGAGGTTTGAGAACATTCAGGAATCAGTATTCCCCTATGGTGGATTACAGGGAGCCATCTCAGATAGCCAGGCTTGCATGGCAAGTGGCCTGCTGAGCCATCTCTCTATCTCTTATTTTTATGCCAGAATCGTTTCTATTCTCTGAGCTTTCGATCAAAGCACTAATGAGCCCCAGCCCAAGAACCCTCCGTGGGACTCTCTCTACTGATTGTTCTTTTAAATTCTAAGATACCCCAAACCCTGGCCAGAGCTCAACTGTCCCATCTGTGGGCACTTGCTTTCCATGTGCCAGAGGGGTCACTACTCAGGAGCTGCTGGTACTTAGTAGACACAACGGATATAACTAAGGAAAGAGCATAGAGAAAGCCTTTCCTAGCCACAGGCTGGTTTCCTATGAGTGATACGTGAAGGTTTCCAATCTCTCTCACTCCCGTAAGTCTATGCAGAAACAAAGGTCACAGCAGATTCTAGGACCCTGGGGCCAAGCTGAGTTTCTCATGTTCACATTCTAACCTGGCTTGTATTCGGTCACTCTTTTAAATTCAGCAACATTTATTATGTTTAAATAACAATGCTTAAAACATAAGCAGCAAGTTGGCCATTTCTGAAAAGTCAGCTTTACAGTGATGCTGCTGTCCGGACAACTCCAGGCTCTTCTTCACAGGATCTAAAATGCTTTGTTTTGTCACATTCTCTGGAAGACCTGATGACCCCTGTGTTGCTGACGACAACACGTTCAGCAAGCAATCTTAACCCAGTGCCAAGCTTCCTCAAGGTACATTAAACTGCTCACTGTCTTTTAGGGAACGTGTCAGGAAAGATAAATCTGTGGAAAGAATCCTTTTTTGGAACAATAATTGGGAGTCTCCTCTCCCTTCAGCCCCATGCTCCATGCTAATCCAGTGTTTCTTACCCGGGCCCTCGCTTCCCTGGTGGCCTCTGCCTCGGCTGCCATAGACCTCTGCAGCTGCACGGGAATCCGGACATCTTTGATTTCCACCCGGGCCACTCGGAGTCCCCAGAGCTCAGTGGCATCATCAAGCAAGGTCTGTTTCCAGAAGAAAACATCGATTAGAAGGCATTTGACTTGACCCAAGGTCCCGGTACATTTTGGGGATGCTGTCTTTTATAAACTCATTGAGCAAAATAGGAATTGAAGTGAATCCCCTTGAAGGGTTCGTGCACGAATCTTGAGCTGAGAGTATAGCTCTGTTGGAAGAGAACTTACCTAGTAAAAAGAAAGCCCTGGGTTTGATTCTCATGACCACAGAAACGGGGACGAGTGGTACATGCCTGTAGTCTCAGCACTTGAGAGGCCGAGGCAGGAGGATCACAAGTTCAAGATCATTCTCAGCTACACAAAGAATTCAAGGCTAACCAGGGATACACGAGACTGGATCTCTTTCTCATGCACACAAAATCTTGATAGACCACCTATTGGTCAACTAAAAGAATCCCCCCATGGAATCTCCCTAAGAAGTGATATGACCTCCTTGAAGATCTGAGTGGGTGTCCCAGACATCAGTGCACAGGCTCCTCAGACAGACCTGGATTTGTCCTGGCCGTACGATTAGCAGCTGTGAATCACTTCACCAGCTTGATAACCCGAGCCTCAGTTTCTCTCCCCTAGGCTTCCGGTCAGCTTTGTCACATGGGTTGGGGGTGACACACATGTCACCAGTGCTAAAAAATGACCTATTGGTCACTACTGAATATTTACCCCCCCAAATCCTTGTCTTGTTTTCTTAACCCTCTACCTTGGAATAGTAAGATATAGACTTTTAAAGCAAGCGATGTTTCGAGCACATTTTAGTATGTGGTAAAAGTCTGTCCTTTATGCAGACTTTAAACGGTAGAAGACGTGCTGCGGGTCACCCCAGAGAGACACAAGGACGAGTGGACAGCTAAAGAGGAGGGTGCTCTCTCCCCTGCGGACTGTGACTCTTCGTGACCCCAGGGGTGGGTGAGACTGCCGAAGATGCTTGAGATCTGGCTTTCGGTTGTCAGATTTTCAGAGCTCTTACTGATGCTGTGTGGAGCCCTGAGGAGGAACCGACAGGTACTCGTCCAGCCTACCTTACAGGCTGCAAAGGGAGCCATGACGGATTCAGAGAGGAGGCTCAAAATCACAAAGTCACAAACATAAGGAATGCAGAAATGAGATTTATAGACTAGAATATGGCAGTGATGAGGCCAGATTTGCTGCACACTCCATTGTTATTATGGGTGATTACTGACACGGGTATAGTGTGAGGCTTGCATTGTGCACATATTGCTCTGTTTTGCTACCTCAAGTGAGTTTTCCTAGTTTACTCCACTGAAATGTAGGAGTCCAGGGACTGCCTGATGAGGGTTGTTCTTCTTTTAGGGTAGTTTAAACTGAAAATAAATATGGCTTGTAACCTCTTTTTTTTAAAAAAAAAGGTTAAGTGTGCCATGTTTAGTCATAATTTCTAATTTAAAGAGAAAAGGGTAAGAGAAGCAATTCTCAAAACTCCCTCCTCCCATGAAAACGTTTCGTGTTTTAAAACATTTACATCTATGCACCACATGTGTGCCTGGTGCCCAAGGAGACCAGAAGAGGGCATCAGGTCCTCTGGAACTGGAGTTACAGATGGCTGTGAGTCACCCTGCGGGTGCTGGGAGTCAAACCCAGGTCCTCTGCAAGAACAGCAAGCTCTCTCGATGGCTGAGCTATCTCTCCAGCCCCCATGCAGATCTTTAAATCTATACTCTGTGATGGCAGACAGATGGTATTAGCAGAAGTGAGGAAACCCATCTTGACAATGCAGCTCTCTCTGGGCCAGGGACTCTGCACTATTGACATTGATAGTCATGGACCTGAGATGAGGGAATTCAAGATGTGGGCTCTTAGTACTTCCGTCTTTACCTGGATGCTATGAGCGATCTCTTCTCGCCCAGCCAGGATCTGGGATAAGGTCTGTGTTCCTAAGACATTTCTCAGAGTGGTCTGAGCCAGCAGAAACGTGGCCTGGTGAACATCATTCACGTTAGCCACGGCTGAGACTGCACTGTAGATCCTATAATAGACCACGCCGTCCACTTGGGTGGTCACGGAATCCCTCGTGAGAATCTGCAAGGCACAGACAGGGTAGAACCACATTATATTACCTTGAACAGCAGAGAGGCCACCAACCTCAGAGTCCTCCCTCACAGAAGAGCATCAATAATGGCAACTCGTGCCACCAATTGCCAAACATCGTGCTGGCTTCAGAATAACATCTCACAGCTAAATGACTGTTCAGCTTTGGTCCCTACCTATCTCTGTAGCTTCAACTTAGAGTAGCGGTTCTCAGCCTTCCTAAAGCCCTCTAATACATTTTCTCAAATTGTGGTGACCCCAACCACAAACTTATATTGTTGCTACTTTATACCTGTAACTTCGTGACTGTTATAAATCATAACGTAAATATCTGATATATGATTCACAGGGGTCAAGATCCACAGGTTGAGAACCTCTTATTTAAGAGCCTTCTTACCTCCCACAGGCAAAAGCCCCACCATCTTCTCCTTCCAAACAGACATAAAATTCGTATCCTGTTGTCTCCTTGGTGTGCAGTTCTCATCAAAGGAAGGAAGCAGCAATGCTTCTTAGGAAACATAGATGTCACCAGAGACCATGCTCTCCACTCAAGCAAAGCTAATGCTTTTAGCTTTACAGAGGCTTAGATCAGGCCTTCTGCAACGTGTGATCTCTTTGTCTCTCCCCTCTCCCCCTCTTTCTCCATCCCTCCCTTGCAATCTGAAAATTATCAACTGTAGAGCAACAACAGTGGCTTTCCAACAGTGTGTACAATGGCACACATCGGAAGCTGGTCCCCTCTGCCTCTTGAGAGCCCATGGTAAATGATAGGTACCCGGGGCCTTGTTTGCTTTCCTGCCTGTTTGCCACTCTAACTGTCCCCTGTCCTCCATCTTTCCTGCACTTTCTTCTCTTCCTAGATATCTTTGGTTAAAATGGGGCAACATGGAAGTCAATATTGTTTCTCTTCTCTGGGACCCAGTTGCTGGTCTGGACCACTGATTCGTACTATTTCAAGAATTATGTGAAGTTTAGATTCAGGTGGGTCCTGTGTAGCCTCTGTATTGTCCAGACACTTATTCTGTTCCAACACACAAACAGACAGCAAATATGAAGAGCAGAGGTAAAGGGAAGTCATGCAGCTGTTTCTAAAAGCGGCTCTGAGAAGGCTGTGAAGAGCACAGCCTAACCAGCCTGTGCCCTCCAGCGGGTCCGCTCAACTTTCCCTTCAAGAACCTCCCATCTCCACTCAGCTTCTCGACCAACGCTAGGCCTTCCTCCACCGAGCCTGTTCAATGCTTTCAGCCTCTCAACCCCTCCTTCCGGTTCATTCTCCTTTGGCGAAAAGAAAAGCCACCGGAAGCAATTCAAGCAGGCTGTGGGGTGGAATGGGAATTAAGTCAAGCTAATATTACGCCCATGTCGTAGAAAATAAAAGAAAACCAGGGTTTTATTTCTAGTAACTCTTGTTTAATTTCCTACCTCTTGTGGAGGAATGTTGCAAGTAACTGTTCGAAGGTCGACTTTGACGAACACATCAATGCAGGGCAGGACCAGAATCAAACCTTTGAAAGAATGAAATCGATCTAAAATCTGACCTATTCAAAAGAATGGCAAGGCCAGTCTTCTAGATATGTTGAGCCGTTTTTGTAATGCTGTATGCGCTTCACAGATCTTCAGTACAAACACATCAACTTTGGTGAAGGTGACTCATTCTGATTGGTCAATAATTAAAGCAAATTAATTATTTAAGAATTAAGGACCTCTGGTAAAACACTAAGGTCCCTGACACATGTGTTGTTATTTTGAGGTTAACTTACCAAGTAGATTTAGGCACTTGGTTTCCTAATGATAAAGACTCAAGTTTGTCTCCTGACACCAGTCTTAGAACCATGAAGAATGCTGAAGGAATACTGCAGTAAAGTCTTTCATCCAGTCTCAGTTACTCAAGAAGGAGGCTGAGGTAGGAGGATTACAAGTTTAAGTCCTGCCTGGGCTACCTAAGGAGTCCAAAGCCAGCTGGGACAACTTAAAGTTTTCTCAAAAAGTTAGGAAAACATAGTTTTTAATGCCTGGGGTAGCTCAGTGGTAGAGCACTTGGCACTTGGCTAGCACAGTCTTCCAGAGGCTCAGATTCCCTGCAAACAGCAGAGGTCAGGACTGAGAATGACCGGGTCTCCAGAGCTGTGTTCAAGTACAGTGGATCACTTCCAATTCCCAGTAGTGAGTACTCGGCCTTACTACTGAGTAGGAAGTACTGAGATTGCTGAGTAAGTGAGTACTTACTGAATAGTAAGTACCAGGTCAGGGAAGGGCAATGTAAGAAACCCCACCTGAGAACACTGGAGGTCCTCAGCTTTACCCTGGAGGTCCTTCAGAAGGACCACAGGCATGAGGCATGTCAGCAAGATGAGGACGTGGAGTCAGTTCCATCAATCAGGAAATCTCTTTGTTACCATGTTTTTGAGGCACAAATCAGCATTCAGTTTGAGTGAGGAGCCAGCAGCATTTGCTGAGAATGCTGTGGATTTGGTTATTAACACATAGTATTTCGCGCTTTATTTTCTATTCTAAAGCTTCCTGTGTCCTCTGGTTAGAATCCCTACCCTACTACCTCTCTCTCTCTCTCTCTCTCTCTCTCTCTCTCTCTCTCTCTCTGTGTGTGTGTGTGTGTGTGTGTGTGTGTGTGTGTGTGGTCACTGGTTAATCCCAAGCTCCTGAGAACTACCTTGACTTCAGTGTCGGCCAATCCTGTGCCTGGTACCATTTACCCATCTGCCCTGAGCTTCCATTGCCACAGATGCAGAAGATGCAGTGAAGATAAAGCACAAGTCACTGTGATAACAAAGCAAAGTACTCAGCACCATGCCAGGCACCCTCGAGCTCTTCTCATTAACGCTTTTATTACTAAAGAGTAATTTGCCATTTGCACAAGCGTTAGCAATTTGACTTGTTTCCCTCTGGTCCTCATGATGTTCTGAGGTAACCCTTCAGCCCCAGAGACATATATGACGGGGTTTATTATCCTGGGACTCTTAGCAGAGAAACCTTTTGGGAGAATTCATTTAAGAGGGCCATATTCTCCTCTGGAGTTCTCCAAGTGGTGCCTGTTTTCTGCCTCTCTCCCTGCTCCAGCTTTATTTTAGCATACCTCTTAGGCCCATCAGATGGGAAGCATGAGGGAAGAGAGTGGGCTTGATTACTCTTCATCGGTAGTCGCTAGCACTGGTGTCTTGATTAATGTATAAAAGCATCCATAAAAAAGGAATCACTGCCTCATTCCCAGGCTATTTATGAAATCAGACAAAAGTTAAATTATCCAAAATAGTAAATACTCAGTCACAAGATTATCCTTGGAAGTTTCTTGCAGTCTTTTTTTTTTTTTCTCAATGTATAGCATGTAAGAACACACAGTGTTGTTGATTCATGGTCAAGTACAGAGTTTCGCCTTCCATAAAAGCCTCCTTTTCCCCCATCCTCACCCCAGATCTTACAGTGTGGTTGGGGAAGACAATTTTACTCAAATGAAGTACGGGAGAGGGCAGGGAGCAAGTGTTATCAGAGATATATGACTAATGGTCACTGTTTTGTGAAAGTCCTTCCTAGCAATGATATTAAAGCCAATCACATGAAACTGTAATTGTCGTAAGTCAAAACAAATAAAGCGATTTTTGGTTTAAGAGAAGCTGGGAAGCAAGAACGCTGTGGGTCCTCCGCTTTACCCTACCCCAGAGGTTTTTACTCTTTATAAGGATGGCTAGGGCTTTATTGCCCGACACCTCCCATCCCCATCCCCAATCAAAAGATCATCTTATAATTTCAATAGTTTGTAACATTTTTTCCTTCTGAGAGTTGTGAAGAGAGCATGGAAAGAAAGGGGGTACCCGGCATTAGGTGCTGGAAATCTTTTGTTTACCTCCAGCCATTGGGACTCTCAGTGACAAATCGTTAAAGCTATACTGGTCTCAGGGTCTTCATTTTCAAAATTAGAGGACAAGTCACATCTGATGTCTGACCCCTCCCGTTATCCCTCCGCTCACCACAAGAAGATATATATATATATATGTACGTATGTATGTGTATCTGCTAGCCCTTCCCAAAGAAAATAACATCCAGCTCCTTGAATAGTCCATGTGAGTGTTTATGGTCTGCATGGGCCATTTACTCTCTTCCTTTGTTCCCTGGACCTGGCTCTTCGCAGCTCTGGGAATAAATGACATCCGGTCAGTGTTACCCATTCATTGGACTACTCAGGGGGTGGGTCATAAAGCAGGTTCATATTTCAGAATGCCCAAACTGGTGGTCTCCCCCACCGACATGCGGGATGGAGCGACACCTGTCCACTGCCTGAAACACAAGGTCTCCAGTTTTCTGTTTCACTTGGACCCTCACTACATGCTGCTGGTGGTAGTAGTGGTAACGGATGTCCGTACCTGGTCCCTTGGCTTTATCAGCTTGGATGCGTCCCAGTCTGAAGACAACAGCACGTTCGTACTCCTTAATGATCTGAGGAATTAAGGGAGAACCTTTAGTCCTACTGTCCATCAGTTCACAGGGAGATACCCACCTGTTTCCCAGGGCATTACCTTCAAGCACATCCATATGGAGATTGGGAAGGTAATGAGCATCAACAGGACGGAAAGAGAAAACAGAATCCAGCCACACACACCAAGCTGGCTTTTGTTGGTGCCTGGAAAGTGAGAAAGAAGCAAGCTTGTAATCAAAGTGATTCGTGGCGAAGCCATCAGGCAGATGAGGAGGAGAGTATCCTGACACTGCCCAAGCCTGGCAGGAATAAAGAGCAAACCTAAATCCATCCACACCGTGAATCTCGTTACACACAGCTCCACACACCCATCGCCCCCAGCTCCCAACATACACACCACACACACAGAATGTTTTGTGCGGGGGGGGGGGGGGGTTCTAAATTGAATCAATCTGTCTCTTCCAATAATCCACTCAGCAATCAACAGTGACAATCACTGTTATGTTTTCATAGGGTCAACATGGTTGATCATTATCCAAACATGAAAAGGTATCTTGCAGTGTGACCATGAACCACTCATATCTGAACCCTCTGATTCTTGGGTCCCTTGAACTCTCCAGATAAAATTCAAAACAAGCCCAGATGTTGGTAAGCAGGCGCTATTCTCCCTCGAGAGGAGAGTGATGTGCATGTGAAAAAACGTCGTAGAACCCCTGGGTGTGAGTTTCTATGCGAAGTCTCTCACGTGCCGACTCCAGAGCTTTACACAGTCCATTCCAAAAGAGGCTTCTGGGTCTGGTATCACCATGATTAAGATGGGGATAGAAGTTACCTACTTTGGAAGATCCTATAAAAGCTAAATGATGCTACGCTTACATGGGCCTAGACCCATGCCTCGATGTGTGTGTCTGTATGTATGTGTGTGCATTTGTATCTGTGTGTCTGTATGTATGTGCACGAATGTGTTGTGAATTTGTATGTGTTTTTATCTCTCTGTGTGTGTCTGTTCTGTTTGTGTATGTCTGTGTATCTGTAAGTGTGTGTGTTTGTATCTCTGTGTGTTTGTACCCTGTTATTTCCACTTTACTAATGGATAGAAAATCTACAAACTTGTTGAGCAGCTTTGCAATAGAAGAAACTGATTTCAATTCTTCAGTCACTTAACTCCTTGTAGCTTTAGTCACATCGATGACAATTTCTTGTTCATAAAGGGTGTGTATCTGGCCAAGCTTCTCATGTCAGAATTCTTTACAGCCATCCTTCTACCTCCTTTGCAGTCCTCTCTTCCCTTGTTCCTTGGCGGCCACCTCCATTCTCATCCCTGAATCTCTTCAGGTTGAGTCACGTCTTCCACCTGAACATTAGAACTGTGTTTGCCACCACCCTGGCAATCCCAGCAGCCCTGCTGCCCAGGTTAGAGATTCAGGTCATGACCTCCTCCTTATTCATCTACCAAAGTCTCTTTGGTACTTCCACAGATACATTGGGACCTAAGATTGTTATTTATTTATTTAAGAGAGTTCTGGGTTTTGTTTTTACAGACAGTGATGTGATGAAAGTTTTAAAAGTATCTCTTTTATGCACGTTCATAGACGAAGTCCCTGGACCCTGGTAGTGTATATATTTGTTTATAGAGGTATATAATCTAATCAACAGCCAAAGCCCCGAAAGGAGTTTGAACCAATCCCTGCTCTCCATACAACTGCCATGAGCCTCCTTCTGCATGACCTGAGCTCATGCTTGAGATTGTTTCAGACCTGATGGGAGATTATCTTCATTTTAGAGATACATTTAGTATTTGAAACCTTTGTTCTTGTTTCTTTTTCTTTTTTCCTTCTTTCTTCTCTCTCTTTCTTTCTTTTTTTTTCTTTCTTCCACTTTTTGACAGGGACTCTCTATGTAGCTCTAGCTGTCCTGGAACTTTCTATGTAGACTGAGCTGGCTTTGAACTTAGATCCAACTGCTTCTGCCTCCTGAGTGCTGGAATCAAAGGCATGCACCACTATGCCCAGCTCAAAGCTTTGGATTAACAGAGTTTTATAAAGTATTCTGTACAGGGACTACATGCACATGAAGATCACACTAGGAACATCAATGGCTCATCTGTCTACTCTAACACGCTAACTCCTGAAACACCAACCTCTGCAGTCTCGGGGCTGCTCTGAGGCAAACGTGTTACACCTGTGCAGGATAAAATGACGCTCTGCAGCTGGTGAGATGGCTCGGGGGCTAAAGGTGCCTACACCAAGCCTGATGACTGTGGTTTGATTCTTGGGGCAAGAATCCACCCTTGCAAGTTGCCCTCTGACCTCCATGTCTGCACTGTAGTGTGTGATGCAACCACCCAAAGAAACAAATAAACATAATAAAATATAAGACATTAGGTGTTTTGTGCTCACAGAGTCATTATTGCATCTTATTTGCTAGTGATTTTTAGTATTAATACAGCCTTATATGAGTTCTCACTGAAGAAATTCAAAGCTTAGGACTTAAGCTCCCCTAACTACCTACCTCCTTCTCAGCTCCACATTTATCCCGAGAAGAAAAATAATTGTCACTGATTTGTGTCTGCCTTTACAGGCCGATTTCCAGGTATTTGTATACATACTCTAGAGGTGACAATCTGTTCTCCCACACGTCTTAGAGTGGGCAGCTTCCTGTCCTGTCTATCGCAAATAGTGTTTGGTTTCCTTTGCCTCAGAGCTCACAGAGTTTTTAGTCTCCAAAGCTAAACACTTAAGTCTTACACCCACTGTCATTTTACACCATGTTTTCATTTTTTAAAAATTGCACAGACTGGAGATCCAACTAAAGACCTAAGAGCCAACTAATTCTGAAATGAAAAACTTAAGCCTTGCCCTACCCACTCAGAAAGAAAAGCATAGAAATCTATCATAGAACCAGCCCATGGGCAGACAGGACATGAGCCGAGCTGAAAAGCCAGACCCTGGGTGGCCACATGTTCTAATCAAGACAGCTGAACACCAAAGCCAGAGATGCCATGGCAGTCACATGATCTGTTTCCCACACGAGCATCCTCCTCTGCCGCATGATTACAGCGGCAGCTGGTTGGGAGGGGTCGATAAGACGATGTATGTAAAGGATCTACGAGCCTCACCTGTGAGGTAGTGAAACCCTGATAGTTGTCCAAGGTTTTGAACCTGTGTGCATGTGAGATTTAGAAAATTAAAGAGAGAGAGGAGCGAGAGGAAAGAGAGAGGGAGAAAAATGAGAGAGACAGAGAGATAGAGACACACTCAGAGAGAGAGGAAAGGAAGAGGAGGAGGAGAAGGAAGTTTAGAACTGCCCATTCAGAACCGTGCAGTCATTCATGCTGATAACCCCCAGTACGTGTGCAGCTGAGCCAGGTCCCTCAGTTGAAGTCCATTCTAGGTTATGTATCAACACCCCATCTCAACAATAACAGCAAAAGAACCTTCTCAGTCAGAGTTGGTTGGAGATGAAGACCACGAGTGCCCCTCCACCTGTACTCCTCTCTCCAAAGGCCTGATCCCACCGGTCAGGAAAAAGACCCAAATGCATCGGCGGTGCCCAAGCCTGACACTCAGCAGGCCAGGCTTGGCACCCAGGCTCGGGAACATCAGGAGGTCAGCTTTCGGCAGCTGAGCCCTTTGTGGTCTGCTCTACAGTTCCAGGGATGGAAACATGGGTCCAGGGGAAGCCCCCCACCCCAGAGGTCTGCCCTTTTCCACAGACCTGTGTCCCTCACTCCCACTCACATCCCACATGTTCCTCTACCTCAGTGTTGAGCTCAGACATCACCTTTTCTTCTAGAAAGGTCTTCCTCTACCCACCATCACCACCGCCCCCATGTGCTCTACAGCCCATTGTGAGTTCCAGCTGCTTCCTGTGTCTTCCCTCTAAATAGTTAGTGCTTCAAAAGGGGCCGTTATGCTCCTTGCTTCCTCCTGGCTCACAGTAGAAGCCAATGTGTGAGTGAGGGTCCTCTCTAGCGCATTCTGAAGTCTCAGAAAGATGCAGCCCCACAGGTTAGATGTATGGGTCAGTTAGAAGTTCTTGTCGGAAATAATGATCCAGCAGAAGAGATTCTGTCTCTCTCGAGACTTAATTAACCCAATAAGCATAAGCCACTGCTTTCCTCCATTCCATCATGCTCCTACTATTCTGTATCTCACCCCCACATCCTTATGAGAATGTGCGCTTGTATCACTCTCCTCTGCATCACTCTCCTCCGTCCCCCACACTCCCCTGGCTTCCAGGCCTCTTCGTCTGAGACAACAGCGCTTCCAACAAGCACAGATATTTCATCCTTAAGATTTATCTCCAGAGAGTCTCACAACAGTTTCATGTATGCCATCTGCAAATAGCAAACACCCTGGCAGATGCACAGTATTGTACTTTTAAGTAAGTTTTATTAATTAGTCATGGACAGGGTCCCATGTGCCCCAGGCTGGCTTTAAACTGCTATGTAGCTGAAGATGAGACTGTGAGCTTCTGATCCTCCTTCCTTCACCCTCCAAGTGCTGGGGTTACTGGTGTGCACCTCACACTTGCTGAGGACTGAACCCAGGGCTTTATACCTGCTAGGCAAGTACTCTGTCTATTGAGCTGTATCCTCAGCCCACATGTGTTTTTATAGTTTATGAAGGATGTGAGAATATTTATAGGATGATATTTACAGGGGGAAAATGGTATGGCATAAAACCATTTTGCCAACACATTTGCGTACATTTGTGCAAATGTATGCACCAAAAGAATTCTGAAAGAAAATGAAAATAAATGTTTCTGAGTGGTGAGAACATAATAGTTCTGAATTAAAAACTATTTTGATGTTTTGATTTTTAAAGATTTTATTTATTTTTATTTTATGTGTATAGGTGTTTGCCTTCGTGTATGTGTGCCAGTGCATGCAGCATTTGAGGAGGCCAGCAGAGGACACCAAATGCCCTGGAACTGGAGTTCCAGATGGCTGTGAACCACAGTATGTGGGTGCTGGGAACCAAACTGAGGTTCTCTTCAAGAGCAGCCAGTGCTCTTAACAGCTGACCCATTTCTCCAGCCCACTACTTCTGTTTTCTTAATTTTACATATATTTATGCTTTTATAAAAAAGATTTTAAATAAAAAATACATCTAGTAAATGTTCTTCCTCCTTCCCTCTCCTTATCCCTTTCTCTCTCCTTTGCTTCGTGTTCTGTTAAGACACAGTGTGTAAAATGGAACCCTGGCAGCTTCTATGATCTTTCTGTAGAAAATCACAACCATAAAACCCCGGGGGCAACACTGTTTCACAGCAGCTATAATTCATCTTTCCTGCCTGCCTGTTCCTCCAAAATGGGCAAAGAGCTTTCACCAAGGAACAGTTTTAAGCAATGCATAAATATGCCAAAAAGAACACGGACACTCAACACAGTTTCAAACTGGTGACGTAGCCTCTGGGAACCAGTCTGGATGCAACTTCTCGAGCCCAGACATACCCGAAGTACCAGGATTTCATAGATGTACGTGCTGACACACAGGAGCCTACACTTCTTACAAAGTTCCCAGAAGATGCCAGTGTTAATCCTGATCAGAACACCCAATGCTTAGACATCTGATTCCAGATAACTTTTAACTCTCTGGTGAAAAAGAGAGGGTCAGGACAGAATGTCAACAGCTGGTAAACAGTGGTGTGCTAGCAAGCGCTTTGGCCATAGGCTTTCTGGGTATGGGAAGCTCTAATTTGCAACATTTGCCACAGTGTAAATACCATCCCATCACCAAGGGACTCCAACCCACCCTTGTAAATTGTAAATCATGAATTTGGCATTACAGAGGCATATACACAGCTTTCCAAAACAAAACAAAACAAACAAACAAACAAAAAAAAAAAACAGTGGCTCCATCTGGAGTGATGGTGACGACTTAGCTGTTCAGTTCCCTCGCCATTACAAGTGAGTGCACATCCCCACATTGCTGGAAAGACTAACATAACACTACCTCCTGACCACATTGGAGCTGGAGCAGGAGAAGAGCCACATTGCATCTCATAGGTATTTTCAAAAGCACAGGAAACACAGGCCTGATTCTGTTTCTTCTGCAGGAGTACAAGTTTATCGATTGATTAAAAGATCTAAACTACAAAAACTTACGAACACCCTAAGATGCCTCCTTGTTGAGGCAGCTTCACCTGTACCCTCTGCTCAGGGGTGCCTTGCCCTGTTAGAACGGAAATCAAAATTCTTTTGGAAACACTTGCTTAAAAAGGCGAGGACCAGCATGGCACATACCTATGATATGAACACTCCAGAGGCTGAAGCAGGAGGATAGCCAAACCTAATATATAAAGTGTGAAGCCAAGTCCCCATTCCCACCCTCCAAAAGAGCCCTATAAGGCTGATCCATTGATTGGAGTTTTTTCATTGTTAAGAGTTTCTAAGTCCAGAATGTTTAAGTGCAGAGGCAAAATTAACTTGGGAACTCTTCATCTCCGTTAATACCCACTCACACCCCAGCTCTGCGTCTGCCCCAACATCAAGGTGAATATCAGGTCAACTCTTTGGAATGATACATTCTACCTCTACTCTGCTGCAAACTGTCTGCCCAGGTCCCACCAATGTATTTAGGAAATGTCTTGATCTAGGTATAGGAATTTCTTTTCCTCTCTAAGTATAAAAACTTTATAAAACCATTTCCACAGTGGAACATATTATTTAGGGAAGCTCAAATCCATGTTCACTTGTATTAGGCTCAAAAAATCAGCTTATTCCTTTTGAGAAGAAAGCTGTATTTTTCATTGATGATACCGAGACTCTGACTCCTAGAAAAAAAATAAAAGGAGGAAAAGAGCAAAGACTGCATCCTGCAGTCCCAAATCTTAGGAGGGGAAGGCAGGGGGTTCAGTGGTGGCCTGAGCTACAAGGCATATTCAAATGATGTGTAATGTTTTAAGGCCATCAGTATTGATATGCCTATTTCAAGAAAAAAAGACTGTTTTCCAACTTGGGTACACATCAGTTTTTCTTTTCTGAATTGACAATACCAGATACCTTCTCAGCTTCCAGCTTGAAATAAGAGTTTTGTAACTGAAGGTTACAGAGCATAGTTTAAATTCCACGCCTAGACACCCCCCTAACCCCACACCACCACTGTCACTTTACCAAATTCCTAAACTCCCCAAGACCATTTTTTTTTCCATTTGTAAAATGATAGTGAGGACTTCCCTCATGATTGTCAGCTCTGAGAAGGTAGGAGGATCAAACACTTTCCACTCAGTACTAAGCAAAGCACTTGGTGCTTACAGGTTAAGTCTTTCTCAGCTTCTCTCCCTTTATCTGAAATTATGCGGCTTAAACTAGCTTTCTTCTTAATCATAGTGTCACCAGACACAGTTGAAGTTGGAGGAAAGCCAGCCTCCATCATATCTTTGCTATGTAAGGTGAAGAAATCAATGTCAAGATAAAGCACTGCCTATTTGACTACAAAGCGAGTGAAGGAGAGAGCAAGTTACAGAGCACCATTCAAAACCAAAGAGCGCTAATGTAAAGAGTGAGTATGAAACAAGGGGTTCCACATAGATTTGGGGCCTCCCTCATTCTTCATCGCCCCTTCTCTCTTTGAGGTGGGGTCATGCTACAAAGCCCAGGCCAGCCTTGAACTCACAGCAATTCTGCCTCAGCCTTCAGGGTTCTGGGATTACAGGCATGCCGAGTTGAAGTCGGTTTCAGTCGGTACACCCGTGAGCAGTACTCCACCCCTGCTCTGGTCAACGTGTCTGTAGCATTCAGAGAGGCCGAAGGAACCTACCCACTAAATTGTCCTTATCCGGTTTCTCAGGTGAATCCATCTCATTCTTGAGAGGCTTTTCAAATCTTGCAGATGGTCCTGGGTCGGGATCCAAACCTGGTTGCAGGCATCAGCTCAGAGGTGTGGAGAGAGGAAGACAGAGCGAGGAAGGCTCCCTCTCCTGGCAGATACCCTGAGGGGTGGTAACCCTGGTGCAAGGAGCCTAGAAACGTAAACAAAACACCTTCCCTGACCTCACACTGTCTTCAAAGAGAAAAAGCAAAAGAAGAAAACCGTCTTTCGAGGGCTGCTTCCTGTAAGATAGGGCATGTGATTCCTGTATCGTTTACCTACTGTAAAACATCAGTAGGCCCCTGTGTAACTCATTATCCGATATTTATATAATATATTACATATATATATAATACATTATATATAATATACATATATATAATATATTATAATGTATTATATATAATATGTACGATAATACATTATATACATTATATATTACTATATTATACACATAGTATAATACAATAGTGCAGCCTAATTCATCCAACACACTGTAGGTAGAACACTTCAAATGCTTATCTAATCGTGTCACACCCTTAATGTTAACCCAACTACAAAGTGTCGGTCAGTCCTCCTCTTACCTGACACTCTCCTCCCCTCCATGTATCAATCTCTCTAAAGCTCTTAGTTGTTTGTCTTCAGATAGAGTCTAATTCTAACCCACGCTGGCTTTGAACTCCCAGGAATTCTCCTGTCTCAGTACTCCTCTCCCACTGCCCTGAGTGCTAAGATTGCAGGCATGAGCCACCACCCAGCTCCTTTAAAGCTTTTTGCACACTTGTAACTGTGCCTGCAATTATCTGAATTTTCTAGACCAGCCAGCTGTAGCCTGCCACCTGTTTGCTTTAAGTAATGTGATGGTGATAGACATTCCCAGGAGGTGATGATCTTTCTGAGATGCAGAGCTTCAGCGTCACAGCTATGCTGGTCAGTAATTGTTTATTTATCGATTTATTTGTTTGTTTATTTTTGTCTAGTTGACACAGCTAGCATCATTTGGGAACAAGGAACCCCGGATTGAGAAAAATGCCTCTATCAAATTGTCCTGTGGGCAAGTCTGTGGAGGCATTTTCTTGATTGATGATTGATATGGGAGGGTCCAGCCCACTGTGGGGCTGCCCCAGGGTAGGCAGGCCCACTGGTTATACAGGAGAAAGCTGAGCAAGCCATGGAGAGCAAGCCAAGGAGAGCAAGCCATGGAGAGCAAGCCATGGAGAGCAAGCCAGTAAGTAGACAGTGTTTAACTGTGGTCCTTGCTTCGGTTTCTGCCCTGACTTCCCTCAGGAATGGTCGTGAGCTGTAAGATGAAATCTAAAGCTTTCCTCCCCAGCTGCTTACACTCATGGTGTTTAACAAAGCAGTAGAAAGCTAAGGACAAAGCCCAGGATCCCCCCTTACTCCACAGTCCTAGAAGCGAGTGCCATGGTAAATTTATTCTAATACTGAAAATCCCCCTCTCATTTCAATATCCTTAATATTTGCTCCCGTCTGTGTAAAAGTACAAAACAGGGCAAACCAACAGCTCTTTGTCTGTTCATCTTGTGCTTTCTAAGTGTTTTTTCCCCACCTATCTAGTTGTTTTCATTCTAGCAGGAGCCTCTTTAAACATTTCCTGTGTCATGGTTAGTCTCCTCTGCATTTATATGAATAAATGTGAAATTTCAGAGTTTTAAGGGAGGGTCCAGAAAATCAGACACATGAGCAAACCCACATGAGGTGATTTCTGCTCAGCCTACAACACCTTTCTTCAATCTACTGCTCTGTGTAGAAGTGAAGCCAGCCACACAGGGGCTGAGAAAGCAGCCGGGATCCCAAACTGTCAGCATGGCAAGAAGCTCTTGCTCTGACATGTATTAGTCATGTGACCTCAAATCCAACCTCCATCTGTGGAATGAAAAGATTAGAATTTGTTAACAAGTTATCCAGGTGAGACTCATTCAGATGTGGTGTTTAAGTGGAGTCTTGGTTGCAGCTGTGAAGTAGTAGCTATTATCACGTGGAATGGGAATCTTCTCTCTAAATGGGGAATCTTGGATTAATTCAGTGTCTCCCCTTTTCTCTTATCTTCAAGTGAGGCCAAGACTGACTCATTTACATGAATACTTTGGTCAGGTCTCCTCTCTCGCTCATCTAGCATGACCCTTATTTCCTATAAATTTGAAAATGTAAGAGCAGAGCATGAGGGTGCAAACATGTGATCCCAGAGTTCAGCAGGCAGAGGCAAATGGATTGTCACAAATTTGGGGTCAGCTTGCCCTACATAGAAAGCTCCAGATCAGCTTAAGATGCAGATTGAAAGAACAACAATCAACAGACAAACCCTAAAGCTCCAGGCCCATCCCTGGCTCTTGCTGTTAATGCGTACACAGATTCCGTTTCTTAGCCTTTGCCATCATCCTTCATGACAAACATATAATGTAAACAGCCACAGGAAAGCTTCCTGTTTGTATCATTTCTTGTGCCTAAGGCATATTCAGTTTGTATCCAGAAGGGGACCAACCCTTCCCTTTGCCCCTGGGTGGTCATGCGGCACAGGCTCTCTAGTTCAGCTTATCTCCCAATACATTTTCCCCAATATTGGCCAAATGCCATTTATATTATAGCTGCCACTCAAGGAAATACAAGATTCAAAACAAAATCAGTAATTGTTCCCAGGGGCCGCTAGAAAGAGCCTCAGGAGAACTCACTGTGTGTCCCCTTGGATGATGACTAAACAGCTGTTTTTCTTCTTTCTGCAAAATGTTCCAAATGTCTCCACCTAGAAAGCAATGGTGACTTCAAGTAATGAACACTGAGTCCCTACAGAATGGTCTGGGGAATAGGATGAGAGGTGCTTTTTCTGTGTATATAGAGTATTGCCCAAGTAGGTCTTAGGCAATGAACTACCCATAGCATTTTCTCGCTTCATCATGGAGGACTGTGGGGGATGATGGGAGATTCTGCTGTTCGGATACTTTTCCTCTATCAGTTCCTGCACAAGCTGAAGTTCTAGCCTGAGGACAGCTGCTTTTAAATGTTCAGACTCTGGTCTCACCCTTGAGGTTTACAGCAAGCACATCTACCTTCTATGCTTTCTGTATCCCAAGTGACGGCCTTTGGAAGAACCAAGCTTCTAACTTGTGACTGGCCCTTCTAGCCGCAAGCCTTTCAGCTTCCTGGTTCAGGAACATTCTCTGTCACTTCTTGCTGGGAGGGACAATGCGCTACACCCTTGCGGTTCTCTTGGGGTTGTTCCCTTTTCTTTAAAGATCACCTTCTCCACCGTACACATTATTCATACTTATGTACACCCACATCTGTAAGAGAATCTGGGCCCTCATTGTATGTGGATACTTGGAGAGAGAATTTTCTACACTGAAGTGAGGGCCTAGATCTCTCCCCCAAGCAATACTTCCAACTCTCAGCTAATTGAACATCTCTACCTGGACATACCGGATTCAATATTCCATCTCTGCTAGATAGGAATTATTTTTTTGTGACGCAAATTTTGTTGACACTTGTGAAGTGACTTATGGAGCACGCGCCTAGATCCTGTAGGCATATATTAGTGGGGTAAGCAACTGTGCACAGTGTCCACACAACTGGAGTGTCACTGCAATGCCTGGAGCCACACGAGCCCCAGCCCTACCTCCCTGTGACCAGAAGCAGGAGTTTGGTTTCCCTGCTTTTCAAGTAGCTTTTTCTCATATGTATGATTTAGTTTTAGTTGATTTTGACCAATATGAAAATCCCCCCATGGCCATCTCTGATTGCTTGTTCCGTGCTTCAAGGTGAATCCACAGTCCTGTTAACATTTTTGAGAGCTGGAGAGATGGCTCACGAGTTAACAGCACTGACTGTTCCTGCAGAGGACCCGGATTCAGTTCTGAGCACTCACATGGCAGCTCACAACTGTCTGTCACTTGTCCCAAGGGATCTGCCGCCCTCTTCTGGCCTCTGAGGACACCGCATGTGGGCAGTACACAGATACACACACACCCAGGCCGGGAAACCTTCATATACATAAAAATAAAGGGAAAAATTTTAAAAAGAAAACAATTTTTGTCACCATCCGGCACTCCTTTGTCGATCAAAAACAGGCCACAGTTCACTTACTTGAAGTAATTTTAAATTTTTGTTATTACATAATGCCATCATGGATGTTTTTGTATGGGTGTCAATTTGTTCTAAAACCAAGACATAAACATCCAGAAATAGAAGTGATAGATTTTATGTTCTATTTTACAAGCCTGCTACCAGCTTTGCAAAATACCAAAATGTGTGTGTGTGTGTGTGCACACCCACGCACTCACACATGTGTTTATGTGCACCGTGTGTATGCAGTACCCATAGAAGCCAGAAGAGGGCTTTGGACCACCTAAAATTGGGGGTTATGGAATATTGTGAGCCAGCCTGTGGGTGTTAGGAACTGAACCCACCTCATCTGCAAGAGCAGAAAGTGCTCTTTACTGGTGAGCCATCTCTCCAGACCCTCAATAGCCTTCCTTAACAATTATGAGTTATAAATAGCAAGAACTTTTAGCTTTAACCATATTTTTAAAAAAAATACCTCTAATAGAAGTCCTTAAATTTTAAAAATGAGTACCATAACATCCTATGTGTAGACAAGGGCCTAGGGCACACTTTGATTACCCTTCCCAAAATACTTGCTAAGGTTCGAGGATTTTTGAATGACCAATGTTATACCCTGTCACCTTTAAAAACAAGCTCCCTTTGATGAGTTAAGAGTAAAAGCTTTACTCGATTCTGATATCAACTGCACTTTATATGAAATCACATATTGAGGCATACTGAGGCTTAAGACTAAGAGCTCAGTCACTTTCCTGTCATGTTTCCCTGGCTTCTGAGCTTTCTTCAAACTACTCCCTATACTCCACTCAACTATACTCGTAGCAGGCAATTTTCTCACATTTTTGGCCTTTTCTAGAATGTTCTCAGTCATAAAACTTTAACAACTTTTAACAGTCTTCCTGGACCCTCAAATGTAGTAATGGTCACCTCCCTGCAGCCTGCTTCAAGGGTTCTCTTAGCAGCAAAATAAGTGCCAAATTTCTCACACCCATTCTTTGCCTCAGCTTGGCTTCTCCACCAGCTGCGCAGAGCAACCATCACTCCAGAGGCTTGTGAAACACCAGCGCAAAGGCAGTCTCCAGTGATTACTGCTGCTATTCTAAAATACGCCCTCTACACTTTTTTGTAACCCTTTGCATGCCCAATGTACTCAGCATTCCAGGGACATACTGAAAAGATGAACTAGACACACACAGCTTGTGCTCAAGGGCCCTAGAGAACAGAAGTACAATTCACAGTAGAATCACACTGGATGGAGATTACTCAGTCAGTAGCCATTTTCTGAACCGCCAACACAAAGAAGACTGATATGATTGTAACCTAAAAAAGAACAAACGACAGCATCCAGCAACTGGTATCAGCCTGTGTGCTCCAAGAGAAGGGGTATTTCTGCCTGTTCCAAGTATTGCTCATCATCTGATTTTTCCATACGGTTTCGTTTGAAGAGCTGGGCAGTCAGAATCTAAAGGGGGTTTCAATTAAATTCAGACAAGAATGTTCAACATATTAGCCCTAGAAATGAGAAAAACTAAACAGCCTATCTACCTAGCACTTAATGAGACACTTCTACAATGTTCATCATATCCATAAAGTTTATTTTTTAAAAATGTTAAAAACTAACCGTACAGTATTATTCAATAGACTTAAAAAGCTTGTTCCCCGCGTTGAAGGAAAATACATTTGCAACATCTTCCAGACACCATCTTTATAAAAGTAGAACTTCTAGGTGTTGAGATGCACTACAGTAGATTCTACGGCTTACATTCTCCCTACTGCCCCCACTGCCAGTGCGGCAGACCCTGCCCAGGACGACAGGAGCCACGGTCCGCCAGCACAGGTCCTCAGCGCCCACGGCGCCCACTGACAGAGCGGGTCTTCGCTATTGCTGCTGCGCGTTTATTTTAGTCGAGCTTGAGTAGAAATTCATCCCGTGATTGTAAACATTCACCAAGAGCTTCCAGGGTACAAGGAGTAAGTAACAGTGGTGGCCTGGGACTCACTTGTGGGCATACTGCTGAGAGTATGAAAAATGTTTTGCCAAATCATCCTCAGGCTCCCTTATAGACCTGTAAGAAAGTAGTTCTGGGTATACATTTTTTTTAAAACACCTGAAAGTCATTCTAAAGACTACGGTAAGCACCATTTTTACTTTCCTGAAATACATTGAGTTAAATTCAGCAGTCTGACTATTGATAATAAATAACAGTCATCTCAAGTCCCCCTTTGTAGACACGTACGGAGCACTGCGTTCCAGCTGATGCTAACATGCATCCGAAGAATAGCAACTCCCCAGGGCCACATGCAGCCTGAGGCACAACCATCACTTCCGTCCATGGAGGCGACACAAGCAGACTTAAGGCTGTATTCGGCTTTAAAGACTTCCGTCTCCTCTTCAACAGTCTATGTAGATCGCTCACACAATTCAAAGCTTTGTAGGAAGGGAGGTGAAAAGTCCCCAAATACTTTTAAAATACTATTCTCCATACAATTCATTGTCTGCATATATACATATACAGGAGTAAGGGTTCTTACTTACAAGCACTTTAAAAATGCAACCTGAACTTGTAAATTCTGTCCCAGTGTCCTCAAGGATACTCCTTTTCAGACTACTGGCCAGTTTCATATCTGTCAGATTGTTCACTGCAGTTCTTGGGGCAAATTTCATGTTGCTCCCAAGGAGAATAAACATGTTTAAACTCATTGCCATCCGCTTTGGGATAGGCCTGGTTGCAGAGAAAATGGTGTTCCCGGCGTGGAAGGATAGCTAGGGAACCCGTCTGGCTGGGCCGGGTAGCTCTCCAGAGCAGATGCCGAATGGACCTGCAGGAAAGAGGCACAAGACGTTAGCAGAACCCCAGTTTATCGGGCCGGGACTGGCTCCCATCCACATACAAACCAGACAGGGGCAAGAGGGCAAACATACTATTTTAAAAATACACCAACGGGTGGATTTTGTTGTTTCGTAGAGAAAATTTGCCTTCCTATATTCATTACAGCTTAAGTATAAGACAAATTAATTGTCTTGCCTAGTTTCCATGTAATTAAGTTTCCAAACTGAGTCATGCTATTGTCTCCCCACCCCATTCCACCCCCGATCCTCCAGGGTTTCTTGGTGTAGCCTTGGCTGTCCTGGAACTCAGAGATGGGCCTGCCTCTGCCTGCGGAGCGCTGGGATTAAAGACATAACCCGAGGTTATTTTTTTTTAATCTATAGAGAGGAAAAATGATTCAACCATTTGATTCCCACTCTGTTACTCTTCTGAAAAAAAGACACAGAATCTGTGAATTTGGGGAGAGCTAACGAAACCAGTCTCCTGGGTTCTGGTAAGACCCATTCTTGCCCGCCTTGGGCAGGTCCCCGGGTCAAGATGGTGGCTCGCTGTTTTACTTACTCCAGACTGCCTACCTGCTGTAACAAAGCCGACTGCGCAGCTGCGCTGTGCTGTAGCTCTTGCAGGGATGACTGTGAAGGAGTCTGGGAAAACCCAGGGATACCTGGGAGGGACAGAAGGCCCGGGAAAACAGAGCTTCCTGCAGCTTGGAGTCCAGATGACAAACTAAAAACAATCGGTAGAAAAAACAGGTCAGACTGCACACAGCACGGAAGACGGAAAAGCTGCCTCTGTATTTGGCAAGAGGTGGCTTAAGGACAGTAAAGACAACAAATCAGAGCTCACTCCTCTGTGGGATAGAACTGTAGAAATGAGCCACGTAGAAACGGAGAGCAGGAACTCTGAAAGCAAGGTTTTTACACGTAACCCTTTCAGCTACCTTAGTCACTCTACGTGACACTGCTGAGGGCTCAATGGTATATTCTGGGCATTCGACGCCATATCCCCCGTTCCCACCCCTCAGAGCCTAGCATCTCAATACAAATCAAGGCTGAGCTACGTAAGCTTGTTGAGGAGTCACGTACCCGGCTTGTGCCACCAGGGCGGAGTTGAAGTTAGAACTGAAGGCGGAGGCAAAACCAGGGAGCACAGGCGCGGGCGATGGAGCCGAGGCAGCCACCGGCAGTGGGGTAACTGCTACCGTGGAGGGGGCCTGCAGCCCCGGGAACGAGGGCAGCGCGGGAGCACCACTTGGGGCACTGGAGACGGGGAAGCCAGGGTAGGAGGGGTTAGAGGCAGGCAGCGGGCCCTGGGTGACCGCAAAGAGCGAGGGCACAGCAGTGGACAGGTTGAGTGGGAAGGCCGCGGGCGAGGCATTAGAGGTGGGCAGCACTGTGCGCATGGTCGCGGAGCTGGGGTGCACGGCTGCAGATGTGGTGGTTGGTGGCCCCGCGAGGGACACAGCGGGACTGAGGGAGGGACCACCCGGGAGAGGGAAACTGTTGGTCAACGAAGTGAAGGGAGGAAGAGCAGTGAACACGGGGGCGATGGGTGTGGAGGACGCGTGTGGTGCAAGGGGCATGGAACCGGCCAAGGGGGTACTCAGGCTGGAGAGCCCCGACAGCGCAGAGTTAAGGCAAGTGGACACACTGATGGGCACTGAGGTCACGGGGTACCCACGGCCCAGGGCCCCCGACAGGCCCAAGGCACCGCGAGCAGGAGTCCCGGGATGAGCTGGGCCTTTGAAGGCCGAGGGCGGGGGGCTCGTGGGCTCAGTTTTGATCATAACAGGCATGGGTGCCGCAGCAGGGGCAGACGAGGTGCCACCTGCATGGGGCCCGTGCAGAAGCGAGCCTGAAGAGCCACAGCTCACCGGCACTGCCGTGGAGGCGGGGGGAGCTAACGGGGACGGGGCAGGCAGCGTGGGGGTGGCCGAGGTAGCGCTGGCCGCAGGGGACTGCAGGCCTGGGAACATGGCCAGCCCCGGGGTGGAAGACCTCTGTGCAGCGGGGACGGGCGCAGGGGGATAGCACTTGGTAGTGGCTGAGGCAGGAGAATCCGAGTTTCGGCCGGGAAGGGAGGATAATGAAGCCAGCCCACTAGTGACCGCAGACGGCAAGGCAGAGGAATTCAGTAGGTGTGTGTCATTTGACGTTAGAAAGCCTTTTAAGGCAGACAGAAGGGGACTGTTGATGCTGTGTGGGCCCGCGGCACTGGAAATGACGGAGGGAGTGGGGGTGGCCATGCCCTGGGATGCCGGCGGGAAGGGCAGAGGCAGACCCGCGAAGACCGAGGACAGGGAAGCTGTGCTCGGGTTACTGGCTGACCCAGCAGTCGAGCTGGCCAACGAGTGGCTGGTGAATGGGGCACAAGTAGAAGCGAACGTCTCACTGGAAGCCAGAGTGAGCCTTGGTGTGGAGCTGGCCTGAGGGGCTGGGCTGGGCGTGGCAGATGGACCTGGCAGTGGCACTAGGCCAGAAAAAATGGAAGGGACAGGCGCAGGTATGGCGCTGTGGGTGGAAGTGACAGGCGTTGCCGGCACCGAGGGAGTCCGGATTACAGTCAGGCTGGGTGTGGATGGCTGCGGCATTGGGAACACGGACAGGGCAGTGTTGGGAGCACTCATTCCGGCCCCAGTGGCAGCTGCTGACGCCGATGGATGGTTCACTGCCTTGGCTGGGGACACGGCAGGCACGGGAGTTGCAGCAGGAGTTGAAGGATTAGAACCATGAGGAGAGAAGAGTTGACTTGCTGGGGTGGAAAATGCTGTGGGAGAGAAGAGGCAGGGTTTTACCAGTGCTGGGATGGCCAATTTAAGCTAGAAGAAACATAAGCGCTCCTTTTTTTTTTTTCTGGAGGGGGCTCATATTTCACAAATAGCAAAGAAAACCAAAGGCAGACATAAAGTTGCTCTTGCCGTGTCTGAACTGATAGATGCCATGACCCTATCTCCACTTTGGAGCATCTGTTCAGGGCAGTAGCTATGTCCTCTTGCACCTGATCATCAGAGAGGAAGCTGGAGCTTTATGAAGCTGGAAGCACGTGTGAGGGGGTGACCTGGAGGGACCGACTCCCCCTTGGATCCCTTCACTTGCAGAGAAGGCCTTCTCTAGAGTGACCACATGCAGGCCCCCCAGCTCAGGACCAGCTCACTGACGTGTGTGGCCCACACTGGACAGCCTACAACAGCCCCTCAGCCGGGATCCTAATGTGAGCTGTCGTGACTACTTCATCTTCTGTGCTCAGGCCTCTGTGTTTCCGTTTACGCCAGATCCATATAGAGGACAGCTCCCAGGCTATCCAAGACTTGTTTTGTGTTTGCTACACCATCTTTATTCTGATAAACTCCACAGATAATTAAAAGGAGGATTTGGGGTCCTCCTCCCAGGATGAGTTCACTGACTGTGTCAGACTGTGCTGGATCTGTGGCACCTGAGGGGAAACAGGACTTTTACAGGCAACGCCACACTGACCAGCACTGTCTGGAACTGTCTTTAGAACAATTGTTTCAGAGATATAATACAGACTGCTCCTCCTGCTGCAGTGATAACCACTGAAAGGCGTTTTTAGGAAGACATTTAAGATCTGGGTGGAAACCAGACTCTTGGCATGGGGACGCTCACATGGTCAGCGCAGTAATGTTCTGGGAATTATCTCTGGTGGGAGGAAGCGCTCAGGAAACACCAGAAGTAAGCAACTGTGCATAGTTTACTGTGCAAAAAGGCCACACAGTTCTTTTGCTATTCTCTCGGAAAAGACATGTGGTAAGAAAAGTTAACAAACAATGGTATAAGAACTGCAAAGTCAAGGCTGCACTGTATTCACATTTCTCATTTAGGTATATATTGTTTCCTGGTAGAGGGGATTGAACTTGAAGCCTTGCAAATGCTAATGAAGCCTTGCACTGCACACACACATACATAATACCAGATGCATGTTATAAGCAGTGACTTATGAAAATCAGACTCATTTTAGAGTCACTATGAAAACAGGTCTGTACTTGTTTCCTAAGAACTAGAAGCATCGGGAATAGAACATGGGCCTAAGTCTGAGTTTGTAAATCAACAAATACTTTGGTCCACAGGGGGCGGCGAGCACATGAGAATCCAGTCACATTCACTGATATGCTGAGGACCGTGTACTTAATGAGAGGCCCCGAGGAAAAAGCAAGCAGGCCGTCCCAGAGCTCTTACAGCCTCTCCCACTGGAAATCTCCGGAACAAGGAAGCAAATGCTCTGTGTGTTAACACAGTCTCTGCAGTAAGCAATGAAACAAGCAGAAGCAAGACCCCAATTACATTACATGACAAATCATACGTTCCTGGCACGTATGTGGCTACCAACCACCACATGCTGTCACATGTCACTTATCCATGCTAAGTTTCTCTTCTGTCCTCACATTGATCCTGAGACCAAAAAACCCCCATTTTATATAAAGGTAAGCTGAGACTTGCTGTGGCTAAGCCAGCTGATTGCTAAAGACCATACTGGTATGCAGCTTGACCATAGAGCTTACATAAGGCACTGGCCTCAATGGTCCGGCATAGCAAACAGTAAAACACAACAAATAACAATCTGTGGCTATCAAGTGATGGGGCACCATGGCCTTACCACTACAGAGGTACTGACCTACTGTTGAGTAGTCTTTAAAAAGGGGGAAAGTCTTTAAAATATCAAACTGAATACAAAGGCTTTCACATTTTTTTCCCATAAAGTTGAATGACTTGTTTACCGAGCTAGGTAGAATCCTGCCGTCTGTGACATTATGTTCTCCTAATTGTGCACTCCCTCCTTCACACAGGAGCCAGCCAGGAGGGGGGTTCCCCACCAAGACTCCCAGCCTTGGCACTCCTTAGATGTGAGTGTTGCATTTCTCTCTAGAACTCCCTTCCTGCTGCCCATGCTTGACTGGGCTCCGCAGTTGGGAGCTGCCACCAGAAGGCGCCACCCAGGCCACCCTGTGCTCAGTGCCCTTTGCTGCTCCAGGTCCCCTTATCCTTCTCCTAAGAGAACTTTAAACAGACTTTCACTCCACACCTAGGAGCCTCTCCTAAGTTCCTGGTGAGGACCAGCCAGCAGTTGTCTCTGGGTCACTTTGGTACTTACTCTGACTCTGTGTAGGTTTTGACTGGCTGGAGAGGTCTTCATTGTCTATGTAAAAATAAATGATTTCAAGCTTTAATCAGATTATTCTTTCATTATAATCACAGATAGATGTGAAAAAAGAAAAGCCAAGACAGAAGTAAATGGACACCACTGAAAACACTGAATGGGAAGTAGAGTACACATGAAAGAATTCATATAAATATGAGTAGAACTGTTTGTTACCACATAGATACATATATGAGCACTGAGTGACTTGTTTTAAAGAGCTTACAACAGCAGGTCGTTACCTGTTCCTACTGGATTTGGAGTGTATGGCGGTGGGGGAGGAACACCTGGAGCTATCACATTGGCTAGTGGTACCAGACCCGCATTGTTATAAGCACCTAAAATGAAAACATAACAGAAATAGATAGAGAACTTAATATCACTGGCTAGGGACTAAAATTTGTGTGAATGCACGAGGGTGGTTTATCTTAAGCTGTCATGTAACAGAGATGCATCTCTCATGGAGATAGCTTAAGTGGACGTGGAGAGGGGCAAGGGCAATCTGGCTGCACCCTGTCCTGATACCTTCTCACAAGTGGGTGGGATGAACCAGCCCAAATAGGTCCAGTGTATACCTGACCTTTTCTAAATGTGCGGATAATAATGCTAGACACCAGCTACCTAAAAAGGGGGGCATTTAAGGCCAGTTACCAAAGTGGAGGGCCCTAATAACAAAGTGACTAAAACAATCTGCAACTAACTTACACATGGAAAACACACTAAAGATAAACTATACCTCTGGCAGTGTGGTAGACTAGGAGATAGTCGCTGGCCATCAGCAAAATTAAACTCTCAGAACTCAAGTGTTATGTACTCCGCAAGCACATAAACCAGCCCATCCTTCCAATTTAAAGAACAGCAGAAAGAGTAAAATCAAGAAAACGCTTACTTGGTGCAATAGTTGCGTGTGGCCGGCACGGAGGTATTGGGTAGGGGACAGGTTTGTGTGGATTGTACGTTGAGGGAGGCTGGACAAGGGAAACACAGTAGTTAGACATCACCAAGAAAGCATCTCCTGATAAGACAATACAATTTGCCTTCAAACTGCCTCGTCTTAAGAGACAAGATTTCCCGAGGCTATCAAAGCTTCAGATGTTAGTCTTTAGTAAGTGTGGTCCGTACACAGTTCCCAAGGTACAGCTTGCCAGACATGCTGTTTCTTTTTATTTTAGCACTCAATTCTCCTCGACCATCTCCAGTAAAGGTAAGACCTGACTGAACTACAGACGCCTTTCTGGTCCAGCCTAAGCCAACCCCAGGAATTTCCATTTCCACTATGAAAACAACATAAGGGAGCTTCAGGGTTTGGTCTCTTCTTGACACATAATGACTCAAGCACAATGTGCTCCTAGCATCATCAGGATCTTCAGGGGTTGGTCTCGCTAACACATAATGACCTCAAGGGCAATGCTCCCCTACGATCATTAGGCTCTTAGCACCACAAGGATCATTAGCACTTGGCAATCTGACAGTAATTACACAGTGGATTAGGAACTGAATGTTTTTGTTCTTTTGAAACCTACAGATTCATAAGGATGTTATTTTACAGTTGATGGCATTCGCAGAATCTTAAGTATCGAAAGCTACACCAAACCCAGAGTGGAAGAGAGCGAGCACGGAGTCACTGGGCAGAGGGATCCAGTGGTGGGCAGAGAACTGTTTCCTCCTGGCCTCATAAACGGCGACCACTGACTCTCCTGTCACGTGACTGAACAGAGCCTGCAAGCCCTATGAGGAGCCGCTAGAACTTCCACATTTCCTCCACTCAGGAGGTCCCATCCTCTTGCTCAGTTTACATTTCCAATCACTTCAATCACTCCTTTGAAAGGACAAGCCCCTGGCTCCATGCCAGTTTCACTACTATTAACACTAATTGGCTGGCAGATAAACACCACTCTCCAATCCTCATCTGACTAGACGAATGTGCTGGGTTATTTTACCTTTAAGATAAAATGCTTCCCCTTCAAAGAGCCTTGACCACTACTAAACCCTCACACTCAAACCCTACGCCATTCTCCCTGACCTGGAGTTTCGACTACATTTAAACTTTGCAACACAAAAAACTTACTTTCCAGACAGAAAGCCACACATACAGAACTTAACACATACTGGTTTGGATGGTCCAAGAATCCGCGCTGCTATTCCTTTGCCTTCATTAGTACTTTCTTCACCATCCTTCTTCAGAGGAGTTCCCTATTTAAAAAAATATATATATAAAGGAATAATAAAAAAATAGCTGAGACTTTAGACACAACAGACAACTGCAATGTATTATTCTGAAGAAAGGGACTTGCTAGGAATAAGTCTTGGGTTCCAGACCCAATCCTGCCCCAGCTGGCTGCCTCACAAGCAGAGGGAATGTCAGGGAAGGATGTAGTGTAGAGCCGACCCCCAAACTTTCATGCCAGTGTATACACATCAGAGGCTGACGAAGCCTGATGACTGAGACCCCTTTAGAGGCTGCTCTATAGAAGCGATCAGAATACACCTCGACAGTCTGTCTCCTCAGGCTCTGTCCTTAGGAAGCACACAGTTATGGAGGCCAGCTTCCAAGATGGCCCCTCTGGTCCTCACCGCCCACCATCCATCTCAAAATAACTAACGCTGACTTGTGTCATTTTAAAGAATGGCACTGACTCTGAAAACCAAGACCTAGGAGGCCTTGCTGCAGCTGCCCCTGCCTCCCCTTGGTTACATGAGCTGTAGAAACTAGGTACCATGCCATGTAGGTGCTCAAGTCCTCAAGGTGAGGACTGGACTCTTGGCAACATTAGCTTGTTGGGCACTTAAGTGAGCTATCTAGAAAAAAAGACTATTTGTGTATGCCAGTCAAGCTTGCAGGGGAAGCCTGAGCCTGAACTACAGAATGAAGCCATTCCCATGTCCCCACAAGGAGCAGAGGGTAGTGGCCCAGGTCTTTAATCCTAATTTCATCCTAATTTAGCAATTAGGAGGTGGGATGAGCGGATCTCTGTGAATTCCAAGCCAGCTCAGTCTCCACAGTGATTTCCAGACCAGCCAAAGCTGCAGTGTGATACAAAAAAAACCCTAACTCCAGCAAGTGAACTAACCAGAATCTATGGGAAATAATAAATGTTTATGATTTAATCCACGAAGCTCTGGGGTTCTGACATAGTAACAGAAGGGTAACAACTTTTGAGGTGGTTATTTTTCAAGGGCTTTGAGGGCTACCCACTGGGATCCAAACAAGAGTCTTACAGTCACGGAGTTTCCCAAACAGGTTCTCAATTGTGCAACTGTCAAAAATGCTGAGAATATTTAGAAGAGGAAACAGCAAAATCCCCCTTTGTCTGGCATGTTCTGAAGGTAACAGCGTCAGTTAATGGCAATATACACATAAACTTGCAACTGTCTATCAACTAAGTACAAGACAGGAGATTCCTTTGCAGAAGCATAAGTTGCCATGTTCTCATATGTTGCACTTATATGTACAGGTCTGTGCTCCAGTCACCCTCTGTCATGGGAAATTTCATGTATGTAGAAGCATGCTTACAGGGAAAATTCCATTTATGCGGCTAGGTTTTCCTTTGGGATAGGGGTTTCCTGGGATGGTTCCACATGAAGATATCATGGCGTGAGGGGCTTTGCAGCCTGCTTTGGAAGCCTGTAATGTAAAAAAGAAAGTGGTGAACAAAAATCAAACTTATTACATCAGGTAGTCCAGATAACGGGAAGTCCAGAGAAAGCGGTGAATTAAGGAGCAGTGTGGCATTCCAACATTCTTCCATCAATCACCAGGGACACAGGGACCAGGGACGGTGTGTCCAAAGACGTGAGAGTCCTTCTGTGTAATTTCACCATGGGACAGTATGAGACCACCATCATCAGTGCTGTCACCAACAGGGTCAAGCAAGGACTGTTATCTAGCAGCAGGAATAGTGTGCACACCTTTAATCCCAGAAGATAGAGGCAGGCTGAGCTCTGTGTTTGAGGCTAGCCTGGTCTACACAGCGAGTTCCTGTTCCATTTCTTTAATCAACTAACAACAAAAAAAGAGGTAAAATGAGATTGCTTTGAAAATGTTTACAGATTAGTTGAAGCATGCACGCGCGTGCACACACACACAAACACACGTAATGGGGATGGGGTGACTCAGCTGTTAAAAAGCACTTGCTGCTTTTGCAGAGAGCCTGGTCCCAACAGCCACACTGGGCAGCTTACAATGGAGCCGCAGGCCCAGGCGGCCTGGCACCTTGCCTGGCCTTCACACTACAGTCACATGCACATACCTGCACACATTAACAAAAATAAATCACTTTTAAAAGCTTAAAAAAACAATTCCAGTTTGCAGTTTTGATTTAGTATTCTTCTATGAATTTGATCACTGCAAGTCGGCTAACAAAGCCAATGTGCACTCACTGCTCCTAAGCACATGAGCATGAAATGCTTGCTGCCGTGGCAGAGCTCCACGGGGCAAAGGTACAGGCGGCCTGCTGGGTAGGTCACCAGTGGCTTTTTACTCCTGAGTGATCTCTGCCCCACCAGCTTCTACAAGGTCCTACTTGTGCTCCCTGGCCGGCAAGAATGTCTTCTTCTCTGTTAGTCCCAAGCACTGCCAGGGTGAGGTTCAGGCTTTTCTGTCTACCATCCCCCCAACCCCAGCATCCTTTTTAGGGTTACCTGCTCCAGGACTCTCTTGCACCGTTTCTTCTCAGACATGTTGATCCTGAATAAATCTTCTATGGGACGAGAGTTCTGTGCGTCCACGATGTTTCTGTCAAGGAAACAGGACTTAGCTTCTGTTTAGGATCCAGGCAGACACACACAGGCCAGAAATGTCTTTACGACATGCTCTGTGTTTTCACAGACATAGCAACACACACCAAACTGTGGAATACATCCCCTTTGAATAAGCAACGTGACCACCCTTCTCTCGGGTCCCTTCTCTTCAAGCTCACGCTTACTACATTCTCACATGTCAAGAGAGGAGCTTTGCTATCGCTTTTGTAACTGAAGCCTCCGAGGTGCAGGTTCCCTGCTCAATAAACATCCTTCATTTTTATCAGCTTGACTTTTGAATTACTCAGGATCGGGAGAAAGCAAAGCAAATGCTGACAGGCAGGAATGTGAAATGGCCATTATCCTGCGAGCTATGACCACATATGTAGGAAGTGTTCATTATCCTATGCACTAAAACCACATACACATGGAGCACATGTTATTCTGTGAGCCATGACCCCACACATAGAGAAAACAGCGGTATTGACTAGGTAAAGACACTAGAATCCAATACCGTGCTTTCACAGAACGTGGGCATTTTGTTTGTTTTGTGTGGAGATAGGTCCTTACTGTCTTACTCAGGGTCCTTTGCCTCAGCCCCCTCCCACCACACCCCTAAGTTCTGACATGATATATGTGTGCTACCACACTCAGCTGTTTTAATAGATTACTTCGTTAGAGGTCGGCTTCCTTACACCATTGACACATTAAGGCAGATCATTTTTCATAGGCTGTTTCATTAGCATTCTGTTGCCCCACACAAATCAGTGACTCTGAAAGGCAGGTAAGCTTCCAGATTTAAGCAGGAAGAATACTCACGAGGCCAACAGCTCCAGGGCAGCCAGCTTGTCTTTACTGAAGGTAAAACAGCTGAGGATGCTGACCACTTCCGCTGGGTGGACGGCCACCATTTTCTATCGTAAAAAAACAACAAGTTTCAACATGAGATTTCTGTACCAGAGCTTACCGGCTTTAGGGACGATAATTAAATTCTGTAGTGTAAATGCCTTAGGACACGGCATATATCTTTGTTGAGAATAACACAAGCTAAAGGTAAGCTCCAGCAACTCAAGAGAAATTCTAAAAACACCGAGTTATGCTGAACTCTTTTTAGTATAATTATTTCAGAAACAGATCTCAGTTCTACACGTGTGTTTTACATGTTTCCCAATGTGATCGCCTGTAACAAGTGTAAATCTCTCTAAATGGCCATGTACAGAGGCGGCATTTACACACAGGTGACTCAACTCACTGGGCAAGGCACTGGAGTCAGAGCCAGGGAAGGCACCCAGTTTCGGCTTTCCCTAAGGTAGTTGCTTCCTTTGGTCTGCAGTCATGCACTATGGGAGATGCTGGCCAATCTCAATCTGAAGGGTCTAAATCGCAGGACTCTGCTGTGCAATGAGCATATTCATAACCCCTCAATTTGCCAGGTTAGAACCCGTACAGAATTTAATAAGTAACATAATGCAATTTCACACCCTGGAAGGTTTTAACTTTTTAATGGTTATCAAAGTATAATGGAATGCAAGGTTAGCTTTTTTGTTCCAAACTACAACTTGGTCTGGGCTATGCAAAGACGGGACTGAAACATTGTTACTGTGCACGGGGAGAGAAGCGCAGGCACTCACATGCTGTAGTGCTTTCATGGCCTTCAGCTGTGGTTCTGCCCAGGAGAAGTACCTTAGGAGGTCAACCACCTGCAAGCAAAGAGTTACTTCAGCTCTGAGGACAGTGTCTGCACACGTTTTTTTAAATAGATTTCAACACTTGCAATTCCTGTTACCACGCGTGGGAGGTGAGCATGACACCAGAGACTAACGGTGTGGCCAAGTACAACCATTTTAGTAAAACTCCAAACCTCCATCCCATAGAGCACAGGCCTCAGAGCAAGAGTTCAACAGTCACATGATGCTAACAGCTTCCACAAAGGACAGTGTGGATAAAGAATGGTCTTACCATCACAGCACCTTCTACTGGACAGTGCTGGTCCAGGAAGAAAGAAAAACACTCAGGACTGGCAAGATGGCACAGTGGGTAAAGGTGCGGACCATCGCGACTGACGACGGGGGTCGAGGTCTGGGACCCATGTGCTGGAGAGAAAGGACTCTCCCAGCTGTCCTCTGATCATCACGTGAAGTAGTGATGATCATCACCCGGCCCACTCCCCACAGTAATTTGGGAGAAAGGAGATCTACATCTAGAGTTGGCCTGGGAACGCAGGACCATTAACACCAGCTAGGCATGATAGCAACAGGGGCGGGATGCAGTTCAGTGGAGGGGCACAAGCCCAGCATGCACTAGGGCCTGAGGCACCATAAAATAAATAAGTTATTAAGAAAAGCCATTTAAAAATCCAGGAAATGGTCTACACTGGAAGAACAGGAAGCTGAAGAATTAGATGGAGATGAGATGGGAAAACACTACGAATGGAAAACTATACATCAAAGGTGGCAGCTCAGGTCATTAACAAGAGCGTGTGGTGACTGACTGAAGGGCTGCATGGCCGCTTCTACCCTTGGGCTTGAACCTGTAGAGCCCACCACAGCAGCCAGAGCCACGGTCGAACTGTGACTCAGACAGCTAGGATCCCAGGCCTCCTGCCACCACCCACAAACAGAGGCCTGGAACAGTGACTACTGTGTGATGCAGCCAGGATCCCCTCATCACTGTCTTAAAGGACAACCCAACAGGAAAGCAAGAATACAGGAGGGGTCAGTCTGTGGACTTTGTGACAGTTCAACATTTATTCACGTATTCTTCGATCATACAGTGAATTTCAAAACTACTGTAAGTACTCTACAAATTTAAATTTAGCAAATTTACAAATTCTTAAAACTAAAAACAAGTTCACTGAGGATTTATGTTCTATGGGTCTCAGTGTTTTGCTTGCATGTATCTATGCAGACCACACACGTGAGCCTGGTGCTCAAGGAGATCACAGGAAGGCACGAGATGCCTTGGAACTGGAGCTCTGGAGGGCTGTGAGCCTCTATGTGGGTGTAGGAGCCAGGCCTGGGTCCTCTGCAAGAGCAGAGTGCTCCTAACCCCTGGGCCATGCCTTAGGCCCCAGTTTTATAAACTTTCCTATCTTTCCCAGAATGATTAACAGTTTAAGTTGCTCTTTTAAAAGATACTGTGTTTTTAAATCACTTTAGATTAGGAATTGCGGTGTAATCATGTGTAACAGTACCTAAGCTCCCATGAAGCATATTCTGTAGAACTCTGCCAGAAATAAGAGCTTCTCAGTGAATAAGGCAACACAGTCAAAGCAATCCTGAACTTGTCCATTAGATAAAGACTAGTATAAAAAGGCTTTGTAAAATGATGAATACCTGTTCACTGGAGAAGTACCCATGAACATATTCAATTGCTTTTAATTTATATTCTGTCAAAACAGCCTAGAAAAGAGGGAAAAAGAATTAATATACATCAGCAGCATGTTAATATGCAGGTACCAAAACTATGGGCACACCCACACAGACAAGGACTGGTCTCCTTTAGCTCTGGCTGAAACTAAGGTAGCAAGAAATCCTATCTTTCAGACTTGCTGAGTCTCCAAGAACAGGGCTACAAATGGAGTAACATTATAACAGAGCCAACCTAGTACAATTATGTATCAAACTTCTGAATGTCTAATTAGTTTCAATTAATTGCTACAAATTGCCCCGACTTTTTTCTTTCATCAAAGAGAGGTCTCCCTACTAGACTAGGCTGCCCTGGAACTAGCTCCCGTGGCTTTCAACAGGTACTTTAGAGCTTGCTTCCTCATTCATGAAAGGGAATTCCAATCATAATCCTCAATGAGCTGGAGTAAGGTCCTAATAGCTAGAGACCTGACACAGATGTTTGATAAATGGCTTGTTTCCTCTGTGGAACTTATCAGCAGATGAGAGCAGATGCCTCTGCCCTAGCACTGTTCAGAAGTCAAACCTGCTCATATACCAGCTACTGTAGAGCTCAGAGATGTTAAGACCAAAGCAAGCTACCTCAGCTTGCCAGCCACTCATCACAAAATAGGAACTGGCCGTTTTCTACTCACTATGAAACAGCTGTATTTGTATTTTCCATATAAATCGTTCTGCTAGAAGCAAATGCAATGAGCAGTCAAAACATTCAGGGTGCTCCACAGTTTAACTTTTACACGGCGTTCTGGGTAATGCATGCTGATGTGTGTGATTATTATCATCATTACAGAGACAGTCAAAAGAAAGGTTCAGGACCAAATTCTGGCTTGAGCTGATGACACCAATTCTGTCTCAAATCTTCCCCCAATGCTGGAGAGGTCCAGCTGTGGCCCCTCTCAACTCACGGGGCATTGGAGCTCAGGGTTACAGCACCTTAGTACCAGACTCTTTGGGTGAGCATCAGAGACCTAACGAGGGCTTGCTGGCTGTGACACTGGGAATACGTTAGGAAGCTGGAGTCAAACAGAAAATGCTTACTAAGAGCTTGTTACCCCCTTTCTGAAAGAAAAAAAAAAAAACCACAAAAAACAAACAAAAAAAATGTCTTTCCTATTCTCCCCAAATGTCTTCTTACATGTTTCTACTCTAAATGACGAGAGTGTCAGCCAGTATTATCTGTGGGTGTGCAGTAACAACAGAGGTGACCCAATTTAAACTGACATTTACAAAGTATAAATGCAATTTCTAATTATAGCACCGCCCCTATTTGGAATGCCTGTGTTTTACACCATTTTAGTAGGATCAGATACCACTGCCATGCTTTTCCGCCTGGAAACGCCAACTGGGAGCACATTCTGATCGCAGACCAGAAGCGTGGACTTGAAGGCCACCTCAGATGAACAGACTTTCGTCTCTGGAACCTTTCCGATTCCTTCGTTAGTATTTATTACCAGACATTTTTACAAGGCTGAGAAGGAAGAGGATGTGGATCTCTGCACTGCTCCAAAAAAGAAGTCTGCATTCAGGTCTACTTTAACTTAAATTTTCTCAGAGTGGTTGTAAAAACCAACTGTAGCAAATTCTAATTCGCAACAAACCAGCATTTTGTTTCAAATCTTAATTAGACAAAGAGAATCTCCAAGAGCAAAAGTCTACTTGAAAAGAAATGAAAAAAAAAAAAATCAGCACCATCAAATATGAAAGCTTAACCATGTTAATTTGAAAAGGGGTCCTACAGAGAGTAAGGAGGCAATATAAGTCTGGCAGCAATTTTTGCAGTGCTGCCGGTGACACCAGTTTAAGATGCTAAATAGGTATGTTTTAAGTTTAAATTACTGTACTTAAGAGATTTATAAAACAAAAAACGACCCTAACCTCTAAGCCCAGCTTGCCCAAGGACAGATAACTCCCTGGAATTCTAGGGGATGTTCACGTGAGACACAAGCCGCATGTCTTCCATTCTGTAAACAGGCTGCAGCTTGATCACAGGTAGGTGGAGGTATGCATGAATAAAGAACCTAGGCTGTAAGGTTGCCCCCGATTGGATGAAAGTAGGAAGTACGTAGCCTCGTGCAGGAAAGCCCAGTGCAAGCGATGTGATGGTGGCTCAAGGCCACAGCACTGCCCTTCCCGTTCAATAGTTAACCTCTTATTTTTGCACAAGACGTACTTTTATTCTCAGCACTACATTCCAAAATATTTGCTGGTCTGGTGAATCACAGGAAATAGGAAATACGAACAGCCTCAAAAAGCAGAAGGAAAAGGAAGACAAGGCAGGGAAGACATTCCGCCTGCTTGAGATTTGAAAAGTAACTTCCTAGGCATCACCTTCAGTGCCCAGTCACTCGAGTTACTGAAACACGGAAGCACTGAATAAATGTCACTCAACCAAAAGCTCAGCGTTACAGCATTTACAGTCGGCTCCGGAACCGTGGGCAGTCCAAACGTAATCCCGTACCCCAATGACTTCTCAACACTGACTTCTATTTGAGCCGTGCAAACTACCAAGATGCAAGCTCTCACATTACACCGGAAAGCTTACGTCTCTTCGGTGACCACACACAACACCTTAAAGAAGGGAACCCAGGACAAATTATCTCAGAAGACTTTTAGAGATCAAGGTCAATTACCTTTCGAATTTCATCCAGAACCGTTTCAAAGGACTTTTTGTCCATCCTGAGTACTATTCCGACGTAGCTTCTCACTATTCTACTTGCAATTACGAAACGTTCATCCCAGGTCCGACCCGCGGAAAATACATCAAAAGAAGAAAGGAGGCGAAGAGGTAGAGTATTGCAAACTGCACCAAAACAAAACAAAAATCCCAAGGCGGAAACTTGGAAAAAGTTTTTTTTTTTTTTTAATTAAAATCAAACTTCAGTAGCTTCTTCGCACGCAGCTTCAGCTGCTCAGAGCCGAGCCGGCTGGTGCGTTTGCAGAAATCAGGGCTCCAGAGGGCGCCGAGGGCCGGGCGCTCCCGGGGAAGGCCGCCGAGCCACGCGCCGCTCACCGCTGCTGTCCGGACACGTGGCCCCGCAGACGCTCAGCTCCCGCCGGCTTCGCCCGACTCCTGGGTCCCGCAGCTCCGGCAGCCGGCGGCCCCGCAGGTCCTTTGTTAGCCTTTCTCCTAGCTTCCGGGAGCGGGCCGGCGGCCGGGGCGCGCAGGGAGCCGGGCGAAGGGGGGCACCGCCTCCTGTAGGGCGGCCCTCGAGCACCGCAGCGACCACGAGGCCAGACGCCCAGCGGGAGCACCCCTCAATGCCCCCCCCAACTCCGGGGGACCTTCGGTAGACGCGTCGCTCCCAAAAGACGCAATTGTGCACCGCCAGTTTAAGTGACTGTTGCCCGAAAGACAGTAGTTGGGGGGTGGAGGGGTCCTAGTGTGGGAATGTAGGCATCCACGGCGGACGCCTGAACGGTTGTGAAATAGATGCGACTATAGTCCTTTTCAGAGCTTGGGAGTCGTTGTTTTGGTGTCACGGTCCCCTTACCCTTCGGTTTTTCGGTGCTACGTTTCGATTGCTGGATGTGAATTTAAAAGAGGGAACGGCAAGCGGGTCAGGAAGATCTGCGGGCGGCGCCATGCTAGAGGCTGGAAGAAGCCCGGGCCAGGAGCGCCTTCGCATGGGGACTGAGCCACACGTTGGGCACCTGACTTAGGGGCGGGACGGGGGAAAAGAAGGAGGAAACCCGGAATTGGTCCTAAGTTCCTCTGGTCTAGTTCTCGGGTGCGTTAAGCTTCCACTGCCCGAGACGCTGCTTCAGTCCTGGCAGACCTTCTCCTCCCAGGCCCTCAAGATGCGGAAAGTCTGGGTCTGCGTGGGAGGCGCCGTCTTCTTTCTTTCCTGTCTGGTTTTGCATTCCCGCTTCTGTGGCTCTCTGGTGAATAGCGGGGGTGGGGGTGGGGGGGGAAGGCTGTGGGTGGAGGTGGCACCGAGGGGTGCAGCCCCCGAGGACCCAAAGCTGCTCCTGGGGCTCAGGAGCTGACGACTCGTCTTCTCTTTTAATATTAAAAACTATGCATGTGGGACTGGGGAGGTTGGGAGCTCCGGTAGCTCTTGCAGAGGACTCGGGTTCGATTCCCAGCACCAACATGAAGGCTCACTGGATAGTCTTCCCCAGTTCTTGGTCATTTGCAGACATGAACTCTGGTTGTTTTGACCTTTACACACACAAAAAGCCTGTTTCGTTCTGGCTAGCTTCTGGCTCCCAGGCATGATTTAAAGATAAATAAACACACAGACACACATATGCGCTTTTTTTTTTTTTTTTTTTTTTTACCTAGGAGGCAAACTGAATCTGAGTCTTTTGATTTTATTTGAGGTTTCAAGGACATTTTCTTTTGACATTTCTTGGAGAGAGAAAGGCCCTCTTTTCCGGCTGGATTTGGGTTGGCCCAAGAATTCAGAATACTTCTCTGGTGCTACATTTTGTGTTGCAGTCGACTCCCTGAACGGGTTAGTTTACGTAGCTCAAGTAAGTAGAATGAGTAGTATATGTGCACCTGTGAGTTTGAAAGAGATCAGTGTGAATGTGGGCATCTGAGGTCAACTTTTGGGATTTGGTTTTCTCATCTATGGTTCCAGGAATGGAAATCAGGTTGTCAATTTGATCACAACAAAGAAAGAAAGACAGACAGACAGAAAGAAAAAAGAACAGTCAACGTGAGCATGATAAAAAGAAACAACTGAAAAGAAAGGAAAGGAATGACTGTTTTACCTTTTACCACCCTAGATAGCCCATTGCATTTATCTTATGCTAATTAATGCAACTTAATTTTGAGTTGGGTTCAAGTGCACATTTTAGATTTGTATGCAGTAGATGTTATTATTATGAAAATTTGAAGTTAGCTTTTTACACTTTACTAAGTTTCTCGATTACCCTTTAGTATTGATTTCTGAAGCAGAAGTAAGGATTAGCATTCCTGATGGGTGATTCTAAGCAGTTATTCTTGTATGCCTTCAGAGAGGGGAAAACATCCCCAAGGTGTTAGTGTTCACAGAGGATGGATATTTCCTACGAGCCTGGAATCACACAGTTGACACGCCCCACGGTATGTTTGTCTCCAGCACACCTTATGAACAGTCAGTCTGGATCACGGACGTAGGAAGTGGTATGTGTAGTACTACCTATTGAATTACCTTGCTAGAGAGAAGTCACACCTTTGCCTCTGTTCTTGCTTGTGCATTTTAAGGCTAGCGTTGCTGAATCTAATCACAATTCCTTTAACTAATTTCACAAAATCATGTGCTTCTACAAATTTATGTCACACTCCTGTAGAATCAAGAAATCCAATGACGCTATAATCTTTTAACCTGATCAAGACAACTTTGTGTTTATGTGTCAAGGGATGTAGGCCAGAGTGTCCTCCTTTAGGGCTGTCAATCTTGCCTTTTGAAACAAGGTGTCTCACTGGCCTGGAACTCACAGGCAGGCTGGGCTAACTGGTTGGTGAACCCCAGGGATCTTCCTTTCTTTACTTTTCCAGGGCTGGGATTACAGTGCACACAAGCATAGCCAGCACTTTTGTTTCGTTTCCTGGCATGGGCTCTGGGTATGGAACCCAGATCCTTTTTCTTGGGTGACAACCATTTTCTGGTAGACTGCAATGTCCCTCCAGCCTTTCTTTGTTGTTCTTCCTATCAAACTAAATCTGTACCTCCTCAGTGAAATCAAATCAAAAGTCAGTCTCTAGGGAAATCAGTCTATACCTGTTCATACAGTACAATCCTGTTGATGCCATGTGTCTCTTGAAAGGCTGAACAAAGTGATAAGAAGCCACAGTGTGCTGCCTGGAGTGAAAATAGCAGAAACGGTTTTGAGATTCCACTGACTTAAGCGTGACTGAAACCTTCCTCCAGCAGATATTTTTAGTAGACAGTGTTGGAAAACAAGGTGGGCTCAAAAGCTTGACAGCTGCAGGGGACAGCATCCAGAGACAGCAGCTTACCTATGCTGCTGGTGTGTTCTACATGACACCAGAGGTCGTCCCTGCTGCCTTGACAGTCTAGGGGGATCAGCAGGGAGGGTGTCGCTAGAGTCCTTGGTCTGGTTATGTTCCTGGCTCAAATGATAGCCTGTTTCCCCAGTGCTTAATAATTCACATTCCACTCTTTAGAATAGTAAGGTCTGGGGTTTTTTGTTGTCACACTGCAAAGGATTTCTGGACGTCAGGGAATGAGCAGGTGATCCATTTACTTTAATCTTTATTTTGGAAGGGAAATGCTGGTGAAACATTTCGACAATGGCATTTGAAGAGTGTTAAGGCTGCCCACTTTTCTGAGTAAAGACGCCTTACTTTTCATCTTTCTTCCTAGTGTCTCTTTTTCCTCCTTTCAGATATTTGCCAGAGCCTCCTGGGCCTGCTTCTCTGACCGCTTGTGTCCCATTCTGCCATGAGGCTGCTTACAAGCTGCATGGCTTCTTCAATTCCTCCTCTCTAGCTTCCATTCCCAGGCAGCTGTCAAGATTTACAGCTTGGGTGCTCTGGATTTTTCTTTTAAATTCTAGTAAAATTGGTCTTAAACGTAAATCTAGGGGCTGGGGAGATGCTCAGTAGTTTAGAATACTTGTGCATAGGACCTGGGTGCAGTTCCCAGCACTTCCTGGCAGCTCACAGCCATCTGTAACCCTAGGTCCAGAGGAGCTGATGTCCTCTTCTGACCTGCACTGCACACATACATACCTGTGGGCCACACTCGTGGACATAAAGTAACTCTGTAAAAAACTCCTGAAAGTATTTCTGAGTTTATGCAATACTGTAATGAGACTGACTATTTTTTCTCTTTCCTCTTCTCTGTCCCCAGAATTTACTGTGAAGGCCTTTCATTTTAATTTATTCTATTCACGTCTTCCTTTAAAAAGAAGAACAAGAAAAACTTCATTGGTTCCCAGAAATAAATGTAGCACAGATGATCTCATTCTTTTCATTGAGTCTTGTTTTCCATCCACTATTTTTCTGCTCTTCCCATTTTTCAAATGAACTGATTTCCTCAAGTGAAGATCTGGCTGCAAGTCAACCACTTAAAAAATTATAAGTACTCTCTCTCCTTTTCTAAGTCTTCAGAAATGTAGAGGTGTGCGTTCTCTAGTGCCATTGTGTTCTCTGTGGCTCGTACCTTTAGCTCAAGCATTCAGACCCAGTGTGACATCACCAGTGGCTCTCCATGTAGAACTGTAATGCAAGCTGACTCACTTGACTTGTGGTAAACCTTGCTGTGTCAAATCTGATTTTGGATACCTGTCAGCTTCGCCCCCGGTGGCTCTACTGTTTCCGATTTCCCTTATTTGCTTTTATTTACTTTATTTTTTAACTTGTAAGTTCCTTTTAGCTCCAAGATTATTTTCCTCTTAAGAAATTAGTTCAATTTTGAATTTGTTTTTATTGGGAGAAAATGTAATTAAAAATTTTTGTGTTATTTACAGAGAATTTTAAATTACTAAAATTTAAAATCTGTGCATGAATGATTGAAATAACAGCTTTAAATGTTAGTAGCTTGCTTTTTAGTTCCTTCTTGGTTTCTTTATACAAGTAGTGCATTAAAAAAAATAAAAGTACAGATAGGCATGGTGGTGCATGCCTTTAATCCTGCACTCAGGGAGGCAGAGGCAGTTTTGAGTTTGGCCAGCCTGGTCTACAAAGTGAGTCCAGGACAGCCAGGACTACACAGAGAAACCCTGTCTCAAAAAAACAAAACAAAACAAAATTATACAAGTTATCCTAAGCTTTCTGAGTAAGGAGCTGGCATTTTTCTTGAGTTTCTTTGTGTTTGAAGTCTTAATTTGGAGTGATTAGATTTTAATTCATCCCCAGGTTTGCTCATCCCACATGAAATGCTGCTTGCTGTCACCTGTCGTATTTACATATGGGAGTGTGTCATCTCCCATTGCTGTTCCAGCCTAGGGAAATATTTGCCTTTGGCGTATAGAAGCTGTGAGTGCTCATGACAGATGCTTGCCTTTCTCTACAGGATCTTATGGTCACACCGTTAAAAAATATAATTCCCTGGGTGATCTTGTTCAAGTCTTGGGTACCCCAGGCAAGAAGGGCACTGGCTTGAACCCGCTGCAGTTTGACAACCCTGCAGAATTACACGTGGATGACACAGGAGAGATTTACATTGTGGATGGAGATGGGGGATTGAATAACAGATTGGTCAAACTGTCCCAAGGTAAATACCTTAACATGTCTGATCATAGGGACATTATTTTTTAAACTGAATGTGTTTTGTTTGCTACTTGGTATAAAGCAACCACATTGCACTTGAAGCTGAGTGTGAAGGCTGAATTCAAAGAAATCAGAATGGTGGGATTGCCAACAGCAAATGCTTCCACTCAGAGCCCTGTGTGCCCACCAAGGCCAGGAGACCCTCACAGCGACTGGAGACAGTGTGAAAATTTCAAGAACTTCTCAGGATTCTCTGTCCTGTTTATGATGGGGAAGTCAGGAAGCTGGATCCCCGCCAGGCTTCCTGCAGGCCACCAGCAAGGTTTTAGCTAGTGCCTGCTCTAGGCCCTCAGTGGCCACCACCACAGTGACAAGTCTGTTCTGGACAGGACAATTAAATTGCCCTGTGACAGAGATTTCCAAGATCAGGTAGTAATGAGAAGCTTGAGCTGGAGAGGTAGAGCAGGGCTTCCTGAAGAAGCAGCCCTTGGCTGGGCTGTAGGGGAGCTGACAACAGGGCCAAGCAGGGCACTGCTGGAGGTGGTGTCCAGGTCTGTGGTGGTCCTGAGCCGGAATGGAACAGAGTATGGCTTCCTCAGCAGCCGAGAGGAAATGTGGGATGCCATTAAAGCTTCCCTGAGGATCTCATAGCTGTGCCCTGCTAGTAGTCTGAGGGCTTTTTCAGTAAGACAGATACTCCAAGTACATTCTTAAACAATATTGGGAGCTATTTCTGGTGAGCTGTCCTTGGGAGTGTACTTCGCCTCTAACACAGGAGGCGAGGCAGGAGTCCAGACATTCTGTAAAAGCCAGAAGCAGCAAAGTTAGGGTTAGACTGAATACAGTGTTCCCTGTTGGTTTAAAAAAAAGGAGGGGGGGATGCAGACAATAGAAATTTATTGTCATGATTTGGGAATTCAGAAGTCTGAAATACATAGGGTGGGTGACATTCCCACTGAGGGCTCAGAGGGAGAGTTCTTTCTTTTCTCTCCTCAGCTGTGACAGCTGCAACTTTGCCCTCTTCGTGAGCTTTTTTGGTTACGAAGGGACTAGTTTGAAAGAAACGATTCGGGAACTCTGAGCAGTGCTTTTGAAGTAGTGAGAGCAGCTCAGGTTGAGCTAGTGACACAGTCGATTGAAGGAATTAGACAGGAATTAGACAGACATAAACAAAGGAAAGAATATTCAAGTCCTCAGTGGGCAATATATATATATATATATATATATATATATATATATATATATATATATATATATATATATATATATATATATATATATATATTTGCAGTTGCAATATAAAATCAGCATGTAAATGCACAAGGCATTCTGTAACTATTCATATATATTTACCATTTATAGATTTCATGATCCTCTGGCTTCGTGGAGAGAATGGAACAGAACCTGCCAAATTCAACATACCTCACAGTGTTACACTTGACACAGTCGGTCGGGTAAAGACAGTATCCTTGTGTTTGGAGCCCTGTGCATGTCGGCTTGTGGGCATGTCTTGGTGTATGTATCTGGGTTGGGTATTAGCAAGTGTTCCTGTTTTATTTCTTTTGCTGTGATTAAAAAAAAAAAAAAAAGATGAAAAGCCAGTTAGGGAGAAAGAAGCCAAGGCAGGAACGTCGACCATCTCAGTTGCTGTCCAGTCAGCGGCAGAGGGGAGTGAATGCACGCGTGCTGGCTTGCTCACATTACATATTATTATACAGCTCAGCGCCCCACATACACACTTAGGGAATGGTGCCACCCACAGTAAACAGAGTTCCTATGTCAGTTAAAGCAACCAAGACAGTCCCCAGTCAGATGCTCCCACAGGCCAAGACTGCTCCTTGAATTCTCTCCCTAGGTCACCCTAGGTTGTATCCAGTTGGCAGTTACAGCTAAGCACAGTAGACGTGTCTACACAGTTTCTCTAGAGCTGGCTGTACATCCATAATCCTAAAATGCTTGGGCCCTATTCTGAGAAAGTTCTCCAGATATTTAGAAATGAACAAAACAGATAATTCTATAGCTTTTAAATGACAGAAGACTGAATCTCAAATCTGAAAAGAAACTTGGCCTTCGACTGGGAAAACCTTATTGTGAGTAATTGAAATATTTCTAGTTGACAAGGGGGAGAAAATCTGCACTGATTGGAATGGACAAATGAGTGCCAGGGGCTGGTCCTGAAGAGCCCCTTAGCAACTCCTGCTCTTTCTGCTTCCTTTGTGGGAACAGAAAGCCCCCCCCCCCGGGAACTTACCTACTTCCCCTCCACAGCCCCATCCACTGCCTCTTCCAAGGCTGTCACTCACCTAGTAAGCAAAGACAGTATTCCTTGGGATCTTGGGGTCACCTTCCAGCAGCCAAGTTGCCATCCGCAGTGTTAGATTCTCTACCTGTTTCTGTAATAACTAACTGTACTTCCCCTTACAGTTAGTTATAGATGCTCCTCTCCGGATTGCAGGCTCTTGTGGGCGCCTGCTGAATGGAGTTTGCTTCATCTGTGTGACTAGGGTCATACCTGTGTTAAATAAGTAAACATTTTGACGTGCAGTGTCTGGGTCGTCCTGCCCTTTGACATGCAGTGCTGGGTCAGTTTGCCTTTCTTGATGCTAGTCTTATTTTTTGCTTAAAAAAAACAAAATCACATTTTGCAGAATGTGAGAGATCGATATACAATCAAATTTATCAAATTTAGGGGCCAGCACGATCATTTGGAGGAGCAGCTTGAGATTGCTGAGTGGTGAAAGTGACAGCTCATTCTCTATATACTCTTGGATTCCGTTCGCCCACTGCTGTGCTGTGGGGCAGGAATGTCCTTACACAGGCCAGGAGCACATCCTGCTGAGCTACACTCCTAGCTCTGCACATCACATCACTCATTGCATCACCACCTGAGCCATTCTGAGGGGTGAACTGACTGCACAGTTAAGGACTTACTGTTTCTCATCACCACATGAGCCATTCTGAGGGGTGAACTGACTGCACAGTTAAGGACTTACTGTTTCTCAGAAAGGCTTTTCCTGGTTACAGTGTTGGGTGCTGAGGAAGGAAGAAAACCATCTGGAATACCATTTAATCCTGAGGCGTGAGTTTCTTCCTTGGTCAATTGTCTGAGGTGGTTCTACCGAATCCCCGAGCAAACCTATCCCTGCTCAGGAGGAAGCCTGAGACGTCCACGTGTTTGGGCACCAGCCTCTCTCTGCCGTGTGTCTGTGTCTGCTTAAAAAAGCAGACAGTGGCTACCAAAATTCACATACACCAACAAAGATAAACTCAGGGTCACACCAAGTCCTACAGACCCAAGAAAAATGAGCTGCGAGGGGTGTGGTCTATGCTGAAGGTAAACCTTTAGTTGTATACTTCACGGATCACCATGAAAGCTATTGAGAACAAGTCTGAGCTCCCTGCTTTATTACAGGAGTGTCTTAGTGACTCATTACAGTCCATAAAAAAAAAAAAAAAAAAAATTAAAAAAAAAAGCCCACTTGTTATGCTGTGTGTGTCACTAACATGCCCAAGCTTCCTCTTCTTCAGTGGCTCTGTACTTTGGACCCAGCAATGACAGATACAGGGTTAGAGAGCCTCTGAGGAGCAAGGCTGCTTTTCTTTGTCTTGTGTTGATGGTGACGGGTGTTAAAGGGATGGGTAAATCCGCTGCTGTTGGGGTCTTTGGTCTTTACAGTGGTGGAGGACTCAGGTTGTTTTTACTCGCATGTTTAACATGGTTTCTTTGGGACGAGGCAGATGCACATTACACGGGAGCGTTTGCACGTGTTAGTACATTTCAGACAAGGTGTTTACCGGTCCTGAAAATGGAGTTTAGTGATGCCATCTTTGTTGGGTCCTCTAAGGACTAACTGAGACAATGTATGTGGAGCTGATAAAATAGTAATGTTTCTTCTCGTGTTGATAGGATTTTGGTTTCTCAGGTGTGGGTTGCTGACCGAGGAAATAAAAGACTCCAAGTATTTGATAAGGACACTGGAGAGTGGTTAGGAGCCTGGAACAACTGTTTCACGGAGGAGGGACCTTCTGCCGTGAGGTAAGCAGTGCTATTGATTGGAAATGATTATTCCTCCTGCGTGTCTGACCCACCTCTGAAGAGCTGCTAAAGTTTAAAGTATTTATTGTTAGCTTCAAGCAGGGAAAATTTGAAGAAAACAAGTATCCAGAGAAGTTAGATAGCTGAGATTTTCAAATCCTTTGGGAGATTTCTAATCCTAGAAGGAGGTCAGAGCGTGAGTCCACACTGCTGAACCCTCTCCCTCCACCCAGCTTCTAGTTCTCCCCGGTCCTTGTGTTGTGTTTTGTTTTAATGTAGGCACATCTTTAGCTTCGTTTACTGTCACAGAATTCTATACAGTTTAAGTTCACAAAAGGCTCCTTCAGGCTGTGATGGCCACTGCTGTTGAGCATTGCAGACTGTAAATAACCGCACTTACTGACATGCCTGCTCACTGGGCCAGGACACCTGAGGTGGCTTCAAGGAATGGACCAGGCCTGTTGGAGGGTCCACAGCACAACTTAAGCTGAGGCAGTTTTATTGAGAGCAGTCAGACCTTTTATACCTTTATAAGAAAGAATATAATGGCAATTGCCAGGGTCAATGTAGTTGTAGTTGCCAGGATGCAATGTTTGCAAACTTTATAGGGTACACAGGATTAATGTCTGAGACCAACTGTCCTCTTGAGCTTCCATGCTTCCTGACTTCCAAGGGAACATACAGAGAAACACAAAATGGCCTGAACACTTCACAGCCTGAGGGTGTGTGTCAATCTCTCCAGAACCGGAAGGCACACAGTGTTCCAGGAGCCATGAACTCTATAATCTGAAAAAAACTATGATGCGTGTCCCAAGGCAGCTTGGCCAGGCCAACTCCATGGCTCCCTGCTGCAGGGGACACAGGCATTGGAAGAGTGATGATTGTTATTGAAGTCTCTTTCTTTGTAGGTTCACCCCGGATGGGAAGTACTTGATTGTGGCCCAGCTGAACCTCAGTAGGCTGTCAGTTTTGGTGGCCCCACCGCCCGGAAGCATTGGAGACTGCTCTGTGATCAGCACCATCCAGCTGGCAGATCAGGTTCTACCACATCTTTTAGAAGTCGACAGAAAGACGGGAGCAGTCTATGTAGCAGAAATCGGGGCAAAACAAGTACAAAAATTTGTCCCATGGCACAGCCGCACCCCTGCCTTTGGAGCATAGTGCTCCCTGCCTGAAGGAGCTTCGCGCAGCATTTCAGAGCCTCAGAGTCATTGCATTTAAAATCATTCATGCAAAGAGTCATTTTTATCTCTTTCCCAGAAAACTGTGTTATGTTATGAAGAATCATGCTTTCTTGTGGTTCTTGGGACTTAGTTTTACAATGAAGTGTATAAGAATTGTTTTTCTTTTGGGTGGTCCTGGGAGTTGAACTAATGGCCTCCTGCATGCTAGGCAGCTCTCTTAGCCCTGAGGTGCATCTTTATGTAACCAGCTTTTGAAGAAAGAAATGAAATTCTAAAATGGGGTTGTGAGGGGGAAACTCTAGTTGGAACCAAGTTATTTGCCTGGGTCAGTTAACTCTGTCTGGGCTCCTAGGATAACGCTGATTTCATAGGAAAGACTGGAAACTACTAGTTTACTATGTAAAATGGACCATGTGGAAGATTGTGGCTGATGGTCTGCACGTGCAGTGTGCCATACCAGTTCCAGAGGATTCTGAAGGGAAGTGTTGTCTGCCTTGTAGTCCAGCAGAGAGACAGATGGGCATGGTGCCAGCAGGAACAGTAGGTCCCTGACGGACAGGAGGAGCCATGCAGGTGGATTCATGGAGACTGCAGGCAGTGGCAGTGTGGGCTCAGATTGGCCAAGAGAGAAGTGTGGAAGAGGGCGAAGGCAGACTTCCCACGGATTCTGAGGGAAAAGACAGCAAAGGTTTTGGTCTTTTTTTTTGCTACAGAATGCTTAATGTCTACCCTTACAAGTAAGGGTTCAACAGCCAGCATCTAAGCACTTTACTTAAATGAAGATTTGCAAATTAGTTCTGGCAATAAGTCTCTTCCTCAGTATCACCATTCCATATTTTAGTATCAACTCACTTCATTATACTAGTATTTATCTACCTCAAAGATATTTCAGGAGAAGTAGAATCATTCACATGGAAGTGTGCCAAATGCTCTGAGGTATTACGATGACCATGTCCTGCCTTTCCAGCCCACTCTTGCCCTATCTGAATATTGGCCTTCATTTGTGGCTTCCGTGTTCTTCAGCTTGTTCTGGTTTATTCTAGGTTTAATGGAACCTTTTCCTGTCGGGGTCTTTTGATCACCCATCCCTTTGGCTCCTTTCAGCATCCCTCCCTGTCCCAGGATTTTACTGTGACTTGTGAAACACCAGGGAAGCCTAAGCTTACTTTACTCCCCACTCAGGACAGCTGAGGGCCTTGGGCCTGTCTTGGTGGTTGGGCACATGCGGTGTGGCAGGAAGGTGAGCCTCCAGGTGAAGAGCACTGGTTTCCAAGGCTGCTCAGTGTGTCCCTGCCACTCACCGGATTGTGATTCAGAAAAGTCAACTTAGTCTTCTCTTTAGTGACAGGGAAACATCATTCTTCCCTCCCTCACTAAGGTGCAGCAGACATAGATGTCTAAAGCCAGGCGTGCATTATAGCATGTTCTGGGGCCAGACCTGCTAACTGCCTTTGTCATTAGGACACATTCCAGATTTGCCTGGCTGTGTTCAAGGCCTCTACAAAATGAGTCTGTATAGGGTTTTTCCATTTGTTGATATAAGAAAAGAGGTTCTCTCCCCCACCACAGCCATCTCTCTCCAATCCCACTCTGAGCCAGGATTTTAATTGCTGTGGTCTTGTGCACATAGTCACAGTTGCATGAGTTCTGCGTGCTTTCATGTCCAGCAGATGGCATTTTGCTGCAGACATCAGCCACCTCTGTTCTCTTCTGTAATAATAATCCCTTTCATGATGTCCCATTCAGAGCCCATCAGTTGACAGTCTTATTCTCTGTGGTTAAACCAGTTGTGGATTCCTGTATTAATATCCATCTATTCAGAATGAAGCTTCTCTGATCAGAAGTGAGAGATGTGGTAATCTGTGGGTGTGAAGATAAGAACTTCCTGGTGGGGCCAGTTTCTTAGTCCATCCCTTTAGTAGAATAATGGTATTAGAGTGTCCCCTGGAGCTTCGACCTAGCCAGACAGTTTTTCAGTCAGTTAGTACCAGGAAGGCTTTCATTTTTTTTAGAGCGGGCTTTAAACCCAATCAGAAAGTGGTTGGTTATTCTCAAAACATTTGTGTAACTCTTGGGTGGCCACATCTTCACAAGCCAGTCCTTAGTGTAGCTCTCAGGCTTCACAGCCGGTTACCATTGTTGAACATTTCCTCCTTCAGTGGCATAAACAGAGCCTTCTAGAACTAAGAAAGCTAGCCAGTAGTGATGAAGTTTCCGGGCCAGTACCAGCTTGATTTCTTCACAGATTCTTAAAAACTTGCTGAGAGTATTGTTCCTGTTTATCTTAAAAGACATGATTGTTTGATCAGTATACTTGCAGTCAAAATATTTTACTCCCTTCCTTTGGATAAATTAGGTAAATAAGAATTATATTTTATTTATTGAACCATTAAAATTTTGCAAAGAAGAATCCATATAACCTGGCTACTTGTTTTAAGGTTCTGTTTTGTTTTGTTTAGACTGCCTCTGCCTTAGATGCTGGGACTAAAAGCATGCATCACCATGCCTGGCATAAGATTTTATTTTTAATAATAGAAGAATTTCAGTGACCATAAAATCTCAGGTTGGTGATTCTGGGCATGGTGGTGCACTCGTGTAAGTTAGCACTCTGGAGACTGCAGCAAGATCTCAAGTTGCAGCCCAGTCCAGCTGTAGACTAAAGTTTGCCACACAAACCCAGGACTAGAGACACATAGGTGCTAAGAAAATTATTTGTCTTGGCTCTAATAAAGCGTAAGTTGCTGAACTGTTTCAGCTAGGGTGACCTGGGCTTCCAGGGATGTGTGCTCGTGCCCTGCTTTTATGTGGGTATGAATTCGAATCCAGGTCCTCAGGCTTACACAGCAAGCACTCTAGTCCATGGAGCCATCTCAGCTTTATTTTTAAGGATAAATTCTCCTTTTCAGTTATGTTAGTGTATATATATCTCTCTCTGTGGGTATATGCACATGAGTGCAGATGTCTGTGGAGGCATTTGATCCCCTAGAGCTGGCACTATAGGCAGTTGGGAAACTGAACTCAATCTTTTGCAAGAGCAGACAGTGTTCTTCTGAGCCTTCTCGGCTCCAGGAGTCTGAGGTCAAGAGATATCAGAAACCTCTCGATACCTCTGCTGCCTGCATTTATTCTTGATATAGAGGAGTTTTCTATGTTAGAAAACCAAGGGCTCTGATTGTCTTTCCTCCCTCTTAGAAAGAATGAATGTTTAAATGGGGTGTTTGTCAATCAGAGAAAACCTGGTTTTCTAATAATGAACAAGGCTTGTGTTACCGTCACAGACTGCTGCGTGTGCCATTACTGGATGGTTAGGGTGACAAAGAATAAACTTTTTTTTGGCTTCTTCTGGTTTTTAAGGATTTGGGGGGGGGGGTTATTATACAGCTAATCAAACTGAGAACTCTTTACAATTTTAATTTTAGACTAAATCTAATCAAACAAACAAAAAAGCCTTGAACTTACATGGCTGGATTGTTTTATTTTCAGTTACGTACTTTCAGCAATAATCAAATAAAAATTTTGAAGTCATAATTTATTAGCTTTATTCATTTTACAAAAAATTTGTTTCAAACCAGTGGAGGTTTGGGGGCTAGTGTCCATGAAAGCAGCCACTCAGCAGGACTTCAGGAGGAGGAGGGTGCAGTTGGCACCTGCACCCAGAAGAGGGAAGTAGAGGGCTACGGGTGATAGGCTTGTCTTGAAATGGCTGGCGGATAGCCAGGTTTCCTGGTGCTCTTGATGTTTTAAAATTGAGAACCGTAGCCCAAACCCTCACTTCTGCTCTATCCAGGTGTAGGCGACTTTATTTAGCCAATCAGGATAATTGTTGAACATTCCTTACGTCAGGTAGGTACAGGAGATGGTTCAACATTCATAACAATGCCCATGGCAGGGTGGTAGCCAGATCTCAGGCACTGAAATAGGCATCAGAAAACAGTGCATAAGAGCAGAGCCACAAACATGGTTGAGCAAATGTCCTCTTTGTGTACTTGTGCCTCTTTTGGGTATATGCCTAGGAGTGGTATGGCTGGATCTTGAGGAAGCGCTATTCCTAGTTGTCTGAGAAAGTGCCAGATTGATTTCCAGAGTGGTTGTACCAGTTTACATTCCCACCAGCAGTGGAGAAGGGTTCCCCTTTCTCCACAACCTCTCCAGCATGTGTTGTCCCTTGAGTTTTTCATCTTGGCCATTCTGATGGGTGTAAGGTGAAATCTCAGGGTTGTTTTGATTTGCATTTCCCTAATGGCTAATGAGGTTGAGCATTTCTTTAAGTGCTTCTCTGCCATTCGATATTCCTCTACAGAGAATTCTCTCTTTAGCTCTGTTCCCCATTTTTTAAGTGGATTACTTGGTTTATTGCTTTTCAGCTTGTTTAGTTCTTTATATATATTGGATATGAGTCCTCTGTCAGATAAAAGGTTGGTGATGATTCTTTCCCAATCTGTAGGCAGTCACTTTGTTTTGATGACGGTGTCCTTTGCTTTACAGAAGCTTTACTCAGCAATGAAAAATAAGGAAATCATGAAATTTGCAGGTAAATGGTGGGACCTGGAAAGGATCATCCTGAGTGAGTTGTCCCAGAAGCAAAAAGACACGCATGGTATATACTCACTCATATAAACATACAATATAGAATAAACCCACTAAAATCTGTACATCTAAACAAACTAAGCAAAAGAGAGGACCCTAACTAAAATGTTCAATCCCCATCCTGAAAGGCAAAGAGGATAGACATCAGAAGAAAAAGAAAATAGGAAAAAACCTCGGAACCTGCTACAGAGGGCCTCTGAAAGCCAGAAGAAAACAGGAAACAACCTTGAAATCTGCCACAAAGGGCTCTGAAAGCTTCTGCAGTATAGACTGTCAAAGCAGATGCTGAGCCTGATGGCCAACTGATGGGCAGAGTGAATGGAAATCTATGTAAGAAGTGGGAAATAGTAAGAGCTGGAGGGGACGGGAACTCCACAAGGAGAGCAACAGAACAAGATAATTTGAACACAGGGAACTTCCCAGAGACTCATACTCCAACCAAGGACTATTCGTGAAGATGACCTGGAACCCCTGCACAGGTGTAGCCCATGGCAGTTCAGTGTCCAAGTGGGTTACATAGTAATGGGAAGAGGGACTTCCTCTGACATAATCTGATTGGCCTGCCCGTTGATCACCTCCCTCTGAGGGGGGAGCAGCCTTACCAGGCCATAGTAGAGGACAATGCAGCCACTTTTGATGAGAACTGATAGACTAAGATCAGAAAGAAGAGGAGAACCTCCCCTATCAGTGGACTTGGGGAGTGGCATGCATGCAGAAAGGGGAGGGAGGGTGGGATCGGGAGGGGAGGAGGGAGGGGCTTATGGGGGGATACAAAATGAATAAAGTGTAATTAATAAAAAATTTAAAAAAAAAGAAAAAAGAAAAAAAAAAGAGCAGAGCCACCGTAGGGTAGCATGGAGAGAGGCACAGGGACAGAGGAAAGTGGCCCAGATGAGGAGCACAAGTGAGTGTTTATGGAATTGTGGATGGGAAGTAGCCCAGGTAGAAAGTATTAGAGCAATTCGCACAGAGGCTGGGAGGGTAAGGAGAGTTCAGGGGTTAATAGCTGCCCAGACCCAGGTGAAAAAAAGGCTTACCTAAAAATCTATCAGGCGGGGCTGGGAAGATGGCTCAGTGGTTTAGAGCACTGGCTGCTTTTCTAGAGGACCTGGGTTCAATTCCCAGCACCCAGACAGCAGCTCACAACTGTAACTCCAGCTCCAGGGCTTCTGACACCCTCACACCACATACATGTAAGCAAGAAACCAATGACCATAAAATAGAAACCATATGTATTAAAACAAATTGAAGACACAATGCTAGTCAGCATTATGCTTCCTTTTGCTTCTACAGCACGCTGAGATCCCAAGGGAGCTGCTCTACACCTGGCACGATTTCAGGACTTGAGCGCTCTTATGGCTTAACTTGTTTTTCTACCATTAAAAGGAAACCGTTTCAGTAATTCAGACTAACAGCCAGAGTAATTAACCCATCTTACAGGTAAAGCTACGGTTGGGCAGCAAGCTTAGTGCATAGGGAATTCATAGACGTGAATATGCTGCATTAGTCTTGCTGATCCAGTCTTTGAAACATGTTACTGGTAATTGCCGATCATTTCGCAAACGAGGAAAGTGGATTATTTATTTAAAAGGCCAAATCATTTTTCTCCCTGGCCCTTAGCCATCATATGAGTTTATGGCATAAATTAATTACCTAGCTACCTCATAACATGTGGCTCTTCCTTTCATATGTAAGAGTTGAATGGAAACAGTGTCTTAATTAGGGTTTCTGTTGCTTTGATGAAACCCCACCATCAAAAAGTAGCTTGAGGAGGAAAGGGTTTACTTGGCTTGCACTTCACAATTCATCAGTGAAGGAAGTCAGGACAGGAACTCAACAGGTCAGGAACCCGGAGGCAGGAACTTCTGCAGAGGCGGTGGAGGGGCGCTGCTTACTGACCTGTCCTCTATAGCTGTCCTCAGTCTGCTTTTTCATAGAAGTCAGGACCGCTAGCCCAAGAATGGCACCACCCACAATGGACTGGACCCTCCCCTGTCCATTAATAATTAAGAAAATGCCCTACATACAGTTTATCTACAGTCCAGTCTCATGAAGGCATTTTCTCAATTGAGGTTTTGTCCTATCAGATGACTATAGCATGTGTCAAGTTGCCATAAATACTAGCCAACAAAATGGACCCCTTCTCAACTTGACACACAAACACTGTTAAGCCATACTTTTTTTCTTGTCCATTTACAATATCACACATTAAGAAATATAGTGAATTATACACACACAATAATTACACACCTAAAAGTCCCACAGTCTATATATTCAAACACTCTAAAAGTTCAGCCTCTAAAAAGAAAATCCAAAGTTTCTTTTAAATCCAGTCTCTGTAAAACTCCAGAGTTTCTCTTCAGAAGTTCAAAATCTCTCCTGTAAATCAGAATAAGCTAAATATTTTATTACAATTGGGAAGATTAGGGCACAGTCACAATCTGAACAAAGCAAAACCAGACACCAACAGTGTAACAGCTCAGTGTCTCATGTCTGGGATCCACTTACCATCTCCTAAGCTCTGGCTGGCTCCGCTGCTGCTGTTCTTGGTTATCCCAGGGCACTGCCAGCTCCAATATGCTGGCAGTTCTGCTGCTGCAACTGGGCCGTACTTTTACCCATAGCCTCTCCTGGGTTTCCTTCAGGGACCCCAGCCATGCCACACAGTGTGAAGCCTCAGCTGTTCACCATGACCCCTTCATGCCTTCAAAACCAGGACCACCAGGGAGCCTCTTAAACTATCAAGTGTGGCTTCCAGTGCAAGGTGCCTCTGTAACATACCTTTTGTATTTTCACCCTAAGGATATGCCTCAATACCTGCCTTCTCTCTCTCACACACACACTCTCTCTCTTTCTCTCAATAGAAGGAAACATTTAATTGGGCTTACAGTTCAAGAGGGTTAGAGTTCATGATGACAGAGTGAAGGCATGGATCCAGGAACATCGGAGAGCTCAGATCTCTGTCTGCAAGCAGAAGGCAGAGAGCACACTGTGAATGACACAGACTTCGAAACCTCAAACCCTGTTCCCAGTGACACACTTCAATAAGGCCCAACCTCCCAATCCTTCTCAAACAGTACCACCAAGTGGAGACCAAGCATTCAAATACTTGAGCAGATGGATGCCTTCTCATTCACACCTCTACACAAACCTTATGTTATTCACTTCTTTCATGACGAAAGTCTAGGTTCTTCCCATATCTTTGGTGGTGTTGAAAATGGAACCATAAGCATAAGAGTAGAACTATCTCTGAACCATGCTAGTTGAAATTCTTTGGGTATATACACTCATAAGTGGGATTTCTGAATCATGGTAATTCTATTTTTAGTTTTCTGTGGAACTTCCATACATAATACTATTGCACATAATGGCTATAATAACTTAAATTTCCACCATCTGTGTGACCTGAGATTTCATCTTCTCCATGTTCTTATCTTTTATTCCTGCCTTTTTCCCAAGCATAACAAAACATAATTTTTTTACTGATAACTTTTTTATAAGAAGGAATACATTCAGAAATAATGATAAACTATTTTGTAGCAAATACATAAAGCCATAACAATGTCATTTGTTATTCAGAATTACATACTACACACAATTGTCTGTGTGCCTGGCGCATGGCAGGTTTGTTTTCAGCAAGCGTCTCCGCAGATAAGCCGTGCACTGATGTGCAGCAGCAGCCCGGAACAGGATGTGTTCATCTCTGTGATGATTCTTTGACAGCTGTGCCGTTCTGTTCACACACGCTTTGGAAGGGCAATGCTCTGTCTAGAATACAGTAGACGTTTTAATACTTAAATGCTTGGTCATCACTTCTCCTTGGCATAACAAACTCGCTGCTGGTGCCTGAAGTGCAGATGTTCTCAGGGCCACTATACTGATGGCTGAAGGAACACTAGCATTTTGCCATTCTGCAGCCATCTCTGGGCCAGACCCATGTT